CGGGAAATAATTTTTTTCTAGGGGAGGCGGAGCCAGGACGCCTGATTTTTGACCCGAAATTCCGGGTTCAAGACCCGGGCTGGACCCGGATCCACTTACCCGATATAGACAATATATGTATTGTTTAAAATAAATACCTATCCAACAACTGATCACAAGATGGGGTAATTTTTAAGCGGTTCGGAAGCTATAGTCAAATTATTGATTGTTTGGACCCGGATTTTTTTTTATAAAAACCCATTATGGGGGTCAACCAAATTGATGTCAAATTATTGCTGACACTCTTACCTTTACAAAATGCTACAATTTGTGCTTTGTACTATTTTGGGGTCCAGAGATATGGGTCTTTCTACCCGCATAAACCGATTCTAACCAGTTCATTACAATTATATTGTCTATATCGGGTACGTGGATCCGGGTCTAATCGGACTTTTGTGTCAAATCTGGGGTCCCAGGTCCTTCCCTCAAGAAAAAAACTTTTCAGGGTAAAAATACCTAACGTTGGAAGAGAAATTAAAAAAAGAAATAAAGGTTTTACTAAACTAGGGTTTAGCCATATTTTCTCATTTTTAGGTTAGGAAAATTAAAAAAAAATAGAGATCTAATAAACGTGGATTTTTTAAAAAAATATTTTTTCAAAGACCTAATATACGTGGATTTTTTAAAAAAATATTTTTTCAAAGACCTAATATACGTGGATTTTTTAAAAAAATATCTTTTTAATGATCCAAAAAACATGGATTTTAAGAAAAAATATTTTTTCAAAGATCTAATAAACGTGGATTTTTTAAAAAAATATCTTTTTAATGATCCAAAAAAACATGGATTTTAAGAAAAAATATTTTTTTCAAAGATCTAATAAACGTGGATTTTTTAAAAAAATAATTTTTAATGATCCAATAAACGTGGATTTTAAAAAAATATTTTTTTGAATGATCCAAAAAAACGTGGATTTAAGAAAAAATATTTTTTAATGATCCAAAAAACATGGACTTAAAAAAAATATATATTTTTTTCAAAGATCTAATAAACGTGGACTTTAAAAAAAAAACATATTTAACATGGATTTAAAAAAAATGTTTTTTAATGATCCAAAAAAGTGGATTTTTTAAAAATATATATATTTTTAATGATCCAAAAAAATATGGTTTAAAAAAAATATTTTTTGAAAGATCCAAAAAAAGTGGATTTTTAAAAAAATATATTTTTTCTAACATCCCAACATGGATCCACTGCTGTCTCCAACGCTTCTATAGCATTGCAAGTTTCCATTTCTTCTCTTCTGCATCCTTTGAAACTCAGAAAAAAAAACTCCTCAATTTAATTTTTACAAAATATACATTTTTTTGTATTTTTGTTTTGTTTTTTTTTATAATTTTGTTTTTTTTTTTTTCTTTTTATAAATAATATTAATTAATTTTAAGTACAAACTAATAAATGTAACTTAGAGGGAATATATTCTAAATTTAAATCTCGTATACGACGACAAAAAAATATATAATCATTTTATAATAAGGGTTTTGGAAATTATATTGAAAATTCAAGAATATAATTTTTGAGGGGTTTTTTGTTTTTTTTTTTTTCTACCTTTAAGGAAGGATTGATTGGATATAGAAATTTGTAATTTACAAGCGTATTCCAAAGGGGGGTTTTGTTTTTATAAATTTTGTAAATAAATTGGTGTTATTCTTTTCTTGGTGATTTTTTTTAAATTTTTTTTGCCAAAAATATGTTTTACAAATATTTTTTAACATTTTTTCTCTCTCTAAAAATATATAATATATTAGTATTTTTTTATATATATAAGCGGTATACATATATACATTTTAAAAAAGATTTGTAGTGTTTTATTACAATATCGGGTTGTTTTCTATTTGGAGAGGGAGGGAGGAGGGGTTTTTGAGGACATTCAAAATGTTGAAGTCTTTGCAAGCGAACCAATTATCGGTGTTCTGAATGACAATACTCAAACTGAGTGCAAAGTAAACAATTCCGAAACCGATACTTTGGCATGGTATGTTATGGAAGTTTTGTGGATTGAATTTGGTGAAGATGATTCTGCCAGGAAATTCTTTATTCTAAAATAAAATTTTAAATAAATACTAAAGAACCTCTTCCGGGAGGTAGGGAGGGGTTACTATAGTTTTTTAAGAATTTTTTTCAAACTTTTCACTTAGCTTAAAATCATTTGGTAAACTTTTTTTGGACACAGATGACTCACGGATAATGGCTCTTTACATAAAATGAATTGCCTAAGACATGGCAGAATAATGCAGCCATATTATCGATTTTTGGAAAAAAAATAGAATTTCAAATTATTTTGAGATATGTAAAACCACAGCTTTGGGTTGAGAGGAAAAAATTTAAAAATTCTCTAAAGGTTTTTATATAAACGGCTCTAAGAAAAATATTTAAAACTGGCAAATTTTCAATTGATTTTCCTTAGAAAAATCAACTGAAATGCTTCAACAACAAACAATGTAAATATTTAATTGAATTTTCCAAAAAGAAAACTTATTAAATGTTGGCCAAGAAAAATTCTGAAAAAAATTAATAATAAGTTCAGGTTCATGATAGGAAATAATGTATAAAAAAATTCAAAATTATTCCATTTTGAAAAAATTTTTTGATTACCTAATTTTTTTAGGTACTGAATTTTTGGAAAAAAAAAATATATTTTTAATCTAAAAACAAATGTTTAATTATAACCTCAAAAAATTGAAATAAAGTTTTAATAGTTTTCAAGAAAAGGTAAGTTATTTCTAAATTATATATTTATATATTTTTTGAAAAATATGTATATTTTCAAAAAAAATAATTTTTGCAAAAAAGTATTTGAAAAAAAGAAAATAATTTGTCGAAAAATGTAGACAAACCAAATAATAATGTGTAATTTTTTTTCTTAAAAAAGGAAAAATATTTTTCTAACCTCCAAAAATTGATATATATGGAAAAAAGTGAATAATTATTCAAAAAAAAAAAAGATATTTTTAAGTATATTTCTTCGAAAAATATCAATAATAAGACTTTTATTTGTTTCTTGAAAAAAAAATTTAATTTTTTTATGGATTGTTTTCATTTCAATTATTTTTGAGGTTAAAAAAAATTTGGAATTTTTTTTAATCTTTTTTATGGATTGTTGTTATTTATTGATTTTTAAATTGTTTTTTGAAAATTTTTCATTTTAATTTTTTTTTATGTTAACAAATTTTTGAAAATCTTTTTTTTTTTTTTTTGAAAAAATTTTAATTTTTTTTTTAATCTTTTTTATGGATTTTTTGTTGATTTTTTTTTTAAATTTTCGCTTTAATTATTTTTGAGGCTAAAAAAATTTTGGGAACAATTTTTTTTAAATTTTCGAAATTTTTTTTTTTGAAAAAATTTTAATTTTTTTTTTTTTTTTTGAAAATTTTAAACTGTTTTTAAATCTTTATTCTGGATTGTTGTTATTTATTTTTTTTTTTTATTTATTATTATTTGGTTGAAAACGTGTATATTTTTCGACAAATTATTTTCTTTTTTAAATATTTGTTTTTTTTTTTTTTTTTTTCAAAAATATTTAAAAAATTAAAATTATTTTTCAAAAAATATAATGAAAAATATATTAAATAATAAATAAGTAAATAACTCTAGTTTAGTATTTTTATTTAAATTTTGGGATTTTTTTTTTGAAAAAATATGAATTTTTGAAATGATTTTTTTTTTTTTTTTGAAAAATTTCAGTTTTTTTTACATCTTTTTTATGGTTTGTTGTTAGTTATTGAAAATTTTTTTTGACAAATTTATTATTATTTGGTTGAGTACGTTTATATTTTTCGACAAACTATTTTCTCTTTTAAATATTTGTTTTTTTTTTTTTTGGAAAAATATTTAAAAAAATCGTCAGGCAAAATCCCATTATTGTTGTTTTTATAAAAACAACGTTTGTTTATGAGTGGAGAACGATGGTAATGTTTACCAGGGGGTAAGGCAGGGAATACCTAGGTTTCGGAAAGAGCCACCAATCCTCATCAGTTCCCTTGTTTCTTGTCTGGGATATTCTCCCCAGAAGTTATTTAAAAAATAACTTCTATGACAAAAAACATTTTTTACCCAAGTGACGAGATCGTAAGCTCAATAGAAGAGGGACAAAAGAATTACATAAAACTAAAATTCTTTTGGAAAATCTTCTAAATCTCACAACCGCACTTATAAACATTTACATCTTTCTCCACTTGTTATGTTTTCAACAACAAAATACTATGGTATCCCAAACAAGCAAGCCAAACACTGTTCTATTAATAGACACAGGCACGGTCGACAAAGGGGTTTTTGTTGTAACAGACAAAACAAACTTACATGGTTATGTTACTTCGTTCAGGTTGAACGAAAACATAACAAGTGGAGAAAGATGTAAATGTTTATAAGTGCGGTTGTGAGATTTAGAAGATTTTCCAAAAGAATTTTAGTTTTATGTAATTCTTTTGTCCCTCTTCTATTGAGCTTACGATCTCGTCACTTGGGTAAAAAATGTTTTTTGTCATAGAAGTTATTTTTTAAATAACTTCTGGGGAGAATATCCCAGACAAGAAACAAGGGAACTGATGAGGATTGGTGGCTCTTTCCGAAACCTAGGTATTCCCTGCCTTACCCCCTGGTAAACATTACCATCGTTCTCCACTCATAAACAAACGTTGTTTTTATAAAAACAACAATAATGGGATTTTGCCTGACGATTTTTGCAACAACAAAATACTATGGTATCCCAAACAAGCAAGCCAAACACTGTTCTATTTAAAAAAAATCTAATTTTTTTTTTCAAAAAAAAAATGAAAAATATATTTTTCATATTTTCGCAATAACTCTAGTTTAGTAAAAACTCTTCGATTATCTCGAATTTTTTTCCAGAGGTTGTTATCTTTAACCTGATTTCAGGAAACTATTTTTTTTCTAGGGGGACGGAGCCAGGACGCCTGATTTTTGACCCGAAATTCCGGGTTCAAGAACCGGGCCCGGATCCACTTACCCTATATAGACAAAGAAAGAAATACCTATCCAACAACTGATCACAAGATGGGGTAATTTTTAAGCGGTTCGGAAGTTATAGTCAAATTATTGATTGTTTGGACCCGAATTTTTTTTATAAAAACCCATTATGGGGGTCAACCAAATAGATGCCAAATTATTGCTGACACTCTTACCTTTACAAAATGCTAAAATTTGTGCTTATAGTTTTTTTGGGTCCAGAGATATGGGCCTTTTAACCCGCATAACCCGATTCTAACCAGTTAATTAAAATTATGTTGTCTATATCGGGTACGTGGATCCGGGTCTAATCGGGTTCAGAAACCCGGACTTTTGGGTCAAAAATATGGGGTCCCAGGTCCTTCCCTCAAGAACAAAAAATTGTTTTCTTGATCAGGGTAAAAATACCTAACGTTGGAAGAGAAATTTAAAAAAAAATTAAAGTTTTTACTAAACTAGGGTTAAGCCATATTTTCTCATTTTTAGGTTAGGAAAATTAAAAAAAAATTGAGAGACCTCACTTTTTCCCCATCCCTTCAAAACAATTACCCTAGCCATCATCCAATACGGTATCCATTAAATTGAAATGCCAAATTCGTATTCTTTTCCCAAAAAAAGGAAAAGCAGCCTTTTCACATTCTCTCATTTTTAGGGTAGTAAAATTGACTTCTTTTTCAAGAGAACTCACTTTTTTTTCAAAAGACCTCACTTTTTCCCATTCAAAACCGATGTTTACCTCCTCAAAACAATGATTCCGAGCCATCGTCCAATAAGGTGTCCATTAAATCCATATATCTATGCAGATCATCATACACCTGTACATCATTGGGTAATAACAAAGGCCCACAGCCTACTCCCATAACTCCTCCCCCTGCCCCGCCTCCCGCTCCACCACCTTTCAACAAAGGCTATTTAGATGTTTTCGTAACACCACTACTGCTAATACCCGAATAAATATTATTATTATACAAATATGGTATGATATTTGGTTCAATTTCCAGTGTCTGTTTGAGTATTGAACTCATAACGAATTCCGTTGAGACAATCGGACACTTGGGATTACCGAAACGTGTCAAATCCACACACAAATGCATATCATTGGGACATGTCACAATAATATAGGCATTCGGTGATTGGGCATGTATTTCCGCAATGGCCTGGGCGGTGCGTCGTTTTTCCTCCACTTTACCGCCAGATGATTCAATCATGCGTACAATTTCCGAACGGGCAGGAAAAACGTCAGGTGTCACAAAGAAATATCGCCCGGCAAAGAGAGTGGAACGTGTTGTCGACTGAAGAACTGTGTCCAAATGGAATTTTAGATTCTCATCGACGGGTATGTATTCGATGCGATATGGTTCGGGCGGTAGAAATTTCCCAGCCTTGGCACTTTCCACCAACCATTGTGACTTGAGGACATAATCGACATGGCAGACAGCTTGTATAAGTTTACAGGTACGACTTTCGCGTGTCATTACTAAATATGTGGCATCCACAGGATTGTCAACAACAATGCCGCCAAGGGATCTACAAAAAAGGAAGAAGGAATTCATTATTTTTTATATCCATAGAAAAAAAGGATTTTTGATCTGACTTACACTACAGCCTTTTTCAGCGAATCCGGATCGGCCACCTGTGAGAACAATACCTTGGGCGGCTTGGCCGTCTGGGGATATTCAACACAGAGTATGGTTTCAGGTATTTCTTCTTGATATGGTGATATTTTTTGTCGCTTTGCCTTTTCATAGAATGGATCGGCTAAAAAGCGTTTAACCCGCTCGTGAGCTTCTTGGGTTAGGTTAATGGGTGCTTTCCAAGCAGCTAAAACGAGGCAAAAGAAATTATTTGAGGTTATGGTTATGAAAATTTCGGTCTAATATTAAATTATATAACGAATTGTAGGACTGGGAATCTATGTAGACAGATTAGAGCCTAGAAGATCTAGATAGATAAGCTGCAAAAGCCCGAGGATCATTAAAGACCTAAGTATCTAAAACCAAACGACCAAAAGCCAGACAGTCTATGAAAGTGACTTAAAACTCTGGGACTCTATAAAGTCTTCTCAAGGATCGGGAGGACTACGAAGACGAACTTAACAACCCGGGGCCTCTGAATACGATACAAAAGCCTGATTGTCAATAAAGGCCACTTAAAGCTCTGGAAATCTTTAAAAACAACCTCAAAGGCCAGGGAGTCAATAAAAGTAGAAATTAAAATTTCGGCCTAAGATTCTTTTAACTAACGAACTGAAGGGCTGAGAACTTATCTAGACAAATTAGAGTCTAGAAGATCTATATAGATGAGGTGCAAGGCCCCAGGATCAATAGTCTTAAGGTTCTAAAATCAAACGGCCATCAAAAGCCAGACAGCCTTTAAAAGCGGCTTAAAAGTCTGGGACTCTATAAAGACTCAAAGGCCAAGGGACTACAAAGGTCTCAGAGACGATACAAAAGCCTGATTGCCTATAAAGTCCCCTTAAAGCTCTGGAAACCTTAGAAAACGAACCAAAAGTCCAGGCGTCAATAAAAGAGGTCTAAGACAACCTCAAAAACGCAGGCCACCCTAAAACGACACATAATGCCTGGTACTTCACAAAGGCAACTTTAAGCCCTGGAAGTTTATGAAAACGACGTTAAGACGGGCCCCTGAGTACGATACCAAAGGCTGATTTTCTATAAAGGACACTAAATGCTCTGGAAGTCTTTAAAAACGACCCAAAAGCCCAGGAGTCAATAAAAGCGGTCTAAGAGTCTGGGAATTTTGTATGGACTTCTTAAAGACCAGGGAGTCTAAAAAGGCAACCTGAAACCCCCAGGGCAACCTAAAACAACACATAATGCCTGATGCTTCATAAAGGCAACTTTTAGCCCTGGAGGTTTATGAAAACGATATTAAGGCAGGACTCTGAATACGATACCAAAGCCTTATTGCCTATAAAAGCCACACAAATCTATGGAAATCTTTAAAAACGTCCCAAAAGCCCAGGAGCCAAAAAAGCGTTCCTAAGATTCTCGGACTTTATATAGACTTCTTAAAGTCCTGGAAGTCTAAAAAGGCAACAACCCAGGGCTCCCTAAAAGGACACATAAAGTCAGGTGCTATATAAAGCCTACTTTAAGCCCTGGAGGTTTATGAAAACGACGTTAAGGCGGGCCCCTGAGTACGATACCTAAGGCTGATTTTTTATAAAGGACACTTAATGCTCTGGAAGTCTTTAAAAATGATCCTAAATCCCGGAAGTCAATAAAAGGGGTATAGGAGTCTGGGACTTTCTATAGACTTCTTATAGACCTGAACAACCCAGGGTCCCCTAAAAGGACACACAAGTTTTACCTGGTACTCTGTAAAGCCTACTTTAAGCCCTGGAGGTTTAGGAAAACGCGAAGGCAACCTAAAAGCCGGCTTGTCTATAAATATGACATTAAAGCGTGGGATTTGAAAAAAGACGAACCAAAACTTGGAAGTGGACAAAAACGGCACGAGGACAATAAAACGGCCTAGACGTTTATGAAGACATCCTCATGGCCGGTTGTTGTTGTTGTAGCAGCTTATACTGCTGTGACCGTTCTGAATCCTCTCAATCGGGTTCTGCTTCTATGTCCAGCCTCAAAAAGGATGCAACCTATACATTTTGGGTCCACAACGAAACTGGACTTAGGTGAGTAGGTTTGGCTGGCCAGCGAAATAGGTGCAGAGTGTCATGTGGACCTGTGCCACAAGCTGGACAGATGTTCTGAACAACGCTGTCAATCCGCGCAAAATAGGAATTATGACGGCTGCACCATCCGGATCTTAACTGAACCAAATCTACTCGGGTTTGTCGGGGCAGCTCTCGCTCTTGTGCTGTCATGGGAAGGAGATGGTCACCATAAAAACTGGAAGTCTTCAAAGTCGAATTAAAGACCAGGGACGACAAAAATGTCTGTGATTCTTTCAAGCAGACTTAAGGGCCTTGAAGTCTAAAAAGACTAACGAAACGGAGCATTCCAAAATTGTTGAAAACAATCAGAAGCATGGATTTTTATTGGCTGCTAAGAAGCATTCCAGAATTGTTTTCTACAGCCATGAACTTGGATTTTTAAATGCTACAGAGAAGCCTTCCAGAATTGTTTCTACAGCCATGAACTTGGATTTTTAAATGCTACAAAGAAGCCTTCCAGAATTGTTTCTACAGCTAGGATCTTAGATTTTTATATGCTACAAAGACGTCTTCCAGAAGTGTTTCTAAGAACTAGAAAAGTAAATTTAGGCATCCCACAAATGAGCCTTCGAAAATTATTTCTAAGGGCCACAAACTCGTATGTACAGATTCCCACAAGGACGATGGATCTGTATTTTGGGTTTAAATTCTAATAAAAGATTTTCTTCATATGTAGGCCACACTAAGAAGATCAACTTGTTTTAAAGGACCACATAGATGGACGTTTTTAAGACAGCCAGGATTTTTTTCCGTGGATATGAATTGAAAGGCTAACTTAAAAGCACTTTTAAATTATTTTCAAGGGAATAGAAAGTGGAAACCAAAATTCGTTATAGAATAGATTTTAAAAGGCCATTGAAAACCCTCCCCTTTAGGAGCAACTAAATTCCGGGATATGTTGTAAAAGGCTACTAAAAATGGCTCCCTAAGTTGTTTGTAGAGATCTTACTGGGGAACTACAAAAGCTCTATGAATACTTTCTTAAAGAGTCTGGCTAAGAGGTCTTCCGGGATAGTTTTAAAACACCACACAAGTGGATGTCCATATGGCTACTAACAAGCCTTTCTAAAGTTTCCTTCGATTTCTAGGATTATTCGACTAAAACGAGGCCATACTCGTAACAAGCTATCAACAGTCCGCCTGCCACCTGCATATGGCTAAAAGATCTTCCGGGATAGTTTCAAAACACTCCATAAGTGTATGTCCATATGGCTACTAACAGGCCTTTCTAAAGGCCCCCCTAAAACGCCCCCCAGATTTCTACGACTATTAGACTAAAACGATGCCTTAATGAGCATCTCCTATTAAACTATCAATAGTCCTCCTTCCACCTGAACAGGCCAAAAAGGTCTTCCGGGATAGTTTTAAAACATCATATAAGTGGATGTCCATATGGCTACTAACAGGCCTTTCTAAAGGCCTCCCTAAAACGTCCCTCAGATTTCTAGGACTATTAGACTAAAACTAGGCCTTATTGGGCATCTGCTAATAAACTATCAATAGTCCTCCTTCCACCTGAATATGGCTAAAAGCTATTCCGGGATAGTTTTAAAACATCACATAAATGGATGTCCAAAGGGCTACTAACAAGTCTTTCTAAAGGCACCCCTAAAAGGTCCCCTCGATTTCTAGGACTATTAGAAAAAAACGAAGCCTTGCCGAAAATTTCCTACCAAACTACCAACAATCCTCCTTTCTCCTAAATTTGTTTTCCTGGGGGGCCTAAAACTTCGTTGCCATGAACACCCAATGATATTTAACAAAGATATCGGTTATACGTATTTTTTTTCTTCAAGAACACCTTCACCACACCCTGTAAAAAATTTTCCAATACTCAAACAATCTCGAACGTTAAACTCACCCATAAGATGCGGCACCAAACCATAATCAATACGGAATGGTGGCTGGATATTATACTGTTGGTATTTCGGATTGTCATATTGAGACATTGAACTTAGATTGCCTATGGCGATGTCGTTTAACCACATCGAATTGACCATGGGTATATTCCATTCTTTGGCAGCATTATACATTTCACCCTCGAATTTTTTACACACCAGCACCGTGTTCATCTTGGACAGATATGATGTGTAGATGGCACCACATTCCTGGACCATTTGTTTGATGCGATGTTCCTCTTTCGGTTCATAGCCATTCGAGGCAATGATGTGTCGCTCCAGGGGTTTTTGGTGACCAAATTGACTGGGGAAGGGTAAGTGTAGGGGTTGCCACGGCGGCAGTAGCTGTTTCTTTAGACAAATGTCACTAAGCCAATAGGCGGTGATGCAACGTTTCGATTCTCGCAGAGCTTGCATGACCACACCATGACGTTGTGTGCGACACAGAACGTGGGTAACACGAGGGCAATAGACTTTTTCAATGTCGCCACCAAATTGTCGTATGGTTTCCATCCAAATGGGCAGCTCATCACCATCCGTCTCCTCGTACTCCTCGACAATGTAAAATGTACAGCCGACCAAAAACAGATCGGGGGGTAATTTTAGATTGGGATTATGGCCATAGTATTGTGGCCTTTGGGGTATGGGAATTTGGGTGACACGACCCTGTTGTATGTAACCGGCTGGGGTCATTATGCCGGGTGGGCCATGACCATGATGGCCACCATGCAGTTGTCCAGGAGCTGCAACAACCTGCTGCTGGACTGCACCACCACCGCCAGCTGTTACAATCAGTTGTTGTTGTACAATTTGTTGTTGCTGCGGTTGTCCTGGTACACCAGCGGCCAGAATTGTATTGGCAGCTACTGGACCGGTGGCAACACCGGCCGTCGCTGACATTTGACTTTGTAAAATGGGTCGGCGCATTTGTTGCTGTTGCACCGGGTGCTGTTGTTGTTGTTGTTGTTGTTGTTGCTGCTGCTGCTGTTGTTGTAGGAGCAGTAATTCCTGCTGGCTGCGCACTACTCCCACAACACCACCAGCAGCAGTAACACCACCAACTTGTTGGGTAATTATTTGATTGGGAATGACTGAACCACCACCGCCGCCAGGGGTTACAGCCGTTGGGGTGTTGGGATGAGAAGGTGGGACATGATGTGGGGGTTGCTGTTGCATGTTGGCATTGTGTTGTTGGGTCATCAAACGCAATGTGACGGCAGCACTGGCTTCCATTGTTTGCTGGCCAGCAGCAGCAATGACACCAGGACCAGTGACGGCTGTTTGGACGACAGCAGGATTAAGATGCTGCTGCTGTTGTTGTTGTTGATTCATTATAATTTGTTGCTGTTGTTGCAGAGACTGTTGTTGTTGTTGTGGTCCAGCCACAACAACTTGGGTTTGTTGTATAATTTGAGGTTGTTGCTGTTGTAATTGGGGATGCTGTTGTTGTTGAAGCTGTTGCTGCTGCTGCTGCTGTTGGACAGCCAATACTTGTTGTTGTTGCTGCTGCTGGGTCTGCAACTGACCCGTGGGATCTTGCACCATTTGCACCATACCTTGTTGCTGCATTTGTTGTTGTTGTTGCGGCTGCTGCTGTTGTTGCTGTTGCACACGATTGTTTAACATTTTTGCCAGGGCCGTTTTGGTATTCAAATTCATTTGTTGCTGCTGAGTCTGTATCATATTGAGATGTTGTTGCTGCTGCTGCTGCTGTTGTTGCATTTGTCCCTCACCACCACCACCACCGACACCGGGCGTCATGGCCTGATTTGACGACATAACCACGGTTTGGGGTGCCAAAGTAGTAATTACATTGCCGCCGGAGCCGCCTTGCAGTTGAGCTAAATGGAAAATTAGAAAGAAAGAAAAATGCATACAACACGATATCTTAGTTAAATTCATTCTCTTCTTCTAATTTTTTTGTGGTTGTTGTTGTTTTTTCTGGTGCGGGAAAAGGTAGATAAAGGGGAAAAATGTTCTTTTAATTGCACACAAAAAAACACAAAAGTGGGGAGGAATAAATTATAAAGAAGTTTGGTAACTTGAGGAGAAAAATAGAATCTTTCTTAAAAAAAAATAAATAAATAAATAAATAAAAAAAAAAATTAGAAAATTAAAAGTCGGGTTTGCCCACCGATGTATACCCTCATTTAAATATATTTTGCCCTCTGTTATGATTTTTCAAATGTTTGACCCGCTATGGCTATTCCTTCGGAGGGCCAATATTGTTCACTTCGTATCGGACCTAAATAAATATGATATAAATATTGCGGCGTGCCAGGTTTGGACTACATCAACTACTTCCTTTACTTTATGTGAGATATGTGATATGTTTTAGAAAATGTTGAAATATGCGTGAGGTACCAGATATAGTGGATCGAAGTATTCCATTTTCAGACTTCATATAATATGTACAGATACAAATATTGGTGTGGGCAAAATTACAAGAAAATCGAACATTTATATTCACTTCTATGCAAAACCATAAATTCCATATTCATCTTAGGTCACTGGCTGAGAGAAATATTTAGATCTGAAACATTTAGCAAGTTGTAAAGAATCGCTGAATTACAAGTTGTGACAGATATAAGTATTGGAAATTGTGACCATTTGTGGGTGAGGTAGCAGAAGGGACTGGCAGGACTATATATCATCTTTACAACAGATCCTGTGTTAGCAAAAATGTTTGTGTGTGAAATTTGAAGAGAGTTAGATGCTTATTTCATTTTTTTGAGTATTTTGTTTTTCAAAATCTTGAACCCTATGTGAGGGAGTTACCAGAAGGAATTGTCCGATCTCTACCATCTTTATATCAGACCTTGTGTTTATGGAAATAGTGAGATGTACCAAAACTGAATGGAATAGGATGTTAATTTCGTGTTTTATGAGCTACATGGATATTCAAAATGTTGACCCTTTGTGGGGGAGGTACCAGAAAGAGTTCGCCGATATATTCCATCTTCACAGCAGATCTTGTGTTAGTAGAATTAATGAGATGTGTGAAATATGAAGAGAACCGCATGCTTATTTCGGATTTTGTTGATCTTTTGGTTATTCAAAACTTTGACCCTTTGTGTGGGAGGTACCAGAAGATATGGCGCGATCTCTACCATCTTTATATCAGATCTTGTGTTGCTGGAAATATTTAGATCTACCAAGTCTAAATGGAATCCGATGTTAGATTCGCGTTATATAAGCTTGACGAATATTCAAAATTTAGAACCTTTGTGAGGGAAATACCAGAAGGAGTGGACCAATAGATTCCATCTTCACAGCAGATCTGGTGTTAGTAAAAATAATAGCATGTATGAAATTTGAAGAGAACCGGGAGCTTATTTCGGATTTTATTAGCGTTTTCGTTATTCAAAATTTTAAACCTTTGTGGGGGAGGTACCAGAAGGAATGGTCCGATCTCTACCATATTTATAACAGATCTTGTGTTGATGGAAATATTTAGGTGTACCATGTCTGATTGGAATCGGATGTTTATTTCGTGTTTTAAGAACTTCATGAATATTCAAAATTTTGACTCTTTGTGGGGGAGGTACCAGAAGGAGTGGACCGATATATTCCATCTTAACACCAGACCTTGTTTTAATAAAAATATTCCGATGTGTGTAATTTAAAGAAAATCGGACACTTACATCACATTTTATAAGAGTTGTAATTATTCAAAATTTTGACCCTTTGTGGGGGAGGTACTTGATGGAGTGGACCGATATTGTCCATTTCCGCACCTGACCTAGCACTGACGAAAGTATTGGGATTTGCAAAGTTGGAGCAAAATCGGATTATCCCTCTTCTTTCTGGGCAGTAAATTATTTTCTATGAAAATTTCAACCTTTTGTGTGAGAGGTACCAGAAGGAGTGGACCGATATTGCCCATCTCCGAACTCGATCTATGTTTGACAATAATATTACGTTGTACCAATTTTGGAACAAATCGGATACTCCCTTCGAGAGTTATCGTGCGCACCAGCCAGACAGACAGACACACGGACGGACATCGCTAGACTGACTTTAAATGTCCTGAAACGGATTTAGTCCAAAGAAAAATTGTTATTTCAAAATTGTTATTTCAACCAATGTTATTGGCCGTCTCAAATGATATATACCCTCCCTGGTCATATGGCTAAGGGTATAAAAATGTTTGTATAGATTGAAGCCTGATTCAAAAGAATATCCGAATGAACCTTGAAGACTTCTTTAAGAATTACAAAGGGCAATCAGGAAAGCAGCTGAGGTAGTTAAGGACTTGATAGAACGACATTTAAAGGATCTTCAAAAATCTCTAGTCATCTACTGCTTTGAAGCTCTTTATGCTGGGTACCTGGGCACAAAAACGTACGGGGGAATATAGAAGATCACAGTCACAGGTCCGCTAATTGACCTAACTATAAATCCATTATTGCACTATTATGTGAACAAAACTTGAAATGTCTACTTCGGGGTCAACATCTGAAACATCTGTGATTCCTCTCCCGACATAAAAAGTTATCTCCATCGCACTGTTTAAATACAAGTACATTCCTAATCGAAAAGGCGCCTGTTCAAAGTTTTTAGAGAACTAATAAAACCTTTGTTCCTGATTGTTGAGTGACCCATGATCATTATTATTCGCAAGGAGCCTCCAGGGGGATAATTTTTTTAGGTCAGAATGTCATTGATTCAATGCCATTATTTTTCATCTACACCTTTTTGCCAAATGTTTAAGCAAATGAAACCTTAAGTCTGCTCCTAAAGTCTATGGCTTCTTGAGCCAGTTTGGACCCAACTATAATGGGAGGAGATCCTTGTTTGATAGACAATTATAATAACAAACAAAGTATTGAAACAGATCTTACCTTGACCACCCTGCATGGTTTGGCCTGCAACCATTTGATTGGTTACAACAGTCTGTTGTTGCTGTTGCGGTTGTTGGATAATGGTTTGCTGTTCAATTACCTGGCCACCGGGACCGGTGATGACTTGAACAGTTTGGTGGCCTGGTTTTTGGCCAACAATTTGCTGCTGCTGTTGGACAGCCTGTTGTTGAGCCGCCGCTGCGGCTGCTTGTTGCTGTTGCTGCAATTGAACACGCAATTGCTGTCGTTGCAATAGTATCTGTTGATTGGGATCGTTGGGATTAAACATTTGCTGTTGTTGTTGTTGCTGCTGTTGCAATTGTTGTTGGCTTATATTAACGGCCGTCCCAGCCACTCCCACACCTCCGCCGGCCGTGACTATCTGTTGCTGCTGCTGCTGTCCAATGGGCGTTAGACCCGGTGCCCTTCCCGTTCTTACCACCACCTGACGTTGTTGCTGCTGCAACCATTGCATTTGTTGTTGTTGTGTCAGGCCAGCCGGCATTTGAGATTGCACAATAATGTGCTGGGTGGTGGGAGCCACTGGCCTGGGCGGTGTGCCCAAAGCACTGGCCACAACATTGGGGGCACCCGGACGTGGTTGATAGGCCACCTGTTGCCTTAGCATAACCCGCTGCTTACTTTGTTGTAGTTTGGAAATATATTCGGCCTTCTTGATGGGATCCAGGGACATGAAGTGGGCATGGGTTTTGTCGTCGAGATGGATTAGTTGGCGTTGGGGCTGGGCACCGGGCGGAAGTATGGCAGCCGATTGTTGTTGCCATTGTCCGGCAGCTGAGGGTCGTATGGATCGAATGAATTGTTGTTGTTGTGGTGGTGGCTGTTGTTGTTGTTGTTGGGGTATAATCTGTTGGATTTGTGGCTGTTGGCCCTGTAGGGGAGATTGTAGCCCACCACCAGTGGAACCGGGGGTGCCTGGTTGTTGCTGTTGCTGCTGCTGCTGGGCAGGACTTTGGGGTGACCAATGGGGTTGCTGTTGTGCCTGTTGATGTTGTGGCGAACTGGCCTGTTGTATAAGTATTTGTTGTTGTTGTTGCTGCTGTTGTGGTGATTGTGGAGGCGGTGTTTGTTGCGGCATTCTCTGACCCTGTTGTTGAGGTTGTTGCTGCTGTTGGATAAGCGTTGTTTGTTGTAGAGGTTGTTGCTGTAAAATAATCTGCTGCTGCTGCTGATGTTGTGGTGACTGCGACAGTTGCTGTTGTTGGGGATCCAGTATCTGCTGCTGTTGAATTTGCATTTGTTGTTGTTTCTGCTGTTGCACCAAAATCTGTTGCTGCTGCTGCTGTTGGGGATTTTGTAGAATCGTTTGGCTCCCAGCCACAATATGTTGCTGGGGTATCGTTTGTTGTATAATAATTTGTTGCTGTTGTTGTTGGCCTGGATGTTGGGGGCTTTGTTGCAGAATTTGTTGTTGTACAATTTGTGGCTGTGTGCCCTGTTGGCCCACAACAATACCAGTCGTTTGCTGCTGCTGCTGCTGTAATTGAGACTTTTGTTGGAATTGCAATTGTTGTTGCTGTTGTTGTAAATATTGCAATCGTTGAGGATTATTGATAATTTGTTGGTTAATGACAATTTGTTGCTGTTGCGGCTGCTGGGGATGGGGAGATTGCTGCTGCTGTGGTGAAGCATTGGGCGCCACTTGATGTTGCTGCAAAAGTATTCTTTGTTGCTGCTGCTGCTGCTGTTGTGGCGATTGCAAGACATTCCCCTCTAAATCAAGAACTTGTTGTTGATGCACAATAGTTTGTTGTTGTTGCTGTTGCTGTGCCAGCGTCCTTTGCTGGCCATACATTGGAGGTGGCGCCTGTTGTTGTTTCATCATTTGATTGGGACTTTGACCAATTTGCTGTACAATTTGTTGTTGGCCTACAACAGTCTGCATTTGTTGTTGAGGTTGTCCAGCAGCCACCGCCGCCTGCTGCTGCTGAAGTTGTTGTTGTTGCTGCTGCTGCTGCATCGCCGTAACATTCGTCTGATTGACAATAAAGAAATTCTGATTTTGTTGGTTTTGTTGTAGTATTTGTTGTTGTTGTTGCAAACTTAATTGATTGAATTGTTGTTGACTGATAATATATTTCGGTTTATTTGGAGTACCCGGTGGGGGAGCGGCCGGAGCTGCAATATTTGTATTTCCACCAGTGGTACTAAGGACCTGTTGCAATTGTCCCCCCCCTGCCACCTGTTGTTGTTGAGTATTTTGAAGTTGTTGTTGTTGTTGCTGCTGCTGCTGCAATTGGACCTGCCTTTGTTGTAAAATTTGTTGCTGTTGTTGGGGGGTGGCGGTTTGGAAAGTTGTGCCCGGTGCCGGTTGTATTGTCTGTTGAATAATTCGCACCCCACCCGCCTGAGATGTTTGCGAATGGGGCTGCTGTTGTTGTTGTTGATTTTGTAATAATTGTTGTTGTTGCTGTTGTTGCATAAGAATTTGCTGCTGTCTTTGCTCTTGTTGCTGCGGTGAGGTACCCACAAATTGCATCTGCGGCTGCTGCTGCTGCTGATTAGGGGATTGTTGGACCACTTGTTGTTGTACAACTTGTTGTTGCTGCACAACTTGTTGTTGTTGTAATTGAGATTGTAATTGTTGTTGTTGCTGCTGCTGATTACCAATCATATTTTGCTGTCCACCCGCCGACTGCTGTTGCAGATGCTGGGGTGATACCATTCCAGTTTTTTGCTGCAAAATTTGTTGTTGCTGTGGCTGCTGTTGCTGTTGTTGTTGTTGCAATTGTAACATTTGTTGTTTCTGTTGTTGCACTGTAACCATGTGGCTTTGTATGATTTGTTGTCCCTGGGCTGTGGCCGTGTTTATGACCTGCCTTTGGCCAGTAACCCCTCCAACCGTTGGGTTATTGGAATTGCCCAACAATGGCTGTTGTTGGGGTTGAGGTTGAGCCTGCTGGGGAGAGGGTTGCTGAGTCTGGGCTTGCTGCTGCTGCTGTTGAGTCTGGGCTTGTTGCTGCTGCTGTAATTGTTGTTGTTGCTGCTGCTGCAACTGCTGCTGCTTCAGTTGTTGGGTCCTCATAATAAGGGACTCATGATTGGGACTAGGTGCGGAACGACTTAGAATCTGAGCCACTTGAACCGGATCTGTGGGATCTATGGGCTTATGATTGGAAATTTGCATTTTCGATTGTTGCTGTTGCATTATTGGTGAGGGTGGTGCGGGAGAAGCCCTATGCTGAGGAGATTGCTGCTGCTGCTGTTGTTGTTGCTGTTGCTGCTGCATTTGTTGCATTTGCAATTGCACCCGCTGAGGTTGCTGGAATGGCTGTGGCGACATCATGTGCTGGGGAGATTGTTGTTGTTGCCTCTGTTGTTGTTGCTGCTGCTGCTGCTGGGATTGTCGGACTTGCTGTAATTGCTGGCGCAGCTGTTGTTGTGGTCCGGCCATTCCTGGTGATTGAGGAGGTGGTGGGGGAGTCATTTGAGGTGCAGGAGATTGTAGCTGACGAGGTGATGGATTTTGCTGCATTCGTGGCGACTGTTGTTGCATTTGCATTTGTTGTTGTTGCTGCTGCTGCTGCTGCTGTTGTTGAGCCTGCTGCTGAGCTTGTTGCAATTGAAGTTGCTGCTGCAACTGTTGCTGTTGTTGCTGCAATTGTTGTTGCTGTTGTTGTAGTTGTCGCTGCAGTGCCTGCTGATTGGGTGTCAAAGTCTGGCCACTTTGTATGTGTTGTTGTAATTGCATTAGCTGTTGTTGCACCATTTGTTGTTGCCTCAAAATGTGCTGATGCATCATCTGGGGTGACATGGTAATGGTCTGCTGTTGCGGCTGCTGCTGCGGACTTGGTTGCTGAATCGTTTGTCCAGCAGAAGTGGCTGCCATGGACTGCGGACCAGCCGTTGAGGGCGACATTTGAATTTGGGAGATATGCTGAGGCGATTGACCCGGCTGTGGTGTGGTCGATGGTTGGGGGGTGCGTGGAGCCTGAGGTGTTTGTCGACCACTTAGAGGCTGGGGTGTCCTAGGCGGCTGTGGTGTACCCGTGGGTGTAGGAGTTCTGGAGTCGGGATTTGTTGAGGTGGGTGTACGTGGAGGCTGGGGCATAAATTGTTGCTGTTGTTGGCCCTGGCCCTGATTGGGGGATTGGAGTTGCTGCAATTGTTGTTGTTGCGGATGCACCTGTTGCTGCTGTTGTTGTTGTTGTTGTTGTAAGCTAACATTTGGTATAATTTTTTGTTGCAGAATAATTGGTTGTGGCTGTCCACCGGCCGTGGTAATTGCACTTGTTGTTGTTGTCGTACCCGTTTGGGAGACTTGTGATGCTTGAATGAGATGATGTTGTTGTTGTTGTTGCAGAATTTGTTGTTGGCTAACATTACGTGGCCTTACGAAAACAATTTGCGATTGTTGAGCCTGTTGCTGCGGTGAAGGAGCTGGCGGAGGTGGTGGTGGCGGCTGTGATTGTGGTTGCTGTTGTTGTTGTTGTTGTAATTGTAAATTGGTCGTTGCCAGCGAATGATCCATGGAGTGATTACCCCCAAAAGGTGATGTGGCCCCACTTTTTGGTGTTGTCGGTGTGGAAGATGAGGTAGTTGCTGCCGATGTTCCTGTCACCGGTGAGCTGGAGGTAAGGACATTGGTTGGTTGTGATTGTTGGTGTTGTTGTTGTGGTTGTTGAGTTAGGGCAGTCTTGTTATTGTCTTTTGCAGCGGCGGCAGTTATTTGTACAGCTGCTGCCTGCAGTTGCGATTTTATATTGGCTATACTTTGGGCAGCATCTAGGGAGGACAGGGAAGGCGATTCACTGACCTTGTCTATTAGGGTGTCATCATCAAAACCCAAAATATTGGATAAGGATTGTTCCACAGACTGGGGCACCACAGTGGTGCTAGTGGTGGTAGAAGGAGGCGGAGGAGGTTGGGGCTGCTGGGTGGAAACTGGAGGCGGAATATTGGCAACAGGCGATGCTGATGTCACAGTAGGCGGCTGGGACTGGGTGGGTGTTGTTGGTCCAGATGAAAGTCGGCTATTATTTCCACTGGATGTTGCTGCGGCGGCATTGGACGCTGCTGCCGGTGCTGCTATTTGAGGTAATTTTGGTTTCTCCACTATTTTGAGAAGACGCGGATGATAGCCATCACATGCTAATAATTTCTTTTGTTTCAAACAATCCACAACCCAATCGGGTGTAACAATGCTTATGGCACTTTTGGGTAGGGCAATGGCTTTCGTATAGACTGGACCCCCAGCCATGCCAGCAATTAAGTGACTATTGTTTCCATTAAAATTTGCCGTCACCTGGGCTCCATTATACGTCAGCATGGCGTACAAACGTTTACGATCACTGGCCGAGACATTGACAATGGCCACGGAAATGTTTTTCATTAAACGATTAACGCTGGGATCAAATGCCGCTGTGGAAGCCAAACGTCCCAGCTTAACGCTGTGCAACACCCATTGTTCTGTCACTGGGATGACCGTATACAGATCCAAGTTCATAGCCAATTCATCTTCATGATAATTGGGAGCACATATTAAATGGGTGACCATATCGGTGAGGAAGGATTTTTTCTGGGCGCCACCATTTTTGAGCAATTGGTCAATCTAGGGAAAAAAAGGAGGGTGAAATAATTAGAAATTCTATGTCTTTTATATTTTCCTATTTTGTAATTTCTAAAGAAATGGTGTAATTATTTTTAATATAAAACCTCTGTGTCACCCTGTGCTGAAAATATAACATTTTTACCGCACTCTTCAGGCACACACACACACACAAACCGCCTGACAACTGATTGTCAAACTAAGCGCCTTCTCCATTAGATGAAGAAAAAAAACTAGATTTCCATAGAGTAGCGCGCTTCATAGCCACTCTACAACACCTACCTCATCTTCCAAATTGCCCACAACAAAATATCGTATATTTGTAAATAAATTTTCACTTATTTTCAAATTTTCCATGATTATTCCACTTCACTCATTGATTCACAACAGCGGGGACAGGCAGATAATTTTCTTTGTTTTTGTTAACCAAGTGAAGTGGCGTGCGTGCCGTTCCGTTCCGTCGTGTTTTCTTTTCTTCTCAGCTTTTCAGACACCAAATTTTTGGCCCAAAAACAAAATTCACTATTTTTCGGCTTTTTCAACGATTTTATGATGAAACTTCATTTGATAACACAACACGGATGTTTTATTTGTTTGCTGAACATCTTTTTAGAACTGTAAACATATTTATAATAAGGTTTTTCGGTGTTTTTCTTGTAAATTAAATCAAATAAACCAAAAAAAGAACGCCACTCGAAGAAGAAATGTAGGTCTCTCCAGATCGAGAGAGAGAGAGCGGTGGCAAACAATCGATTATACTATCAGTCGATGATGCCACTATCGATAGTGACGGTGAAATCTTAAAGTGGGTTCATATGATGACTGGCTGAAATGATAACAAGAAGCCATGATTCTGGTATTCATCATGAAACGATAACACTGAATTTGGAAATGTAATGATATAATTGCAATTTTTATACGTATATTTGTAATTACTACTTAATTGCACTGAAACGGTTGATTTATTTTTTAATATATTAACAGGGTAATGTTAAAATTACCTAAAATTCGACGTATTCGGTATAAATATTTCAAGACAGGAGTCAAACATATGAATTTGTATGAATATTACACAAATGCGTCGAGCGTACAAATTTTCAAAGTTAAACAATTTTAACATAATTTTTTTTGTGAAAACAGAAATGTATAGAAAAATGAGAATTTCTGCAATATGTATTTTTTTGTAAATGGATAAATTTTAAAATTTATAATTTTTTTCAAAATAGATTGGTAGATTTTGGTATGTGGGTAATAGGGACGTACAAAATATTTTACCATAGTGGGGTAGTTGAATATTAAAGTACGCCACGCCGAATTTTAGTAGGAAGAATTTTAGCCCAGTAGTGGGATTTTCTAACTGATTTTTTAAGTTACCAACAAAAATCGGTGACTGAAACCCAAAATTTTGATATAAAAAAGAAAGGTGGGAATACATAAAGCGCTTATCTGGCTGGCTTCTTCGGAAATGAACAAAGGAGGCTATGGCCAAAATCGAACTAAGTCAACCTAAAGCTACCTTGTTCCTCTACGAAGAAGCCAGATGATGACTTAAGCCAGCCAAATATGCGCTTTATGTATTCCTACCCGAAGTTAAAGTTAACAACATTGGAATCTATCGATAGGTCTTGGGGACTACTTGGAATCTCCTTTTTTTGAAAATCTACCTGCTTTCTTCTACCATGCTTGTAGCTGACAAGTTTTTATCTGTATTAACTTTGAAGATAGGAATATATAGATATATTTTTTTGATTTAATGAATTGGTCAGTTTTTTTTTTTTGAAAAACAAAAAAACACTTAAGGTGAGCGTACATAAGCAGCTTGAAGTTTTCGCATGGCATATTTTGTGACATATCATAAAGGGATGCCAGAGCCACACTCGAAACCTGCGGTCACTTTCCCCTTATAATTTGACATTAATATGCCTAGCCATGATGCCGTACTGCTATGTATCTCCCATGGTATAATTAAGAAGGTTCAGTCATTTAATATAAGCATAAAATGCAGAGAGGCATTTTTCTGTATTTTACCTTGTCAAATATCACTGCATAGAAACCAGGTCTCCATTTCTAAAAAGGCAATGAGACATTTGGAAATGAATAATTTAAAAAAAAATTGTAATCAGCAATATTGTCCCTCTATCTTGGATTCAATTTTGTTGAAAAAACCAATTTTCCATTCATCTTTCATCATCAAAATTATTAATTTTGAGAAAAAACTTATTGTTTTATACTTAAAAGACTTTTTGACATAATAAGTACAGTACAGCCGTTTTCCTAGATCCTTTGAAGATTTACGGTATAAATTATTCCACGGTATCTCTTTAATATTTCTTTTGATTGCAAAAACTTGATAGCGACACTACCTTATCAATACAAAATTGTCTTATCTTTTCATTTGCCTTATTCGTAAACAATACACGCTAATTTTGTTTCACCTACCATACGTAAACAAATAATTACGCTTTGTTTCTAAACTTTATTTGCCATTCTGTTATATCCCCCTTCTTTCTGGCAATGGGAACGTTTTTAATTTAGATATGTGCGCAAGAAAATGAACACAAGATGGCGGGATCTTTTACATTTTCTCAACTAAACACGAATTATATTCGGATAATAATATACATTTCCGTTCATAAATAATTGATATTTATATATAAATTAAATTAAATTTATTCAATAGTTGTCGTCCATAAGATATTCAGTTCCACAAGGGAACCAGTTAAATATATGGACAAAGGAACTTAAACTATTTCACACAGTTCCTTGTAGTGAATATTTTATTTGGGAGCCATTTCATTTGTCGAGCCCGGAACGACCGGAGCGAAAATATAAAAATGTCCAACACGGGGGATACTGGTGACACTGTTCTCTCCAATGATATGAATCTGACAAATGAACGGGGAAAATTGCTAACAAATATCGAACCCATAGAAGTGGTTACCTTAATTAGTGACGAATCGGATACGGAGCCCTCACCCAAACGGAAACCTGCAGTGCCAAATGTATCTACAAACAGCAGTAGTGGTGGTGCTGGAAGTGGCAGCGTTAGCGCTACTGGCAGTGTTAAAAAATATGCCGGGGATGGTGGTGGCGAGGATTCAAATGATGGTCATCATGACGAGCGCCGTACCAGTCGCCGCATCAAACCACGAGTGGATTACACAAATAAAACAAATACAACTAATACAGATGAAAAACCATCCACACCATCTGCCGGAGGTACGGGCTCAGCTGGTCACACTTCCAATGCCAGTGTTCATAGTAATTCGGAAAAGAAATCCGATTCTCGGTCTAGAAATAAGGAATCTCTTAAAAGTCCTTTTGCCAAAGAAATCACCGATCCAAGGGAGGCTGCAGCAGCAGCTGCTGAAGCTTATAAGGAAATATTGACTGGCTTGGAGGGTGCAGCGTTTCAGTCAAGACTACCTTTTGACAAGATGACCTCAAACGAGGCCGCCTGTTTTCCAGATATCACCAAAACCGGTTTGGTGGCCCAACGTGTGTTCCTTAATATCAGAAATCGTTTGCTGCAAATGTGGATCGAAAATCCCAAACAACAGCTGATATTGGAAAATGCCCTCAAGGATATGGAACCACCGTTCGACAGTGATCCAAATTTGGTCAAGCGTATACATTCATTTCTCGAACGCCATGGTTTCATTAACTTCGGTATATTCAAACGTCTACGACCAATACCAAGCAAAAAATTGGGAAAGGTCATAGTCATAGGGGCTGGCATCTCGGGACTGGCGGCTGCTCAACAGCTGCAACAGTTTGGCATGGATGTAATTGTCTTGGAGGCCCGAGATCGTGTCGGCGGCCGTATTGCCACTTTTCGTAAAAATAATTACATTGCCGATTTGGGAGCCATGGTTGTGACCGGTGTCTGGGGCAATCCCATGACAATATTGAGCAAACAAATCGGCATGGAAATGATACCAATACGGCAAGCCTGCCCGCTGTATGGTGCTGGCGGGAAACCGGTACCCAAACACAAGGATGACATGGTGGAGAGGGAGTTTAATCGTTTGCTGGAGTCGGCCAGTTATTTGTCTCATCAGCTGGACTTTAATTATGCCGGCAATAATCCTGTTTCTTTAGGTCAGGCTCTGGAATGGATCATAAAACTGCAGGAGAAATCCGTCAAGGAAAAACAGGTCCAATACCTCAGCCAATTGTGTGAGGCACAAAAGGCCATAATTGACAATCAAACTAAGACCTCAAGGATCCTGAGCAAAATAAAGCAGTTAAAGGCCCAGCATGCCAAGTTACTGCGTAGCCGTCCGCCACGGATAGAGGGGGATAGTAACTATGCTGAACATGAGTTTGAAATACGATCCACCCACTATGAATGGTCCAAGGCCTGTAAACAATATGACGAGCTATTGAAGGAGGAGGAGTTACTCCAGAATAAACTCAAAGAGTTGGAATCTAACCCACCAAGGTATGTGTGAGGGTTAGTGGGAATGTAAAATGAGTAAAAATGTATGTATTTCTTTTTCCCTTGCAGCGATGTCTACTTATCCTCCAAAGATCGCCAAATTTTGGACTGGCATTTTGCCAATTTGGAATTCGCCAATGCCACACCGTTGTGCAATCTATCGCTGAAGCACTGGGATCAAGATGATGACTTTGAATTCATTGGCAATCACACAACTGTACGCAATGGCTATTCGTGTGTGCCCATTGCCTTGACAGAGGGCTTGGATATACGTGTCAACACTGCCGTCAAGGCGATCAAATATTTTCCCACCGGCGTTGAAATTGTGGCGGAAAATCTCAAGACCAACAATTCCTCAGTTACCTATAAGGCCGATTTGGTATTGTGTACCCTTACCTTGGGGGTGTTAAAAATTGCCACCGCAAAGGTGCAGTCGCAACAAGCCAACACGGTGAAATTCGAACCACCCCTACCCGACTGGAAACAACAGGCCATACAACGTTTGGGTTTTGGCAATCTAAACAAGGTTGTCTTGTGTTTCGATCGTATCTTTTGGGATCCAAATACGAATCTATTTGGCCATGTTGGCAGCACAACGGCCAGTCGTGGTGAACTGTTTCTCTTTTGGAGTATATCTTCATCGCCTGTGCTGTTGGCCTTGGTGGCCGGTCGATCGGCGGCCATAATGGAAAATGTATCCGATGATGTTATTGTCGGCCGTTGTATTGCCGTATTGAAGGGGATTTTTGGTAATGGTTCGGTGCCCCAGCCGAAAGAGACGGTTGTAACACGCTGGCGTGCCGATCCCTGGGCAAGGGGTTCATATAGTTTTGTATCCGTTGGATCGTCGGGAAGTGATTATGATCTCTTGGCCGCCCCAGTTATACCACCGAATGTCACTAATCCAAAACCAAATCAGGAATTGGATGAATTACCACGACTTTTCTTTGCTGGTGAACATACCATTCGCAACTATCCAGCCACGGTTCATGGTGCTTTTCTGAGTGGCCTACGGGAAGCCGGACGCATTGCGGACTATTATTTGGGTTATCCCGAGGGAACACCGCCTGACATTGGCTATTCAGTTGTGGAGGCGGCCAACACTGCCTCCGTGGGAGACACCGTAGATTTGGTGGATATTGCCCATTCAACGGACTCCTCTTCAAAGACTTCAGATGACAAATCCAATCCTGCCGATTTAAATGAGTGAAATTTATTTTCACCACTTTCATTTTACTAGTTTTAGGAGCTTTCTCGGGAGTCAGATACAGTGGAATTTGGAGGAGAATTTGGTATGAAAAAAGGTGGGGAGTGTAAAAGGGCCATTTCCGCTCTTTGGGCATGGGCTTTTCAAAGATGGTAGATTTTTTGAAAGACAAAATTAGTTTTGTTTTTGGGATCAGGGAGTCAAAAAATGAAATTTCATGGGAAAAATTAACTCGGGGTTTTACAGAATTTTTATTTGGAGAAAAAAGGGAGGGGAAAATTTAATTTGTTTTGGTATCTGAATCCCATCCTATTTTAATACTTCTATCTTACAAAATAATGGTTTTGTTGACTTTGTTATTATAGTTTTTAGTTTCCTACTTTCCAGCGAGCTCAAAATCTCGTAATATTTAGTATTCTATTATTAGTTTTTAATATCTTTTCAAATTTACATTTTTTTATCAATTATCAATAGCCATAGTCTAATGTACATAAAAAATAATAAAAACTGAAATATTTTATCAACCAAGGGGCAACGAAACTAGGTTTCGCCGTATTTTGTTTGTCCGATTTCAGGATTTGAAAGAGTGAAAAAAGGCATTTTTTGTCAAAAAAAATAGTCCCCTCCTTGGCGACATACACATATTTTTAAAGAATAATAAATAATGTACTTAAGACGTAAATAAAAATTAAAATAATGAATAACAAATTTGGTATCTTTTTTGTTAGGCCAAATATACATATATATTTTCCAAAAATATATGGCTATCTTTGCCATTGATTTAGAATTTTATGTGGGTAAATAAAATTAATACTTTATTTTAATTTCCCAACCAAGCCTTAGGCTGATAGTTATTTAAATTATAAATTTCGGGAAAAATAGTGACAAGGCGAAAAACGTGTATATTTTGTGGAAACAAAACCGCATGTGTCGTCCACTGTGACATCTGAAGCCATGATGGAACATTTCTCACCATACATTCTGCAAGTTCTTGCATATAAGAAAGGTGAGATAACCGGAAATCGGGATTTTAAAGTCTGTAAATGTGGTCCACTTTAATTACGTTTGTGAAATATTTTATGTTCTATAAATTGATTTAAAATGGTAAAAACTCATTTTTGGTGAAAGAAATGACATATATTTATTTTTTGCCATTTGTCGCAAATTCTTATTCAAGGTACACCATACACATAAGGAGAAAATATAAATTCTCTTCTCTCTCTTCAATTCTTGTTTTAATAAGTGGAACATTCAATGAGAGAAAAGGAGACAAATTCATAATAATAATAAAAATAACAACAATAATTCTTTTAAATATAAATGAGAAGGAATGAGATTGTCACTTTTTTTCGTTGCAACATGAGTTTGATGTGTTTCCCCGCCATTTCACCCAGTCATGTGTTCGATTATCGGTGTCATTGATCTCTCTCTCGATCTCCCCATTGCAGTACCGTTATCGTGTGTTATTGCGATCGCCAAACATTTATTAATTTTTTATTTTCATGTTTTTTTATTTTTTCCTTAAAAAATAACTTTTTGTTCTCCTCATAACTACTGTTTCTAAACAATTAAGAATAACGCAAGAATCATGGACAAATTACGCAAAGTTTTAAGCGGCAATGATAGTACTCCCGAAGAGGAGGGCAGCATAATTACACAGGTAAGAAAGTGTGAATATGGAAATTATACATTTACCACAGAAAAGGTCACAAATTCTAGGGGAGTGAAGCTAAAAGAATTTAATCTTATAAGAATTCGTAAATCGGAATTTATTTCTTAAATTCCTTTGTATGATGTCAATTTTTGTAAACGAACTGTTGCTGGGCAAGAGTCTTGTAGCGTTTGTGTAAACAGTCTCATGACATTCCGGTAATGACCATTATTTTCTATTTACAATTAATTACGTGCAAATTAACCGCATAATTGTATTTAGTTATTGTCATAGGTTTTAGGGGGTGTGATTCTTCTTTGAAGTCTGGAATAGGTGTGAGGTCTCAATTTTTTGAAAATTAAATGCGCAACTTCTTTAATAAAGATTAGAACAAATAGACTGGGTTGAAAAACCCCATAAACATTACAAAAAACACAATTGATAAGGCCAAAAACAATGTGAGAATATCTAATGCATTTTTTGTATAAACAACAACAACAGGATGCAATCTGGAAATGCATATAAAAACCAGCCGTCAACATCATTACCATGTCATAAAATTAGTATACATTGTATAAATAACCTTTAGATCGAAGGCCTTTTTTAGACCCTGGGTCTCTTTGGACTAAATCCGTTTCAGGATATTTGAAGTCGATCTGGCTGCCGGGTGCGCATGATAACTCTCTAATGGAGTGCCCGAATTGATTCGTAATATTATTAATAATAATAACCAAAACGATCATAAATTAACAATCCAATTCTATTCAGACTTGGCACATCTCAATATTTTCATCAACGTAAGATCTGCTATAAAGATGGTAGAGATCGGACCATTCCTTCAGGTACCTTCCACAAAAAGGGTTAAAATTTTTTAATAACTAAAATGATCATAAAATGCGACATTAACACCCGATTCCATTCATACTTGTTACATCTCAATATTTTCATCAACGCAAGGTGTGTTATAAAGATGGTAGAGATCGGACCATTCCTTCTGGTACCTTCCACACAAATGGTTAAAATTTTGAATAACCAAAACGATCATAAAACGCGAAATAAGCATCCGGTTCTCTTCAAATTACACACATCACAATATTTTTATTAAGGCAAGGTCTGGTTTGAAGATGGGATATATCGGTCCACTCCTTCAAGTACCTCCCCCACAAAGGGTCAAAATTTTGCTATCTAAGAAGCTCATAAAACGCAAAATTAACATACGATTCCATTCAGACTTGATACGTCTCAAAATATCCATCAACACAAGTTCTATTATAAAGATGGTAGAGATCGAACCATTCCTTCTTGTAACTGCCCCACATATGGTTCAAGATTTTGAAAAACAAATCGCTAAAAGAAAGCGAAATAAGCATCCAACTCTCTTCAAATCTCACACATCCAAATATTTTGCTAGCAAGATATGTTGTGAAGATGATATATAACTGCCAACCCCTTCCACTACCTCACCCACAAAGGGCCACAAGAAAATCTGAAGAAAATCTTCAGTAAACAGAATGCCTTTTAGGGGTTTGCCTTAGAACGAAGTTCTTCACAAGGTATCCTGTAAATAGAAGGGCTTCCAAAGGAGACTTATTACATCTCTTCCTTTTTATAGACAAAAGATTTTTACGGGTCTACATTAAAAAAAAAAAAAAAACGTTTCAAAGATCTTTGAAGGTATTTGTTTTTTAGGTATTTAAGATTTTTTATTTATTTATTTTTTTAATTTTTTCCAGATAAATGACATGTCAACCTTAAGCTGGTCCACACGCATTAAAGGTTTTTGCATATGCTTCGTCTTGGGCATTGTACTATCCATACTGGGCTCTGTGATGCTGTTTTTACACCTGGGCATAGTAACATTTGCTGTATTTTATACCCTGGGCAATATTATCTCAATGGCCAGGTTCGTATGCTCAAACAAAAACGAAACACCAGCGAATTAATTTTCCTTTTTTTGTTCTTTAGTACATGCTTTCTCATGGGTCCCTTTAAGCAATTCAAGAAAATGTTTTCGGATACCCGCCTAATTGCCACGTGCATTGTGATATTTTCCATAATAATGACATTGATTGCATCCATTGTGGTATGATAGCATTATTTTTTTCTCATTTTTATTTTAATTTATTAATAATTTTTTGTTTTTGCTTTTTAGTTGCACAAAGCTGGTTTAACATTGATTTTCATTATCATACAATCACTAGCCATGACCTGGTATTCACTGTCATACATTCCCTATGCCAGAGATGCGGTGAAGAAAACACTATCAGCCGTTTTGGATGTTTAAAAAGCATGAAGTTTTCCCCATTTTCTTTTTAGTATTACCTATAGTTTTCACTAATATTTTGTGTTTTTCTTTATTCCCCTGTTTTAATTATTTATTGTTTAATACATGAACAAAAAAAAAAACCCGCTTCCCCCCAACTAACAATTAACCTCTCCAATACATTGTATTATACATTAACTAGTATTAATGAGAAATTTCCGTGATATACACGGAATGGTATGTCAATTATTTTGCACATTTAGATTTATGTTAAAATCATTATCAACCTTATTGTTAATGCGTATATAACAATTCTATTTAATAGATGAAAATCCTCTCTTTATTATAAAAAAGAAATAACAAGTATATTGTAAAATACTTATAACCATTTTTGTATAATAAACAAATATTTTCAGAATAATTTGCAGATTTACAAGATATCACACAGCGGTAGTAGTAACATTTTTGCTTTTTCTGAAACATGATTTTTGGGCCATTTTCATATCGTTTTTTGACTCTTTGTGGGTGAGGTACCAGAAGGGGTTGGCAGATAAATATCATTTTCACAACAGATCTTATCTTAGCAAAAATACTTGGATGGGTGAAATTTAAATAAAGAATTGGATGCTTATATCGCTTTCTTTGAGCGTTTTTTTTTTTGTTTTTTTAATCTTGAACCCTATGTGGGGGAGTTACCAGAAAAATTGGTCCGATCTCTATAATTTTTATAACAAATTTCGTGTTGAGGGAAATATTGAGATGTGTCAAGTCTGAATGGAATCGAGAGTTGATTTTGTGTTTTATGAGCTTCGTGCATATTCAAAATGTTGACTTTTTCTCGGGGTGGTACGAAAAGGAGTGGGCCGATATATTATGTTAATAAAAGTATTGTGTTGTGTGTAATTTGAAGAGCACCGGATTCTTATTTAGGATAATATGATCGTATTGGTTATTCCAAATTTTACCCTTTGTGGAGAAGGTACAAGAAGTCCGATCTCTGCCGTCTTTACAACAAATCTTGTGTTGCTAAAAATATTGAGATTTGCCAAGTCTGAATCGAATCGGATGTTAATTTCGTGTTTTATGAGCTTCATAAATATTCAAAATTCTGACACTTTGTGGGGAAGGTACGAGAAGGAGCGGACCGATATATCCTAATTTCACACCAGACTTTGGGATAATAAAAATATAGTTTTGTGTGTAATTTGAAGAGAACCGGAGGCGTATTTCGGATTTTATGATCGTTTTTGTAATTCAAAACTTTGACCCTTTGTAGGGGAGGTACCAGAAGGAATGGCCCGATCTCTACCATCTTTATAACAGATCTTGTGTTGATGGAAATATTAAAATGTGCCAAGTCTGAATGGAATCCGATGTTTTTTTCGCTTTTTATGAGCTTCATAAATATTCAAAATGTTTACCCTTTGCGGGGGAGGTACGACAAGGGATGGGTCAATATAACCAAGTTATCTCCGAACTTAATCTAAGTTTTACAATAATATTACGATATACCAAGTTTGGATCAAATCGGATACTCCCTTAGAGAGTCATCGTGCGCACCAGCAGACAGACGGACATCTCTAGATCGACTCCAAATGTCCTGAAATGGATTTGGTCCAAAGAGAACTAGGGCCTAAAACCGTTATTGCGATGAGGCACGCAGGTTTTGGTCGTATCAAATGATATACACCTAGCCATATGGCAGATGGTATAAAAAATCAAAAAAAAAAATCTCTTTGAAAATATTTCTTTAACATTTTTTTTATATTTTGCTCCCTCTTAAATATCCAATTAATAAACACAGATTTCACGTTTGTTGTTTTCATCAATATTTAATTCCTTTTTCTGGCATTTTATTTATAAGAATATTAACAAAATAAAGAAAAAAATACATATTTCTTTTTCATTAAAATATATGTTTTTTTATGTATAGCCAACAGTTCAATCTCTTTTTCTTTTTTGTTGTTTTGTTCTCTGTCTAAGTAGTATAAATTACTTACAAAAAAAGAATTAACTTAGCCTTAACACAATGGTATAAGTTTTGTTTTTGTTTTTAAATTTCTTATAAATATTTTTTTAATTAATTTTTTATAGTTTTTATTTTGTGGTAGGGCCCTTTATTTAAGGTTTCATAATATATGAAAACATTTGAAGTTATAGGCCTGCCTGGCTGCGTGTCTGGGCAAAATTTCAATATTTATTATTTACTTAAGTTTATGTAGAACAAAGAAAACAAAACAAAATTTAATATTAACAAAGTATTTAAAAACGAAATTGCATAGAATCAATCTTTTGGGAGGAGGTGGCAGAAAAGCAAAATAAACTTAATATTAGCTAAATAAAAATTATAAGATAATAATTAGTTTAATATGAATATGTAGGTGATAGTATAACAATTTAAGATTTTGTTTTTTATTTTTTTCTAATATCAAAAATAAATTATACATTAACGGCGATTTGATTGACTGATTCGAAGAATGATCTTTTTGTTTTGTATATATAAATATGTTTTTTTTGGTGGCTGTTTACATTTGTTTATATATATTTAATAACTATTTGAAAAATTTTCTTGTGTTTTTTTTTTGCTGTGGAGGGGGTAAAGGGTTCATCTTAAGTATTAAATGTTTGCTTTTGTTTTCCATTTCATTTATGGTAATCAGTACAAATTATGGCTTAAAAAAATATATAGACATACATACATATCTATACAATTAAATATAGTACGTTAATAATGAATAAGTTAAACTTATTGAATAACTTGCATTTTCTTTATTTTATTTTTAACTAAAAACAAAATTGCTTGGTATTTTTTTGTTTAATTTTTAGGTTAAGGAGAATTTGTTGTTTTTTCTTGGTTTTCGTTTTCAGTTGTGGTTTTTTTTTGGAGGGGAGAGGTGTTTTGAAACTAAAGTCTGATGTTCTTTTATTTGGTTTTTTTTTTTTGTGGGATGGAGATGGAGTTGTTTGGTAATCATTTATTCAATCTTCTTGTCGTTGCGTTTTTGGGATTTTTTGGGCGATACTTTGCCTAGAAATAAACAAAAAACAATAAAATATAGAAACAATAAATGAGATAAGAAAATTATAATACAATTACGGATTATTTTACAAATTTATATGTTCCAATAAGGGTGGGGGGTGTTGACTAATATCGGGTGCTATATTCTATTTATAAAAGAATTTACGGCGATATTGCTTTTGGTGCGGTTTTAATTTTTTTTTTAGTCATCGTCTGTCAAGAAGAGAAGCAAGCGGTGTGGAAAAGCATGAAGTTAGGACTGCAAAGTTGGAAAAAATTCGCCTCGACTCTTAAAGACCGAAATAGTGCCTCTACGTTGTAAAGGATTTTGAAAACCCATTCAGATTAAATTTCCAATTCCATTGTATATTTTAAAAATTCATGCTAATGGCCACAAAATATCCTCGAAAAATTATTAATTTTTTTCAAGCCGCAAAATATATAAAAAATCTTCGATAACAGGCCTTTGAATATTCTCGGAAAAATATGTAAAAATGCCCCTTGAGAGATCAACAATTATTCTCGAAAAATATTAAAAAACCAAGTAAAATAGTATCAGTCGGTTTTGCCGAAATATTTATACCCCCAGCCTTGAGTTATGATTATTAAAACTACTGTTGACCCTTTTTGGGGGAGGTTCCGAAGCAGTTGGACAATTCGTATCTGACCCAAGACTGATAAAAATACTACAACGTGCCAGATTTGGACTACATCCTATACTTTGTATGAAATATTTGCAATTTTTTGGAAAATGAGGTAACAAATATAGCGGACCGAAGTATTCTATTTTTATACTTCATCTAATACAGATAAAACCGGTAGGGAAAGCTCAAAAGTCGCCGACTATATGATACCCTACACCACTATGCATATTTAGTAGAGCTCTCGTCAAAGTAAGGTTTATATTGCAATTTCTGAGCTCTATGAGATATCTGGTACAAAATATCATTATGGTAGAGTGCATATTCCGAAAGTTGGAGATTTAAACACCAAATGGGATGAAACATAAATATGGGAGCAAATTTGAAATTCTTGCTTCTGTGCTAAACTCGGTTGAATTGCGAAAATTCACTCCATTTGAGCTAATATTAGTCATTGTGCACCAACAATAGAACTGTAATCGGATAATGATATATATGGGAGCTATATCCAAATCTGAACCGATCTTGAAAAATTTTGAATCATGAATTGCTAGGCTGTATCTGATATCTGGTGCTAAATATCCGTCTTGTGGAGTGCATATTACGAATGTGAGGGACTTAAACACCAAATCGGATGAATCATGTATATATGGGAGCTGTAGCTATATCTGAACCGATTTTCATCAAATTTAAAGTACTTATTTCTATACTAAATTCGGTCGGAAGTGCCAAAATTCACACCATTTGGACTGATATTTGCCATTTGGTGAACAAGAAACCTAAAATCGGATGAAACATATATATGGGAGCTATAGCTTTATCTTAGCCGATTTTTACCAAATTTGAAATACATGTTTGTAGGCTGAATTCGGTAGGAAATGCCTAAATTCACTCCATTTGGGCCACAAAAAACCTGAAATCGGTCGTATATATATATGGGAGCTATATATAAATTTGGACCGATTTTCACCAATTGTCCTTGAGCCAAACAAATGTTATTTGGAAAATTTCATCTCAATCGAATAATAAATGCGACCTGCATTTTGTTTACAAAAATACATGACTGACGGACAGACGCACGGACGGACATGTATAAATCGACTTACATAAAGATCTTGCGTTAGCAAAAATACTTAAATGGGTGGGGGTGGTACTTGATGGAGTGGACGAATATTATTCATTTTCGCACCTGGCCTAGCACTGATGTAAATATAAGGATATGTAAAGTTGGAGCAAAATCGGATTATCCTTTCTCTTTCTGTGCAGTAAATTATTTTCTTTGAAAATGTTGACATTTTGTGGGGGGAGAAACCAAAAGGAGTGGTCCAATATTGCCCATTTCTGAACTCGATCCCTACGAGGATTATCATGCGCACCAGCCAGCCAGACAGACAGGCGGACGGACAGATGGACATCGCTAGATCGACTTCAAATGTCCTGAAACGGATTTGGTCCAAAGAGACCTAGGGTCTAAAACCGTTATTTCGATGAGGCACGTTTTTGCCGTATAAAAAAATAAAAAAAAATAATTAAATATTGACAAAAAATATCTAAAAAATCTACGTTAACGGGCCTCAAAAAATCCACCTTAAGAGACCTTCAATTATTCTCGAAAATGTTAAAAATAATCACCGTGCATCTAATAGACCTATCAGTTACCTCCAAAATATTTAAAAAAATCTTGTTAATAGGTCTTTAAATAGCGTGGGAAAAAATTTTAAAATCCAGGTTGCAAATATTACGGAAATATTACGGAAAATTATTTACAAATCAGCGTTGAAGGCCTCTTAATATCCGCGAAAAATTATTGTTTAAAATCGCATTGATAGGTTTTTAAATATCTATTATGTATAGGAGTTCTTGGAACCGTCAATCAATTGTTAATTTTGTTCATTTTTTGTTAATTTGTTTTAGTATTTAATTTTAAGTAAATCTTTTAAGATTAAGGATATTATTATTAATTCAGAGCAGTCATGTATAGAAGTTTTTGGAACCGTCCATGGCCCTATCGGCTAGGTTTCTGTACAAATTGAAAATAAATAAATAAATAATCACCGCGCATCTAATGGGCCTGTCAGTTATCTCCAAAAATATTAAAAAATCTTGTTAATTGGTCTTTAATAAGCATCGAAAAAGTATTTAAATTCTTTTTTAAAAACCACATTGATAGGCATTTAAATATCTGAAAAATCTACTTTAACAGGCCACCTTTATAGACCTGCAATTGTTCTCGAAAAATATTTAAACATAATCAACGTAATACGACTTTACATATCTACAAAAGAATATATTTAAAATGCATTTAGATGCTTGTCAGTTACCTCCAAAAAAATATTTAAAAAATTTTGTTAATAGGTCTTTAAATAACATCGAAAAATTAAAAATATCCCTTATAGGCCTCTTAATACTCTCGAAAATATCATCCAAAAAATATCCAAGAATCCAAGTTTTTAGACCTTCCCAATCTAAGTTCAAGTTTTCTTGCTTTTTGTTCTCTTCTTTATCATTTTCTCTCTTACGCATTTAAAACCGCACCAATTTTGAATTTAAATCTAGAAATGAGCTTTCTTATTCAAGGTGGGTGGGTAGTAGAAGAACATAATAGAATGGGGTGTTGGAAAATCAAAAAATATTTATACTTAAAATTCTAGAACTAGACAATTTTTATTTTAATATCATAAGGTGTGCTTTCAATATCAACATGTTTGCTAATGGTCTTATTTAACTTTCCTCGTGCATGTTCTATGATTCTAGGATGTATCATATAAATGGGACCTGGTCGGTTGGTAGTGGTGGTGGTGGTTGTGGATTTTTTTTATAGTTTTTTTTTTTTACAGAAAACAACAAATGGCAAGGATAGCATGAAAGTACACAGACAAACAAACACACAGAAAGAAAGAAAATATATAGACACATCATATCATAATGAAGTTTTGAGATTTGCATATAATTTTTGTTATAAATACAAGTACAGTTTGTTTTTGTTTTAAATTAAATATTAAAAAATGGATTGAGGGTTTGGGGAAGTTGTATGTGAAATTAATATAAATTAAATTATTACCAATTTGATGTAAAATCCAAATCAAAAGTTAAGATATTAAAGAAAACTTTAAAAAACGAAATACACAAAAGAAATAGAAGTTTAATTTTTGGTTTTTCCAAAAAAACACAAAGAACGGCACCATTTATATGTTTCATTACTGGCCACAACTTACCTTTTGATTCTTTGCTCTCTTGCGATTTAAGCTTTTTAACAGGAGATGGTTGATTTTTACTGGTTTTGCGTTTGTCCATCATGCGCTGCAAGAGGGGGAAAGCCGGAAGGAAACATGTTAGTTATTTGCATTAATTATGTAGGACATTGTTAAGAACTCAAAAAACAATAACAACAACCTACCTGCCATAATATACAGCCATACACAAATGCCACCGATATTAAAACTTGTACCGTCAGCCAAATAACAATGTTTATGGCTTGCGTGCGTTCAAACAGTTCTTTGCCATTTTTAATGCATAAAATTGCCTCGGATACCATGATGGCACCATACACCCAACATTGGGTGCCAACACGTTTACAGCGGGTATCCGTCACATAGGTGTAGTATTGCCTGAAAGAACGTGTTACAGTTAGTAATAATTAAATGTTTTTTTTTTTTAATACCCATAAACCTACCTAACAGATGGGGCCACAAATAGGCCCACAAACACCAAACGGCCAATGACAATATAATGATCTGGTGGCATTTCGAATATGTGCTTTAGGAAGAATGTGTTCAGTTCAGTTACCTTTCAAAAGGAAAAGAATATAAACAATATTAAAAAATATTCTAAAAAAAGACTCACTTCAACTCACCTGCCAAAATATCACCAACTGTATAACAGCTGCAAAACGCATAGCAGTCGACTTGGGATCCAACCATCTAATGGCTGTCCAACTTTCTGGGGTGAATTGTAGAACGGCACGTTTTATCTTACCACTCGTCGATGAGATATCCTTGATGCTGGCCCATTTGTATTCACGCATTTCCAACATTTTACAGATTTTCAAACCGACCCATATACCCAAACCGTTGCATATTAAAACATCCAAGATCAGGGCATCCCACCAACATTCCACAAAATTAGGCAATAAATGAGCAAAGGTAATCTCGGTGATTTCCCACATAATTGAGATGGCCCACAGAATACCCATGTGACGTATCAGTACAGCCTTAAAGGCCCAGCCCAAGAAATGACCCCAGGCGAAAACATCCAAATGACCTTTGACTCGCTCAAAGGAGACATCGGAACAGTTGACACCATATTCCTGCAAGTAACAAGACAAGTATTTAAATGTTTTTTTTTTTTTTTTTTTTTTTTTTTTTTTTGTTAAATTAAATATTCTGATCAGAATACCTACCTTATCCATATTAATATGGAAATCTTTTAATTTCGGATCCAGCCAATAGAAAATATTCATTATAGTCTTGTGATTTTGGAACATTAGAAATTGCAAGGCCATTAAATAAAGCACTGAACAACCAAAGAGTATACGCCATACGGCCGGATGCGGCCGTGTAAAGGGACCATTGGGAAATGCCAGCACCGAAATGATTAGGAAAAAGAATACCACGCACAATATGCCAGACCAAATGTTTTCTTCGAAATTACCTTCGTCCCTGGAAGGATGAAAAAGGAGGAGAAAATTTAAAATTATTTCAAAATGGACTTAAACATTAAAAAAATGTTTTTTGATAAATAAATAAATAAAGGGAAATCCAAAAAATTTAAAATCAGTGGCGTTTTTTGAAACGAAAAAAAAAGAAACAGTTTTGTTTTTATACTCTCAGACCTATGGCTAGAGAGGGCATGTATCATTTGATACGACCAAAACGTGGCTCATCGCAATAACGGTTTTAGACCCTAGGTCTCTTTGGACGAAATACATTTCAGGACATTTGTAGTCAATGTAGCGTTGTCCGTCCGTCCATCTGGCTGGCTGATGCATACGATAACTCTCGAATGAAGTATCCGATTTAACCCAAACTTGGTACATCGTAATATTATTGTCAAACTTAGATCGAGTTCGGAGATGGGCAGTAACGGGCCACTCCTTCTGGTACCTCTCCCACAAAATCTCAACATTTTCAAAGAAAATAATTTACTGCACTGAAAGAGAAAGCATAATCCGATTTCGCTCAAACTTTGCATATCCTAATATTTGCATCAATGCTTGGTCAGGTGCCAAAATGGACAATATCGGTCCACTCCATCAAGTACCTCCCTCACAAACGGTTAATATTTTGAATAACCAAAACGATCATAAAATCCGTAGTAAGCATCCGGTCCTCTTCAAATTACACACATCACAATATTTTCATTAACCCAAGTTGTGGTGTGAAATTGGGATATATCGGTCCAATCCTTCTTGTACCACCCCCACATAGGATCAGAATTTTGAATGTCCATGAAGCTCATAAACGCGAAAATAACATGCGATTCCATTCAGACTTGATAAATCTCAATATTTCCATCAACACAAGATCTGTTATACAGAAGGTAGAGACCCTTCTGGTACCTTACCCACAAACGGTCACAATGTACATTACTTTTGTCTGGCATAACTTGCGAAACAAGTCGGAAATTCTATACAACTTGCTATATCTATATATTTTCCTTAATCAGAAATCTAATATAAATATGTAATTTATCTAAATTCCGATGATTTCGCATAAATTTGGATATAAATGTTGGATTTACTTCAAATTTTGCACATACCAATATTTCAATCTGTGTGTATTTTATCTGTTACCTGATGCATTTTTTACATTTTCCCACTGTGCCAACTGCTTCGGAACCTCTCCCATAAAGGGTCAACAGTTTGAATAATCATAACTCAAAGCTGGGGGTATAAATCTGTCGACAAAACCGACTGATACTATTTTACGTCCAAAATGATTATCATCAATTGTTTTACAGTAAATATTTCAGCCTTAAAGTATGCTTTACAAATAGGCCTGTTTTTTGCAATGGCAGACAGGGTGACACATAGATTTAAAGATGTAGCAATAAATTGCAAGATTTTTATTACTGCTGAGAGAGATAGAGCTCTTTAAAAAAAAGATATAAATCATAAGGATAGGAGACCCGAAATGCTAAAACTTTCATGCCTTGGAAATCTGTGGCTTGATTTCCTAACTCCAGTTCTAGAAAAAGATACCAGTCATGCATAAGTAGTTTAGTTTAGAGGACGTGCAGTTACAGGTGAGATTCTAACTCCCTCACTCGGAAACCTATCGGTCCATTGTGATCATCCTGCGTTCAAATAAGAAAAGAAAGAAGGAGTTAAGAAGGGTTAAACGGTGATATTTCTATGTAAAGAGAAGTAGAAAAAATGGAGAAAAAGCATCGAAAAAAAGTGATGACACCGCGAAGAGCTGTTTCTACAGACTTTCCTTTTATAGAAGCGTACTGCGAGAGTTGCTCACCAGTAGACCATCTATAAATTATATCTTCTAAAAAAATATTTTATTTAAAAATTATATTTTATATAAATCTTTTTTTTATAAATCTTCTTTCTATAAATCTTTTCTTCTCCTTCTCCCTATCCCCAAAATGTTCACCCTTTGTGTGAAAGGTACCAGAAGAAGTGGAGCGATCTTGTGCTAATAAAAATATAGAAAATTGTGAAATTTGAAGAAAATCGGGTATTTATTTTGGATTTTATCCCCCGGCCTTGTGGGGGAGGTAACAGAGGGAGTGGAGCGAATTATTTCATATTCACACCCGATCTTGTGTTGATAAAAATATTGGGATGTGCCTCGTTTGAAAGAGATCTGATTGTTATTTCGCGTTTTGTGAGCTTCTCGTTGCTCACCGTTCAAATATCCAGGTTAATTTAAAATTTCAAGGGTCTTTATAAGGTCTTTATAAGAAAGAATGATAGACCAATTGGTCTATAGTCTATCGGAGTGTTGTGTGACTTGGCTTAAAAGCTATAGGTGTATAAGTCACTCTATCCTCTCTATACTGTTGAGATATAGGTGAGAGATAAAAACAAGCCTTATATATCGTTTCCAGGATAATATTGTAATACAAGCGATGAGGGATTTGCAACATCGCTGATATAACACCATCTGATCCAGGTGATTTATAAGCCTGAAAGGTATCAATCGCCCACTTGAATTTGTGAGTAAAGTAATTACTTTCTATGCTTAACCCTCGCAAGTTATGGAACAGATATATGACAAAAATGTCAATTCTTGATGGGAACAATAGTCAAAATCATCTCTAGGTCAGGGCAAAGTTCAGCACCCCATCATATAATGACCAGGGTTTGCATTGCTTATCCATAGTGCAATTCATCACTGGATATATTAATTATCCTATCGTGTTCGTTTTAGACATTGATAAAAACTGAAGTTTCACTGAATATAATTCCCGCCCGTATTGAAAAGGATTACTTTCTTTTAGAAAATATCCCTTTTTTTGTTAAGGCTAACTTATCATTCGTTTTACTCTTTAGTATCATAATTTATATTTTTTTTGCCGATAATATTTCATTGTACATAGACCGGTTTCTTTTTGCGTTTAACACAACGTTCCTATTTCAGGCACGACGAAGCATTGAAATCTTTTAATAGAAAAAAAAATAATAAAAGAAAATACTTAAATAAGAACAAAAAAATGTGAATGCCTAGCAATTGCTGGGCAAAGTAAAAAGACAAAACAAAACGAAATGAATACGTCACATGAAAAAGAAAAAAAAAATCGCGTGATTCTCAACGGCATGGGGGGATAATCCAAAGTCTGACACTCGACACAGTAACCATTCATCTTAAAATTGATGATTATGCATAATCAGTATTGGTATCAGATGATTTTTTTTCTCAGCCGGATCCCCCTTTAAAACAATTATTGTTATCAAATTGTCTTATCTCTGGGAGGTCTAATACAAAATATTCAATATGAAGATAAGGTTTCCATGTTGACATTTGACCACTGACGGCCGCGTGCAAAGGCGGATCTATAATTTTGGTTCGAAAAGGGGTTTAAACACATGTTTTTGGAATCAGAAAAGAATGACAAGTGATAAGATTGTGATAACGTAAGAAAACATTGACATTTTTAAAACACTGGTAATTTGAGTACAAATATTTTAAAGATTAATTCGATTTTTTGGTACAAGCTACACAAAATAAGATTTTTTTTTTTGGATGCCTTGTTATGAATTTCCTTATCGAGATAATTTCCCAAGTCTCATTGAGATTAATGATTCTAATTTCACAATTAGCCATTATTTCCTATATAGGCCCCTATATTTTGTATTTAATACTTATTACATCCCCCCTCTTCGACCATTTTTTTCATTAATAATAAAACAATACAAATAGATCCGGAATAAAAAAATCGCCAACTTCCAAAGAAAACCCGCAGCTGAACAAATAAACGCTTTAAAAAGACATGAAGTGGGGGGTCAATAACCTTATCTGCTGTTGTGATGAAAGTGAAAACTGTGAATAATAATATTCTTAAGTGGATAGAAGGCCTGGCAAAGAAATTACCAATGAAACTGAAAGTCATGTATTTGAAAAAGTAAATTTTGAAGAAATATGAGGTAGGGTGTCTGCAGGCATTTCACGAAAAAAAATATTTGAAAATTATGTTATATTTGAAAATTATATTTTAATAAATTATTTACTTCTAGCTATACATTTGTTCTTCTACTTCTCCCTATCCCCAAAATGTTCAAACTTTGTGTGGAAGGTACCAGAAGAAGTGGAGCGATCTTGTTCTAATAAAAATATAGGAAATTGTGAAATTTGTAGAAAATTGGGTATTTATTTTGCATTTTATCCCCCCGAGTTGTGGGAGAGGTAACAGAGGGAGTGAAGCGATTTATTCCATCTTCACACCAGATCATGTGTTGATAGAATTACAGAGATCGGATTGTTATTTCGCGTTTTATCGGTTTCGTGGTTATTCAAAATTTTTGACCCCTTGTGGGGAAGGTACCAGATCGGGCTCTCACATCATATTTTATAAGAAGTTATAATAATTTTAAATAGTAAGATATTGTCCATTTTTGCAACTGATTTAGAACTGACGTAAATATTAGGATTTGCAAAGTTGGATCAAAATCGGATTATTGCTTCTCTTTCTGTACAGAAAATATATTAATTTTGAAAATTTTTGGGGAGGTACCAGAAGGAGTGGGCCGAACTCGATCTAAGTTTGACAAAAATATTACGATGTACTAAGTTTGGGGCAAATCGGATACTCCCTTCGAGACTTATAGTGAGCATCCTTAGATCGATTTGAAATATCCTGATTATGATTTGGTCCAAATAGAGCTAGGGCCTAAAACCGCTATTTCGATGAGGCATGTTTTCGTCGTATCAAATGATACATGCTCTTGGTAGCCATATGGCTAAGGGTATACAAATCCGCGTTTATAGAACTTAAAGAAAATGGAAAAAGCCTTGTTTCGGAATAATGTTTAAAAATTCCTTTTTATGGGCCTCGAAGTATATTCAGAATTAAATTTAAAAAATCCACGTTAATATGCCTTGAAATATCTTCAGAAAAATATTTTAAAAGTCCACATTAATAGGCCTCGAAATATCTTCAGAAAAATATTTAAAAAATCCACGTTTATGGGCCTCGAAATATCTTCAAAAAATATTTAAAAAATCCACGTTTATGGGCCTCGAAATATCTTCAAAAAATATTTAAAAAATCCACGTTTATGGGCCTCGAAATATCTTCAGAAAAATATTTTAAAAATCCAGGTTAATGTGCCTTGATATATCTTCAAAAAACTTTATAAAAATCCACGTTTATGGGCTGCTAAATATTTTCAGAAAAATATTTTAAAAATCCACGTTTATGGGCTACAAAAAAAAATCAAATATCTTCAAAAAAATGTTTTAAAAATCCACGTTTATGGGCTACAAAAAAAATCAAATATCTTCAAAAAAATATTTTAAAAATCCACGTTTATGGGCTATGAAATATCTTCAAAAAAATATTTTAAAAATCAACGTTTATGGGCTACGAAATATCTTCAAAAAATATTTTAAAAATCAACGTTTATGGGCTACGAAATATCTTCAAAAAATATTTTAAAAATCCACGTTTATCGGCTACGAAATATCTTCAAAAAAATATTTTAAAAATCCACATTTATGGGCTACGAAATATCTTCAAAAAATATGTTTTCAAAAAATGTTTAGAAAATGGAAATTTATGAGCCAAAAAAAATATTTAAAAATAAATTAAAAATCCACGATTTGGGCGGTGAAAAAAATGTTTAAAAAATCCACGACTATGGACCTCGAAAAATATTTAAAAAAATCGACGATTATGGAAATCGAAACATTTTCGGAAAAATGTGGACTATATGGAATATGAACCTTAAAATATCAAAAAAATATTTTAAAAATCCTCTATTATGGGCCTCAAAAATTATTTAAAAATCCACATTCATGGGCCTCGAAATATCTTGAGAAAAACATTTTAAAAATCCACGTTAATGTGCTTTGAATTATATTCAAAAAACTTTATAAAAATTCACGTTTATGGGCTGCGAAATATTTTCGGAAAAATATTTAAAAAATGGAAATTTACCTTTAAAATAATTAAAAAAAATATATTTAAAAATTCACGCTTATGGGCTACGAACAAATATTTTAAAATATCCACGATTAAAGACCCCGAAATATCTTCGAAAAAAACTATTTAAAAAAATCTACGATTATTGACCTAGAAATATCTTCGAAAACAAATATTTTTAAAAAAATCCATGTTATAGGCCTTCATATAATTTCCTAAAATATTAAAAAAAAAGATTAAAAAGCATTCAAAAATGTTCCAAAATATAATTGAAAATTCCACCTTTATAGGCTTCAAAATGTAATTGAAAATCCACTTTTTCACTCTTCGTTTCTATTTTATAGGCCTCCAAATATATTTCAAAAAATATTGAAAAATCCACCTTAAAATATATTCCATAAAATAATTAATAAATTCACCTCTATAGGCCTCAATTTTCTTTTTCAAAATTCGAAAAAAAAAAATAATTTTGGAAGCATTAAAAAAAAATAAAAAGTCATCCTTTATAGGCTTCAAAATATATATTTAAAAAGTAATCGAAAAAACCAACTTTTCCACGTTTCGATTCTATTTTAAAGGATCTCCAAATATATTCCATAAAATATAATTAAAAAGTTAACCTTAAAAGTAACCCCTAAAATATTCCAAAAAATAACTGATAAATCTCAAAATAATTATCACAAACTAATTAGAAAACCCAGTTTAGTTTAAAATTCCATATTTCCTTCCACTTTCTTCCTTTAAACCCCATCCTGTCTATGCTTTGCTTTTCTATGGGATTGTGAGTCTCACAAAGAAATCTGTTTGTCATATGTGGACGATGCCGCCTACCCACAATTCTCTACCCGTATCTGACAATCACAAAGAACCACCTCAAGATCCACATGGAGTGTAAAAAAAAACTACAAAGATTTTCAATTCCATGACAACAAAAACAACTAGAATTAAAACACACAACGGCGAGACTTGAAATGAGAAATGTCACTTCTTCATGTTCTCCCGCACCCCTCACAGAGTGTTTTGCTTCCACATTTGTTTCTAAAGGTTGGCTAGCTTGCTGGCTGCCTATAACGCCTGATAATCAATACGTAACGTGGTGATGATGAAGGTTGATATCGTTTTGTTTTTGGGGAGCACACACAGGCACAAAACAAAGCAATTAACGCAGTGCAATGAGTGTCAATAAATTACAACAACACGGATTCATCTGAGGAATATTATATAAAAATCGGATTGGATTGGATTTTGTTTGAGAAAAAAAAAAAAACGTGAAACAACTTACGCATCCATTTTAGATACTCCTGGAATGTATGCAAAAGCATTGGCCAAAACTATAAATGCAACTTGATTTCAATTTTGTTTGCTTTGTTTTTTGTGTTGATTTGTTTGCCTTAGAGAAAATTTTCTTGTGTTGTTGCTGCTGCTGACCCGTTCAACTTTTGATCATTTGTATTGTTAAAAATAGTAACCATAGTACGATATTTAGTAACATTATTTCAAGATTGCTCTTAACTATAAATATATATGTATGTATATTATCGAGGCAAAATGGTAGACGACAATGAAGACTTTTTTGTTTTGTTTAACTTTTTTGTTAGAATTTTGATTTGAGACTATTTTCGATTTTTTTTATAGGAAGTGAATTGAATTTGTTTAAATTGTATGCTGTTTCACGCGTTGTTGAACAGCTAACTAAAAAGAAATGACACAATTTTGTCAATGGCCAAAGAAAGGAAGTATGCCAAAGAAGAAACTACATGAATTTTAGCGACCTTTTTCACATGGGGAGCCACCACACATAGAACAACAAACAGTTAAAAGCAGGAGAAATAGGGGTAGGTGCAAAAACAAAAAAATAAAAAAAAGACATTGAATACGCTAAAGCGTAGATGGCGAAGGGGGAGAAGGAAAGGAAGATGAAATGTCTTTAAAAAAATCAAGACTGAAGGTTCCACGATTACAAAATATAGTTTTAAAAAATCTGCAAATAGTCCAGGAGGTTACCTTCGAGAAATAATTAAAAAAAGTCCAAAAAATTTATGGGAGGACCTTTAAAAATTCCTAGAACATACTTAGGAGGGCCTATCAACAATTCATAAACATTTATAAACAATTCATAAACATAGCATTAGCAATAACAAATTTGCTGCAACAATAGACCCGAAGATGACCTTCGAGAAATAATTAAAAAAAGTCCAAAAAATCTTTAGGAGGACCTTTAAATATTCCTAGAACGTACTTAGGAGGGCCTATTAACAATTCATAAAAATTTAGCAATAACAGATTTACTTTGAAAAATTGCACAATCAAACCAATTGAATATATTCTTAAGTTATTTTCTAAAGGTCTCTAGAGCTTCACATCGATACCCACACATTACCTTGGTTTGTCTTACAAGGACTGGATGTATTCCAGGCATTAACGGAGAGGAAAACATGTATACCGTCGTACTCAGGGCCCCTAGGGGTACCTGTGGCATAATTTTCAAGCACCGAAAATGATTTAAGAATGTATGTTGTTGTGTTTTTCAAATCTGAATAAAAAAATTTCGATATGTACAGGGTGAGATGAAAAAACTACAACCAAAATGAAAATGTGCACCTTCGGCTGGCCACCAGAACTCAAGCACCGGCCATGGTGATGGTGCGGGTCACCATAACAGCCGTTGGTCGCCCTAAGCTCGTATTAATCCACCGTGGCATCAGAACAAATGCCGAATATTATCGCGAAAATATTCTGTGGGGTGTACTAAAGCCTTGGGCACGCCAAAATTTTGGCTGCAGACCTTGGACATTTCAACAGGACTCAGCACTTTCGCACTCAGCACGCGCCTCTCAAGAATGGTTACAAAACAAGGTTCCTCGCTTCATTTCCAGCGCACAATGGCCACCAAAATCTCCGGATACCAATCCTGAGGACTATTATGTCTGGAGTATTTTTGAAAGCAAGGTTGGCACTAAAATATACCAAACTGTCGATCACCTCAAACAAGCGCTTCGCCGGGAATGGGCCAAAATACCTCAGAGCAACATTCGGGCAGCGTGTGACGGTTTCATTGGCCGTTTGAAGGCCATAATTCGTGTCAATAGTGACCAATTCAAACAAATCTAAACTTATTCTAAAATTTGATGCTATTTCCGACATTTTTTGCTTTTATTCAATAAAAGTTTAAAAAAAATATTTCAAATTTTTTGCAAATTTTTAACCTTTTAACCTAGAAATTCATCATAATTTTAAATTCTTCCAGTACGAAATTTCCTTTTAAGAACAAGGCTTTCTTTGGAATGTATGTTGTGATGTTTTTCAAATCTGGAAGAAACATTTCCATATGTATTGAAATATTTCAAAATTTTTGCAAATTTTTAACCTCAAAGGTCTAGAAATTCCTCTTAATTTAAATTTTTTTCAGGACGAAATTTTCTTTAAGAAATTGTTTTCTTTGGAATGTATGCTGTGGTGTTATTCAAATCTGAAAAAAATGAAATGTATTAAAATATTTCAATTTTTTTTTCAAAACTTTAACCACAAAGCTCTAGAAATTCCTCTTGATTTTAAAATTCTATCAGTACGCAATTCCCTTTTTTCGAAGCCACCCTTCTGACTCAAAACAATCTTGACTACGCCCCTGTTTTAGGAAATATTATTTTTGCAGTTTTAGCATATGCGCATTGTTCCGCTTCATTTTGGTTTTGAAATCATACCTATCCTATGATGAATAGGTGAAGAGTAGCATGCAAAAAGGGGGGCGGGTGAAGGTGAGCAAAACGGAAAATGTAAGTAAAGAAAGAGCGTGTGTTCTATTGCATTATTTGTTTTGATTATTAAAATTCCAAACCAAGCACCAGCATTATTCCCTAAGGATGATGGCTAATGCTCCCCTAAAACCTTCCCTTGGAATGAGTCAGAATAAAATACGTGGTTTCTTTCCTGTAAAACCCTTAAATACAAACTAAAGACAAATAATTATAACTTAATTTAATTAAACGAAATAAAAACTCACCGGACAAAGGCAAAATACATGACAGCCAAAACGGATACAGCCAGGAGGGTAATTGTGTGGGGTTTGTAGAAGAAATCCAATGAGATATCATCGACAGGTCGCTCATTGACCACCAAAAAAGTTTCGGCAATTTCTTCTGGTTTGGGTTTCACATTATTGCCCGTGGTCGTTGACGCCGCAGCACGTGTTTTTGTTGGAGTTGTGGGAGCACTGGAGGCTCCAGATTTGACTGTTGATGATTGATTCATATCGTTGGTCTCCGCTGTGGCGGTGGCGGCAGTATCCGGACTACCACGTGAACTTGAGCGCTTTTTCATAATGCAACACTTGTTTTAAATACAGAGTTCAGTAAATATTTGCATTTACTCTCGTATGAAATTAGCGCACAAAATCCGAAAAGGGGGAGGAGAGTTGCGCAACAACCACCTTCAATGAACAATTTTTTTTTTAATTAACTTGACAGTAATGAAAGAACGAAAAGTAAAGAGAGCGTTTCTTCCTTCCTATTTTCTACGACGAAATGTAAGTAATCAAGAATGTTTATGTTCTGGGCGGCACACAACACCTACTTGACGAGCGACAACACTTGTTGGAATCTTCAAATTGAATCCTTAATTCATAATATCATTTTTCAATAGTTTTTGGCGGTGGGGAAATTGACCGACAGAGCACAACACTTCTTTTTGCGAGAAATGCCGGAAAATATAATGATCATCAGATGAGAAGAGTGGAGCTAGGTCGATTTTCTAGCCAAATCGATGAGAAGGCAAAATCGATTTATATCAACTACTATCGACTACTTTGTCGATATTTTAATGACTGAACATTATAGAAGGTTTATACAGTTATTTAAAGCTACAAAATCTGTTCTGTTCCAGCAAGAATCTCATATTATGAGGGAAAAATTGTTGTCGTAGTAGAAACTTTAACCATTTTGCATTTCTATGACAAAGCTATCAAATATATTTGAAAACTATGAAAGAAATATATATGCCAGAAATTGAGGGTAAGAATAATAAAATGACTGATGATTTTGTGGTATCAACATTATGAAGTAATTCGCAATGTTGTTTCCGGTAAGGGGTCTATAAATCGTTGCATCATGTGGATAGGACAGAGCCAGTCGACAAATTAAATTGACCAAAAATTAAATTTTTTAGGTAGAGGGTGAGATGAAAAAACTGCAACCAACAGCTGCTAAAATTATTCCATTGACAGCTCATTATATTGTTTACAATGCGTACATGCAATTTGGTGAGAATTTTCCAGAAAAAAAGTTATTCATGATGGAATTTAAGCGTGATAGTGGGATTTCTTTATATTTGGCTGGCCAATCACAAGTGGCTATCATTAGAGCACACCAGCATTTAAATGTGAATTAATCGTTTGTGTCTCGTACCATTGCTTGTTACCCTGTTACTGGTAGCGTAGCCCGACGTCAAGGAAGTAGACGAAAGAAAACTCCAACATCAGCAAAAATGATTCGAAAAGTAAAGAAGCGACTTGATTGAAACCCGCGTGGCAGTGGCCGAAAAAGTGACTCGTGAGCTGAACATATCGCAATATTCCATTCCCAAATATTAAAAAATTGAGCTCGGGCGGGGTAAAACCATTGCAATTCAAAAAACTGCAAGAATTTACACCGCAACAGAAAGAAAATAGACTCAAAAAAGCTAAAGAGTTGTTGTTGTTGTATCAGCTCATACCGCTGTGTTCGTTCTGTTTCCATTTTCTGACTCCATTCAATCTGGTTCTTCCTCTAAGTCCAGTAAACTGCCTAATTTAGTTTTCCCCGATGAGAAAACATTCGTTGACCAACATTTTGTAAACAAACAAAATGATCGCGTTTACTTGCCAAAGAGGTCAGCTGAAAAGGTGCACACCTTCGGTTGGCCACCAGAACTTACAAAAATGTATCTCACAAAATTTGTCAAATCCGGTTTATGGAGGAAATCCTGATAATTTTTGTTTAACCGGTTAAAATGTTCTCTCTAATTATATAATTGATTCTGATAGGTTTTCTAACAGAGCAAAAATTTCGATACCATCTCCGCCACTGAAACATTGTACGATAGTTTCTAGTATAAATAAATCTTCCAGCTGATTGCGTTTGTAAAATGTATCATACGTAAACAATGGACTCTATCGCAAATTTTGTTTCAGTTTATTTTTTATGGAAGCATTATGTTTTGGCTTCTTATTTTTTTCCGCTTGGGACGTTTTTCATTCCGGTGTTACATGCGAGGCATACGTGCAAATATACAAACAACACCTTCATTTAGCAATGAGAACATAGCATAAATCGAGTTTAAGAACTTTGAGTACTAAAAGTCGATTATTCGATTAATCGAAAGTCGACTTACATATCCCTATTATGACGTTTGTCTAGGAAGGCATTTTAACGTAAACATAAAATAAACAACAATAAAAAAGGAAAGGAGGAGCAATGGAAACCCCAAACACCAACAAAGGTATGAAGCAATTGGAATACGCATAGGCGTCTTTGTTTATAACTTTGGTTATTTAGAATTTGAGGTGACTGGCGTGTCTAGAAGTGGACGCATACGTAAGAAGTCATCCAAGCTATTAGATTTCCAATCACCTGATGAAAGCATTCAACGGAAAATATACAAAAGAACAAGTACATCAACGGGTTCAAGAAGTGCGGCCAAACACGGTGGACGTGGACGTCCCAGTTTGGCTACGCTTAGGGCCCGTAAACAGACACGCCCGGGACAGGAAGCTGGTGGTGATGCCAATGATATGGCAGAGGATGATGATGATATGGATAATGAAAACGATTTGGACGATAAAAATATGAGTTCCGCCCAGGATAGGCCAGCAGTTAATACGGAGGATGATGATGACGATGGTGGTGATATGGACGACGACGATGATGATGACATGGCTGATGATGATGAACATTTGGATGATGTCATGGGTAATAATGCCACCGAATCAGATGATGATGGTTTCGGGGAATTAGTGGCCGATTTGGTTGGTGCAGAAGGTTCGGCTGGGGACCGGAATTCCCAGAAACCCGATTCGAATGTACGTAAATCTTTGTACATGAGCGAAAAGAGATCGGGCAAAGATGGACGTTTGGAGCGTAAAGATAAGGGCAAGTCGCGTTATACGGCCTACAGTCTGTGGGCAAGGGAATATCGCAAAACTGCGAATTTTGGCAAAGAAGTTGACTTTACCACTGCCCGTCGGGAGTTGTGGGCAAATGTTTCGAATAAAGAGAAAAATAATTGGCGCAGAAAGGCCAAGATTCAGGCCACCAAGGCCAAGGCAATGGAAAGGTCTGGTGGTGCAATGAACAGGGATAAAAAATTGGAGGCCTCACCCTCGGCCAACGCCACAAATTCAACATTTATAAATCGCCCGACAACAAGTCGTACCAAGAAATTACAGCTACAGGCTGAGGAGAAACAAAAGGCCAAAGAAAGCAATGTAAGCGAGACCAAGGCGGCGGCGACAACACCCACCTCTCGTAGAACCCGCAATAATTCGTATAATCGTAAAACGGCGGCAAATAAAAATTCAAATACTGTGGCCTTGTATGCAAATGGCTCGAATTATGATGCCATGGGCAATGCTTCGTTGTATAATAGTAACACTCCACTGCCCACCATTGAACCCATTGATGCAGCGGCCCATCTCAAACTGTTGGGTGAAAGTCTTACCATTATTGGTGAACGCCTCAAGGATCATGAGGGACAAATTGCTGTATCGGGTAGTTTGTCAGTACTGCTGGACAGTTTGCTGTGCTCTCTGGGTCCATTGCTGTGTCTAACAACCTGCCTACCCGGCCTGGAGAAGAAGACCAAATTGAAAACCAATCTAGCTGTTACTTTGGATAATATTGCCTATGTTATGCCGGGTCTTTAGGCGAGGCGACATTTTATTTTTGGGCTTTATATTTAAGATGCTATAGTTTTAAGACTGCAAATCAAAAGTGTATTGTGAAAACATAGAAAGTGTTTTAAAATGATATATTGAAATAAAATATATTGAAAATAGAGAGTAAAAATTCAAAGGAAAGTTAGTTTTTAATTCGTCTAGAAAATAATCCGGTGTGGGTTACTCAAGAGATAGTTACAGAGACTGATCGTCTCGAAACAGCTGTGAATAAAACAATTGATTTACGTATAGAAATTATATGTATATGTTTTGTTTTTATTTATGGCAATTTCATAAAGGAATAAACAAGATTCTTAAAAAAATATGTTGACAACATTATTTTAAACAAATTAGGAATGATTTGAGATTATAAGGTAAATAATATCCAATACCTTGTCTTTTGTTTGCGAAAAAAAGGAACACTTAATTTTAGTTATAGATGTCAAAAATTTCCAATACTAGCTACACAGTGGAACATAAACTTTGTTAACTTAAAATATAAAACAAATTTTAAAAAATAAAATAAACAATTTTTCACTATGAACACAAAATTTACACACGCAATCATTAAATTAGGAATTCTTCGTTGTCCATAGACGTGAAAAGGGGAATGGAGAAGAGATTTTTTTTGGGGAATAGCGGTTTTTTCTCAGGAAAATATTGCCGTCATGTCTTTGCAAAATAGTCAAATTAGAGAGAGAGGGAGAGAGAGAGAGGGAACGTCTTATTTCCAGTAACAGTCACATTAAGTAAAAAACATGGAATTTCATGGGACAAAGGCCATTACTACTCTTTGTTGGTACTCTACAATTGTTGGCATAACCCTGCCGCCGAGATATTATCCCCAGCTCAAATAAGGGGAATGGAGAAGATACATTTTTTGGGGAATGTATTTTTTAGGGGAATCGATTTTTTTTTTCTCAGAAAAATATTGCCGTCATGTCTTTGCAAAAATAGTCAAAATAGAGAGAGAGAGAGAGAGAGAGAGCGAGAGAGAGAGAACGTCTTATTTCCATTAACAGTCTCATTAAGTAAAAAAAACATGGCATTTCATGGGGCAAAGGCCATTACCCGTCCACCCCCAAACTTCTCTACAATTGTTGCGATAGCCCAGCGGCCGATATATTATCCCCAGCTCCGGCGGTTTTCTTAGCCACACGACACACCAAAACAGGTGCCACACAAATTTCAATCTCCACATCCCTTGGCTTCGTGGAAGTTTCCACGCGCAAAGTTTCTGTCCAGCAGGGTACTGCATTCTGGGGATCCAACTGAATACGCTGGGCCTTTTCAGCATCCAAAGATGTTGAGAAACTGTCGTCCATGATGAGACTTGCAGATTCAGGATTTATCTGTAAAAAAAGAAGACAACAATGAAATCGTTTAATTGAAAATGAATGGTAACTCGAAAGTGAACCCAAAAGAAAAACATGATTTTTTTTTTCAGATTATTGGAATTCAATTTTGGACTTGATTTTCTTCTTTCGAGTTCCCTTTGTTATTTTCCCCCCTAACTTACCATCTGTGTTTGACACACATAACGATGGGCCACCAACGAAGCCTTGGCTGCCCCGATTTGTGTATTTTTCCAGGCACTGTCTTTCACCGTCAACATGGCCTGAAATGCCAAGGTGTGCAAATGTATACGTGTGACCATACGTCTCTTGGTCTTTATAACACTGGAGGCATTCTGATAATAGTCCTTGGCCAAAATGCCGAATACTTTACGCATATGATCCAGGGTTGCCCCCACCCGAGGATTACTGTCGCTGGCAAAGCTGGTTTTACCATGTTCCATGACCTGAACTAAATTTTCCAACTCCTGCTCATTCATGCCCAACGAGTCGACATAGGGCAATATGTATTTTCGTAATTGCAGCAGTAACTCTATCTCCACATAAGAAGCCATTTCGAAATGGATTTGGGTTCGTGGTGATAACTCATTGATTTGTTTATTGACCTTCAGCAGACGTTCCTCACGTATGCCTACCTCAAATTTATAGCTATCCATCATTTGGACACCGCTAATGACAAACAGATCCGGTTGATAATCCTTTACAACTTTCTGCAAGTGTTCCAGTGAATTTAAATGGGGATTATTTTGGTCGTTGTGCAGAATATAACGATTGGCTCGAGGGGCTGTAAAGGGGCCCCAGGTTTCACCAGCCTTATATTCCAATATCAAATGGATATCATCTTCTTCGACTTGTTCCCCGGCAATTTTTATGTGATTCGGTACTAGGCGGCGCAGTCTATTTGAGATAACAGAATCAAAAGAGAAAAACACCAATTAATATATTTTTATCACTTAAACACCTTCTCCTCCTCCCCACATACTTGTGAGACATGCGAGCACCCAACAACACATTCCAGCCTTCCTTGTCAAAACGTATACCCATTAATGGGGCATTGCCGCCAATGAACCATTGTATGCCATCTCGATGCTGTTTCTTGGCAATTTGTATCAATTTCCTAAACAAGTAAGGGTTCGGCATACTTCTTCTAAAGCAAAAGAAATCAATTTATTAAATAAAACACAACCGCTTCTCGGTCCCCCTCTACTTACTCAGCTGCTGCTCCATTTTGAAAATAATAACCAAATGTCTGTAGCAATTCCGCCTCATCGTTGATTTCATCAACCGTGAACTCTGGCCCCAGCACGTCGGGTACTATTGCACTGGAATAGTTGAGAAATGCCGTACCGCTGATTACCAAATCACTGCAGGCCCCATAGCCCAGGGCAACTTTAGGTTTAGGTTCCCAAGGCCGTTTTAGTTGACTTTCAATGGCCAACAAACTGGTTAGAATCTGTGTCACCTTATTCAATTGTTTCAACGAGAGAAATGCCTGCCACACAATCGATATTAAGGCCGCAAATACCGAACAAGTTGTTATCAGAGACATGTACTTGAGCAGCGCCATAATTTCTTGAGCGTTCCACTAAGGCATATAGGAGAAATCTTTAATATATATTTTATTTTCTTAATTAATTATTTATTCAAAAAAACACGGACACGACAAAACAAATTGGACAACTTAAAAGCGGTCCAAACGATACGAATGAAAAGACAAAAAAGAATGACCGATAAAAATAGCAACAAAATCTAAACTGTCCGGCTCGAAATGACAATCTGACCAGACAACGAAGCCGGTTTATATTCTCGACGCCAGAAACTAGATTACAGGGCTTATGCCAGAAAACCGTGCCGTCGTGGCAATAAGAAACAGAGAACAAGGTGGAATGAGTGGTAATGATCAAAACAAAACAACAAACACCGACTCAAATACAGGGTACTGAAGATCAACAACGGGAATGTATGGTAGGGTTTTAGAAGCACATTTTGGTCCATGAAACAGGTGGTTTCTAAGTAGTTACTTTAATGATGATCTATGTCGTTTGCCAAAAAAAGGATTAAATGTGAAGTTATAGTTATTCTAAATGCTCATCCTCTTCAAATTTGTCCCCAAATACTCAAAACCATGGTACAATGAAGAGAAGGTAGGTCAACTTTGAAAAAATTGCAAGTATAGAGGTCTAACTGTTTGGCTTGTAATGTCAGAATTAGTATCAAAACAATAAAAAATCAAACAACTTGTTGCATTTATTTTGAATAAATAATTGAAAAAATGCGATAACTGAATGAAAGGTCAACACTTCTTTTCAAAATCATGTACTATATATCTCTAAAGGATTATTTCGCTACAAAAACTCTAGATTTTGTCGATGCATACGTTAAAATAAACATTTTGAAAACACTCGAATTTGAATATTTTCTGAACAATTTTTTTGTTATTGAAAGGAAAACACATACATAAACAAATAAAGATGACATATTAAGCCAAGAAAATAAAAAAATTGAAATCATATGGTATCATAGCCCTACCTTGATATCATTGTACCATGCTCAAAACCTTCTTGTGAAACAAGACACATTAAGTATCTGTCACAAGATCGGAAAATTATAGAGAATTGTTTAGCTTAAAAATGAAGTATTTCAATATGCAATCATTCACTGAAAGGAAACGTATTAATAGGTGACATAACACTTGACTGGACCTAATTAAATTAGTCTTTTTTTGGAACTTTTTTCATTTGACATTCCCCTCTTTACTTTACATAACTAAAATTCAGCTTGAAGCTAGTAGTGCCCACAATAGGTATGTCTGGTTACTTTTTCTGCAGGAATTTTCCAGAAACTTCTTTCTGAGAGAGTGATGTAGTTTTATTCTCTTTTGCAAGAAAATTTGGAATAGTAAACAGATGGAATCCTTGCAAAAACTTGCAAGCAATCAGCTGATTTATCAAAACAAAGCAATTTGTCCGCAAATAAAAGATTTTAGGAACACAAAAATTAAAAAATGAATCGAAAAACAAGACTATTGGGCTTGTGTTTTTCTAAATAAATATGTTTTAAATATCTTTCCGAAGCATACATCACCGGAAGGAGAAGAAGAAGAATTGCAATTGTTTACAAGAAAAAATTTGTCCAGCAAGAATTTGCAAGCTCTCAGTGAAAGAACTGTCAAAATGTCTCTCTCTCTCGAACGGCTCTCTTTTGTGTTGGCAACGACTTCCAGTAGCAATTTGCAACAATTTTTAAAAATTTTAGGGTAAGCAGACACACCTAATGTATGTACCCTTTTACTTGCACACAGGTGAGAATGCTTAAAACGCTTTTTTAATTGATCGGCGGCAAAAAAATGACCTAAAATGATATTCGTCCGCAAAACAGAAAACACTGAAGTGCACCAAGTTTTAGGTTATGTTGGGACCATGGTAGGTGTATCAAGGCTTGGCCACATTGATATGTCAAAATTTAAATGTTTTGACAAAAATAAGTAGATTTTTCAATGTTTTCTTATAGCTCACAAATCGAAATCAACAAATTTTGAAAATTTCAATAATTTTTCATTCAAAATTTGAAATTCCAAAATTGGTTTGACAGTTCATTGTCCCACCAGCTGTATGATACTTACCAACCTTATAGCACGTTTATACCATTGAAGATTAAACAACTGGGTTTAATAGACCTAGTGGTTTAACCTTGTGTGTTTAAATACAGCCTTAAGAGCATATAGATGCCGATCAGCTGATGTTTATTTGCATATACAAATACAACCAAAGGTGAATGCAAAAAGTGACCAAAAATGATGATCGTTTGCAAAGCCGAAAACACTAAAGTGGACATAGTTTTAGGTGAAAATGAAAAATTATTCAAATTTGTAAGAATTTTTAAAAACTGCATATCATAACAAACTCCGATTTGGTTAGTAAAGGAAAACATATACAAATATGCTTATTTTTGAAGAAATATTAAAAAACATTTGACACATCAATGTTCACCGTATATACAAAACTATGCCCATTCTTAAAAAGTTACAATTTCTTCTCACTAAAAAAAATTAAATTAATTAATGCTCTCCATTTGCAATTTAACCTCTTTAGAATTAATTTTCAATAATGGCAACAGCAACAACATCAACCGCAGTAACAACAATGAAGGTAGTATATGCACAATGTAATTGATGAAATGCTTTGCTTACAGCTGGAAGTGTTCAATGAAGTTATATTGAAAATAAAAGTGGTTTTTGTAATTAAAATCTATCTAATATTCTATTTACAAACAAGATTAATTGCATTGGTCGAAAGCATTCTAGAATTAGTTGATGTTAGTTATTGAACGGTTAGCGTTGTTTGGAGCGGGATATTAAGAAACAAACGGAAAATATAAAGTGACGGAAGAATTTAGTTTGAGAACAAATTTCTATTCGGGTTTGTGACACTAGATAAATGTGAGTAAATATATAATCGGGATATTTTGAAGGCTGGATAAGAGAATATCCTATGTTGACATTGTCAAGTAAAAACTAAAAAAATAACATAAAATTAATTATGAAATTAATAGACAGTAGCACGGGCTCAACTCATGTTCTATGAAAATTTGAAATGTTAAAGGAAACATGTCAAAAAAAGATAAATAAACAGAAAATAAAGGATAGGACGAAGCAGCAAATTGAAAATATAAAAATACCTTATGTCGTTTTTAAGGTCTAAGAGCCCGTTTATACAACTAAATCCACTTGATATCAAGTGTCAATTCCATAGAGTATATATAGACACGTAAATCGTCTTCATAAATCCAGTGGACATGGTAGAGGAATATAGGTAGGCGCATCGACGCAGCTGCTATGACAATGAACTGTCAAACCAATTTTGGAAATGAAAATGTTGAATGAAAAATTATTTAAATTTGTAAAAATTGTTGAAAAATGCATATTATAACAACCTACGATTTTCGCCGTATAAGAGAACATATAAAAATCCACTTATTTTTGACAAAACGTTTTTAAAATTTTGACTTGTCAATATTCTCACTTTTACAAATTTCAATAATATTTCATTCAACATTTTCAATTCCAAAATCGGTTTGACAGTTCATTGTCCCAGCAGCTATGTCGATGCGACTATCTGTATTCTTCTACCATGATCTGACGTATACTCTATGGAATCGACATTAAGCTGGAAATACATAAAGCGCTTATCTGGCTGGCTTCTTCGGAAATGAACGAAGGAGACTAGGGTCAAAATCGAACTAGGTCAACCTAAAACTCCTTTGTTCATCTACGAAGAAGCCAGCCGATGACTTAAGCCAGCCAAATATGCGCTTTATGTATTTCCAGCCTTAAAGATCGAGTGGATTTCGTAAATCTAAACGTACTATTATTGCAGCAAAAATGTTTATACCATGTTCCATGGTAGAAGAATATGTCGCATCGACTCAGCTGCTGAGACAATGAACTGTCAAATCAATTTTAAAATTGAAATTTTTGAATGAAAAAATTATTCAAATTAGTAAAATTTTTTGTAAAATGCAAATTATAACAACCTCTGATTGGTATCGTATAAAAAAAATTATAAAGTTTACTTATTTTTAAATAAACATTTTTAAAATGTTGACATTTCAATGTTCCCGAGCGTTGATGCGTATACCTGTAGGTAGACTCATTTGCTAAATTGAATATGGCAACCCTGTTTCAAGGAACGCAACCCATGGTACAATAAAAAGGTACGGTAGAGCCACCAGCTGATTACAATTTTATTTCTAATTCTGCCAATTTTGTGTGTGTATTTATCGTTTTGAAAAATAATAACAAAATATTTTCAAAATTAATGATTGGGAGAAACTTATCTAAAACATTTACGTATGGTGAATGACATAATTTACAATAATTAAAAAAATCTCTTATTTGCGGCGTTCCTCGGCACGTAAGAACAGTTTTTATACCCTCCACCATAGTATGGAGGTTATATTAAGTTTGTCATACCGTTTGTAAGACCTCGAAATATACATTTTAGACCCCACAAAGTATATATTTTTGATCTGCATAAAATTCTATGTCGATTTAGCGGTGTCTGTCCGTCTGTGGAAATTACTGTGGCTTCCGAACGAAAGGAAGTAGGTTGATAAAATTTTAATCTAATGTATATCTTGTCTGCAGGACTTTTGATATTGAAAAGGGGTCATGTAGGTTCACGTTTTGGTATAGCCCCCATATATCGATACCTCCCGATATTCGGTATTTTGATGATTTTAGCGAAATTATTCAAGGGAATTGTTCCAAATTTGGTATTTGATTTTCGTAATGGGTACTACAGCCTATGACAGAAAATTGTCCGTGCAGGTCCATGTCTTCGTATAGCCACCATATATCGAAACCTCCGATATTCGATATTTTGATGATTTTAGCGACATTATTCACCGGAATTGTTTCAAATTTCATATTTGAAGTTCGTAATGGATACTACAGCTTAAGACAGAAAATTGTTTATGCCGGTGCAGGTCTTCGTATAGCCCCCCATATAACGGTACCTCCCGATATTCGGTATTTTGAGGATTTTGGGTACAAAATTCACCGGAATTGTTTCAAATCTGGCATTTGAAGTTCCTAATGGGTACTACAGCCGGTGATAGAAAATTGTCTGTGCAGGACGACGTCTTCGTATAGCCCCCATATATCGGTACCTCCCGATATTCGATATTTTTATGATTTTAGCGACATTATTCAGTTTCGTATTTGTATATTGTAATGGCCTATGACAGAACTTTCCTATCTATCAGGTCCATCCTACCTATCAGGTCCATTCTAAGATTTCAACAGAATTTTTAACAGATTTTATTTTTTCGAAAATTTCCAAATTCGTTCCAAATTGTGGAGGGTCTTCAACATTCTGACTGGTTTAAGTCATCAGCTGGCTTTTTCGTATAGGCACAAAGGAGTTTTAGGTTAGCTAAGTTCGATTTTGGCCCTAAGCTCCTTTGTTCTTTTCCGAAGAAGCCAGTCGATGACTTAAGCCAGTCCAGAAATGTTTTATGTGTTCTCACCTTTATTGATTTTTTAGTTGTTTAATTAAGTGTCAGAAATTTAAGATCCGGAGTCCACTCAATTAATTCTATTTTTGTTCTCAAATTGGATCTCTAATTATTTTTTTTCTCACTGATTTGTAGAAAATGCTACTGAAGAGCTTTACTGTTCCTCTTCTTCTAATCCCGATAATATCCTACCATGAAGTCCATGCACAAAGAACAGCTCTGGATACCGCCTTTGGTCCACTGATAAGGCTATTACGTTTGAATTTTCTAAATGCAATGGGTAGATCGGGGAGAATGGCGAGCAATATGGATTTACTTCGGAGGAAAGGTGTTCGTATCGGTTATGCTAAACAAGGAAAAACCGGATTTTAATATGATTTCTCCCTCTATTTCCCTCTATTTTGTATAGAGAACACAGTTATCGGATAAATTATCTAAAAATGCCACGGAATTTTGTGACCTTAATGGTCCGGGGAAACGTAGCTTGGAGCCACCGACATCAGTGCATCGTTTAAGGCCTGGTGATATTGATATTGTTGCTGCCATGGGAGATTCGTTGACAGCTGGCAATGGTATATTGGGTACAAATCTACTACATTTGGCACATGAAAATCGTGGTGCATCCTGGTCTATTGGGGGTCAGGGTACCTGGCGTGAGTACATGACATTTCCCAATTTGCTGAAGGAGTACAACCCCAAGGTTTATGGTTATTCCCTTGGAGATGCCACGACTACGGAGAGGGCTTCAAGGTTAGTGTGCACATTTGGTTTGTTCCAGAACTTCAAGAATTTAACAATTTAAACTACAATAACCGATTTTCCCTTTATGATATCGAAAAAATTTGCAAAACTAGTGGATTTTTGCAGGTTCTGGAATTATTTAATTATCAAATTTTTAAAGTTTTTTTTTTTCACAGATTCAATGTTGCCGAATTGGGCGCCATGTCACGAGACATGCCCTACATGGCAAAGGTATTGGTCAAACGACTGCTGCATGATCCCAATGTAAATATGACCCATCACTGGAAGGTGATTACCTTGATGGTGGGAAATAATGATTATTGTTCGGAGGTGTGCTTCTTACCCGATCCCATGAAAGCCATCGATGACCATGAGAGAAATATGTTGAAAACTTATCGTTATTTGCGTGATAATGTACCACGTTTAATGTTGAATGTCTCGCCGGCACCAAATCTCTTGCTGTTGACCAAACAAAAGGAGATACCTCTACAATGTAGGCTAATGTTGGCATTTGAGTGTCCCTGTATTTTCGGTAAATCTCCAAAATATCAAAAATTTCTGGGTAAATTTATGGATAAATGGGCCCAGCGAGACATTGAAATAGCCAAGCGGGAGGAATTCAATACTGAGGTAAGTAGGAGATATTAAGATGGTGTGACATCTGGCGGTGGAATTTTGGATTATTTGAAACAAAGTTAAAATAATAGCATGTTTACATGTGATACAACCGGTAGATTTCAATGTGAAATAAAATCAACTGTACTTTGAGGTGAGAATACATAAAACGCTTTATTGACTGACTTTAAGGTGAGAGTAAATAAACAGCTTAAAATCTTCTCGTGGCATGTTTTGTCACATATCATAAAGGGAGTTCAGAGCCGCACTCGAATTCTGCCGTCGTTTCCCTTTATAATGTCATCGGCTGTCATCTTCGGAAAAAACAAAGTAGCGAAAGGTCAAAATCGAACTAAGTCAACCTTAAACCCCTTTATTCCAGTCAGCCGCTGACTTAAGCCAATCTAAAAAGCTTTTTATGTGCATGCACCTTTAGGGCTTTTTTGGAAAAGAACAAATGAATGTAGGGCCAAAATCGAACTAAGTCAACCTAAGACTCCTTTGTTTATAAAGATGGAACAAGATGGAGTAAAGATATGGCAACCCTCTGTTTTTATGATATCGTAACAACATAGCTAGCAATGTTAACCGATTTAAACCGCTGAGGCAATATTCAATTAATTGGGAAAGTCTGTGGAATAGAATCTTTTTATACATGTGTTTTTTTATTAATATGGTCCTGTCATGAGCTAGAGAGTATAGACACAAACGACTTGCTCAGAATGCATTTTGTATAGCCTTTACCATTTTAGGTCTTTGCTTTGTTCCTCTACGAAGAAACCAGCCAATGATTTTAGTGTAGAAGAAGAAGAAGCGTTTTATGCATTCTCAGCGTTATGTACTCTCACCCATGGTAGAAGAATATAGGTAGATGCATCAACGCTTGGGAACATTGATATGTCAAAATGTTTAAAATGTTTAATGAAAAATAAGTGGATTTTCAATGAGTTTTATACGACGCAAATCAGAGGTTGTTACAATATGAATTTTTCAACAATTTTTAAAAATTTTAATAATTTTTCATTCAACATTTTCAATTCCAAAATCGGTTTGGCAGTTCATTGTCCCAGCAGCTGTGTCGATGCGACTACCTGTATTCTTCTACCATGCTCTCACCCTAATATATGACGTTAATGCAATAGAATTGACAGTTGAAATCCACTGGATTTATAATATGTAAACATGGTGTTACTTCATGAGAAGATTGGAAAAAAGTATGAATTTTTTCAGATTCTAATTTATTTTTTTATTTTCCAAGTGTCAAAATTTGTTTACATTTTGTTTACTATTTAACCAGGACCAAACTATCTGTAAAATTCGATTTTAATCTCAATGTTTTTTTATGACGATTAAAGTACGTTCAGATTTACGAAGTCCCCTCGATCTCAATTATCAATTCCATAGCGTATACCATGGTAGAAAAATACAGGTAGATGCATCAACGCTTGGAACCATTGATACGTCAAAAAATTTTAAGTTTTTTTTTCAAATATAGGTAAATTTTTATATGTTTTCTTATACGACGTCACTCGGAGGTTATTATAATTCCCGTTTTTCAACATTTTTTACAAATTTAAATAATTTTTCACTCAACATTTTCCATTCCAAAATTGGTTTGACAGTTCATTGTCCCAGCAGCTGTGTCGATGCGTCTACCATGGCGTATACGTCAAATACTTTATTTACATGACGTATACGTTATAGAAATGACATTTGAAATCGTGTGGTTTTAGTAGTCTAAACGTGCTCTTATAATGAGTACCAATTTAAAGTTTCATGCAAGCATCGTATACAGGTAGATGCATCGACACAGCTGCTGGGACAATGAACTGTCAAACCAATTTTGGAATTGATAATTTTGAATAAAAAATTACCTCCGATTGGCGTCGTATAAGAAAACATAAAAATCTACTTAATTTTGACAAAACGTCTTAAAAATTTTTACATATCAATGTTCCACAGTGTTGTATTCTTCTATCATGTAAGTTAGCTTAAAGCATGTTTACACATACAAAATCAAGTGGTATGTTTACATAAACAAATACATGGTAGAAGAATACAGGTAGATGCATCAACGGTTCGGAACATTGAAATATGAAAAATTTTAAAATGTTTTTTTTTTTTCAAAAATATGTAGATTTTTAAAAGTTTTATTATACGACGCCAATCTGAGGTTGTTATGGTATGCATTTTTTTAAACAATTTTACATATTTTAATAATTTTTTATTTAAAATTTTCAATTTAAAAATTTGTTTGACAGTTCATTGTCCCAGCAGCTGTGACGATGCGACTACCTGTCTTCTTTTACCATGGTACTATTACAAGTTATCGTTTATAGTCTCACATTTAACCGCTAGATGGAGCACATCTCTATTTTTTTCATAACCTCAATAATTTTTGTATAATTTCAGACCTTTACCATTAATATAGAACACTATACAAATCAATATACACTGCCCACCTTACCGAACGGTAATGCCGATACCACATATACTTCTGAAGATTGCTTTCACATAAGTCAAAAAGCCCAGGCGGCAAGTAAGTAAAACGAGAGAGACACAAAATAATAAATCGTTGTCAAATTATAAAGGAATGCCAAGAATACCAATCATTAAGGTGAGGTTACATAAACAGCTTTGCATCATGGCTAGGTATAATAATGTCAAATTATACAGGGAAAGGCAGAATTCCAATGCAGCTCTGGCATCCCTTTATGATTTGTCACAAAATATGCCATGCGCAGACTTCAAGCTGTTTATGTGCTTACACCTTTACTACTGCCTTTGGCATAACCTTAATCTGTCAAAATTATATTTCTTTGATTATTACACAATTGCAATACATTTTGACAGCTCAGGGTAGACAAGTTGATTTTTTCTGTTAGAGCCAAGATATATTAAAAGTGTGACAGAAGAACCAGCTGATCACCAGACGAACTGTCAAAATGCATGGTAACACCATGGTAGAAGAAGACTGATTAATCAATAGTTTTAAAATGTTTTTTTTTTTTTTCAAAAATGAAAAGATTTTTATGTTTTCTTATTTGATGCAAATTTGAGGTTGTTAGGTGAGAATACATAAAATGCTTTTCTGACTGGCTTAAGTCATCGGCTGGCCTCTTTGGAAAAGAACAAAGGAGCGTAGAGCCAAATTCGAACTAAGTCAACCTAAAATTCCTTTGTTCGTCTACGAAGAAGCCAGCTGATGACTTAAGCCAGTCAAAAAGAGAGTTTTATGTATTTTACGCATTTTGCCAAAAATTTTACATATTTGAATAATTTTTCATTCAAAAATTTCAATTCCAAAATTGGTTTGACAGTTCATTGTACCAGCATTTTATTATTAGTTTTAAATTTATTTTAGAAATATTAATAACTTTTTATTTCTTTTTCTAATAACAGGTGCCCATTCTTATTGGAATAATCTCTTTGAAATGCCCAATGAAAAGCGTTCCTTTAAAAAGGATATCTACGAGAATTTTCTGTGTCCCACCGAAGAGCATCCTTATATTATAACTAGAGTTAATAGCAGTCCGGATTTTAAGGTTTAATGTAAGAGAATTATCAAATAGAAAAACTGTGATATAAATTCGTGTTGTGAGAGTAAACATAAGAGAGAATAAAGGGAGATATGAACTTAATAAAAATACTTTTATATGTAAAGGCATGGTAGAAGAATACAGGTAGTCGCATCGGCACAGCTGCTGGGAAAATAAACTGTCAAACCTATTTTGGAATTGAAAATGGTGTATTAAAAATTATTCAAATTTTTAAAAATTGTTAAAAAATGCATTTCACAACAACCTCCGATTGGCGTCGTATAGAAAAACATATACAAATCTACTTATTTTATGAGAATACCATGGTAGAATTAGGAAGGTAAGTGCAATCATATGTTTAATTTTTTTTTTTCAAAATTATTCATTTGACAACATCTCATTGTCAAAATGTATATATATAAATCCATAGTACATACACAAATCAGAGATGGGAACCGTTTTTCTATGCACAGAAATTTGACAAGGTAAATTGAAAAAAAGCAGAGATGGGAATACTTATTTAAAATGTCTTTGCCTTCTTAATTTTGCCATGGAGAATACATAAAAGGCTTTTTTGACTGCCTAAAGGAGTTTAAGGTTGACTTATTTCGTTTTTTTTTTGTAGAGGAATAAGGGAGTTTTAGGTTAACTTAGTTCGATTTTGACCCTAAGCTCCTTTGTTCTTTTCCGAAGAAACCAGCCGATGTTAAGCCGGTCAAAAAAGGCATTTTATTTATTTTCAACTTTAAACCTGCATTTACAGAAGACAGGACAATAGAATTCATGTTTAAATTGTCAAAATGCCAATATATTAAAGCTAAAATATTATTTAGCTTGGAATTTTTAGTAATGGACCAGTATGTGGTCATGTTGAGTCATCAAAATTCTCCATAACTTTTGTTGTTATCATTACCACATATTAACATAATTAGCTAAAGATTTCCAATAAAAAAATATTGATTTCCGATTTGGCAAAAGTTCATTGCACTGAAACCAGAAAAACAAAATTAATGAAAACAAGAACTTGATACGTAAAAATCTTGAACTATGTTCTGACATTTGTTAAACAATTAACCACAAAATAAATAACTAAAGAAGAACAACAACCTAAATCATCCATCATCATTTTTCTGCAAAAAAAAAAAAAAAAAACATTTTCATTATTTCAAACACACAAAACATCTGGAAAAAATACAAATTCAAACTAATATCTTCAATGAGCGGAAGAATAATATTTTTTGGCGAAAAAAAAAATTTTGACACGATTTGTGTTTTGTTGGCAGGAAACAAAACCGAAAATCGCCACTTCTGGCACTTCAATTAATCGAAAAATGATATATTGAATTTTTCACACTTTTAATTCGAGAATTAAATAATTTTTTATATTTTTTTATTAGGGTATTTTTTGTGCAATTCCGAATTATGGTATATTCCCCCTTTAATGACAGCCATTAAACAAATTATTCATGTCACTCACTTTTAACTTCCATCTTTTTTTAACATTTCATAAAAAAAAAAACAAAATACTCAAGCCAATTAAATTCGTGTTATTGCCCCCACCTCCCTTGCCAAATCATTGCAAATTAACACACCATACCGCTGCGCTGCTGGCTAACTGCCTGACTGACATGCATTACAGTGCTAAATGCCGGAGCGTTTTTTTTTGTCACGCTTCAATTTCAAGTGCATGGCCAACAACAAATTCAGAGAGTTGTTGGTTGCTTCTCTCTCAACTGATTCATAACCAGTTGCTTGATGTAAACAGCAACGTCATAGCCACCCAAAACAACAATTGACGAGCATGCAATGTCATGTTACGACGTCATGGATTACTGAACGATGTTGCCTATAAATAATTCGAAAGGTGTGGAAAATCGTGAAAATTAACTTGTTAACATGAAATATACAGAAAACAGACATAGGTAGCTGTTTATATGGGTGGAAAATATTAAATAGATCAATATTTTTTATTTATACACTCAAGATGTTAAGACAATTTTATTGATTTATTATTACATGATAGAACTAAGAAGGTAAAGTCATGCAATCATATGTTTACAATTTATACATTTGGCAAAATTTCATTGTCAAAATCTATATTCATAAATCCATTGAATACACACAAAATCAGAGATGGGAACTGTTTTTTATCCATTGATATTTGGCAAGGTAAATTACAGAAACTACAGATCTGGGCCTCAATTCTTGTTCTATGAAAATGTGAAATGAAAACTTTAATAAAGAAAAGAAATGTCAAATGAAAAATTTTATAGAGTAAATATTTTTCATTTCAAATTTTCATAGAACAAGAATCCAGCTCCTGGGAATGCTAATTTGAAATGAGGTTACCTTTATTTCATGGTACCATGGATATATGTGACAGCTGGAGATTTCTTCATGGTATGGAATCAAGAAGGTAAAGTCATGCAATCATATGTTTACAATTTTTTTTTTTTCAAAAATTATTCATTTGACAACCTCTCATTGTCAAAATTTGTATTTATAAATCCATTGTACATACACAAATCAGAGATGGGAATCTGTTTTTATGTAGTGAAATGTGTGAAATTCAGAGATGGGAATGCTTTTTTGAAATGAATTTATCTTCTTAATTTTACCATGGATTTCTTGAATTTTTCCATTGACATTTTCAACAAAATCAAAAATGATAGACCACCTGTCAAATTGACACAATATGGAGAAATTAGAATACAATGCCCCAACATTTTAGTTGAAAGGCCCAAATTTATGGTTCCTTTGTCAATAGATATAAAAGCTTAAGGTGAGAATACATAAAACGTTCTTTTTGATTGGCTTAAGTTGTCTGCTGGCTTCAAAATAACAAAGGAGCGTTGGGCCAAAATCAAACTAAGTTAATCTACAACTCCTTTATTCAAAGACATAGAAGTATAAAGGTGGGAATAAATAAAGTCATATGTGGCTGGAGCGTTGAACCAAAATCGAACTAAGTTTACCTACAACTCCTTTGTTCCTACACGTAGAAGCCAGGCGATGACTTAAGCCAGTCAAAAAAGCGTTTTATGTATTCTCTCTTTTAGAGCTTTGGCTTAATGTTTTCTCATAGTATTAGAATATGTTTTCTTTGATATGCCAGAAGTCTTATCACAACAGTATCGGAGGCATTTAAGAAATAGCCATGGTATAATTAGTAAGGAATCTCATGAAATTCTTCGATTATTTTTTATTAATTTGATGTCCTTTCATTGTCAAATGAATATTTTATAGGTCCATCTTAAATATGGGCGTAAATATTGCAAGGCATGATACAATTACCAAGGTAATCTCATGCAATCCTACGATTATTTTTTATTTTTTTGATGTCCTTTCATAGTCAACTGGATATTTTATAGGTCCACCCATGGTAGAAAAATATAGGTAGAACCATCGACACAGCTGCTGGGACAATGAACTGTCAAATTTAAATTTTGGAATTTAAAATGTTGAATGAAAAATTATTTAAATTTGTAAAAATTGTTGAAAAACACAAATTATAATAACCTCCGAATCACATCATATAAGAAAACATATAAAAATCTACGACAAAACATTTAAAATTGTTTGACATATCAATACTCCCAAGCGTTGATGCATCTCCTGCCATGAGTCCTCCTTAAATATGGACGTACAACTTGCATGACATGTGCATTTATTTGCGAGAAAATATTTTGACATTTTGAAAAGGAGAAAACTAAAATATTATAGCACGTTTACACAGAAAATCTCTAATTTTTAATGTATACAGTGTGAGATAAAAAAAAACCGCAACAAAGTCAAACGCCATAATTTTTACATTTTTTTAAATTTTATTGAATGAAAGCAAAAAATATCGAAAATAGCATCAAATTTTAGAAAAAGCTTAGATTTGTTTGAATTGGCCACCTTTGGCATAAAATATGGCCTTCAAACGGCAAATGAAACCGTCACATGCTGGCCCATTCCCGGCGAAGCGCTTGCTTGAGGTGATCGACACTTTGGTATTTGTTAGTGCCAACCTTGCTTTCCAAAAAACTCCAGACACAATAGTCCAACAGATTGGTATCCGGAGATTTTGGTGGCCAGTGTGCGCTGGAAATGAAACGAGGAACCTCATTTTGTAACCATTCTTGGGTGACGAGTGCTGAGTCCTGTTGGACTGTCCAAGGTCTGCGCCAAAAATGTTTGTCTTTCCAAGGCTTTAATACACCCTCAAGAATATTTTCGCTGTAATTTTCGGCATTTATTCTGATGTCACGTTCGATTAATACGAGCGGAGAGCGACCATCGGCTGTTGAGGCGGCCCACACCATCACCATGGCCGGCGCTTGAGTTCTGGTGGCCAACCAAAGGTTCACATTTTCAGCTGTCCTGACCTCTTTGGCAAGTAAACACGATAATTTTGTTTGTTTACAAACTGCTGGACAACGAATGTTTTCTCATCGGAGACCACCAAACCAAATTCGGCAGTTCACCACTTTCGGCCAAGCGAAGCAACTCTTTAGCTCTTTGAGTCTATTTTCTTTCTGTTGCGGTGTAAGTTCTTGCATTTTTTGGAATTTCATTGGCTTTACCCCAAGCTCATTTTTTAATATTTGCCAAATGCCGAATATTGTGATATGTTCAGCTCATGAGCCATTTTTCGGCCACTGCGACGCGGGTTTCGATCAAGTTGCTTCTTTATTTTTCGAACAATTTCTGCTGGCTTCTTCGCAGAGAAACAAAGGAGTTTTAGGTTGACTTAGTTCGATTTTGGCCCAAGGCTCCTTTTTTCATTTCCTAAGTCATCGGCTGACTTAAGCCAGCCAAATAAGCGCTTTATGTATTCCCACCTTAAGTCATCGGCTGGATTCTACGCCTGGTGGAATACAGGTAGATGCAGGAACGCTTGGATTTCATAAAAAAGTAGATTTGTATTTGTTTTCCTATACGACACACATTGGAGGTTGTTATGATACGCATTTTTAGCATTTTTTACAAATTTGAATAATTTTTTTATTTAAAATTTTCAATTCCCAAAATTGCTTTGACAGTTCATTGTCCCAACAGCTGTGTCAATGCGACTACCTGTATTTTTCTACGATGAGAGACACTCCTAATGGCAATGAAGTTACATCCACCTTAAACATGTTTATGTTTCTCAAAACCTAATCGAAATATTAAAAACCCCCAAAAATACCCTCAAATATTGTTTTGTTAGTGTCCGCTATTTTACTTTCATCAACCTGTGACAGATATCACAACATCTAAATCAAAAAATTAACAAGCCAGTAGCTAATAAAAAAGACAAATGAAAACGCTTTGTAATTAAATTTATATTAAATACTTTTTTATTATCGTACATTATTTGAGAACAGAAATTATTATTTGTTTTTTTTTTTCTTTAAATTGTTTTTAATACTTTCAAGCGGTTTTATATTTTGTGACATAAAATACACAAGATGTCACTGCTGAGTAATCTAGAATAACAGCAAAAAACAAACGGAGAGAAAAAAAAAAACAAACTCAACCGCCAAAAAAAATCGCTCGCGCACACACACACATTTATACGTCACACAATTAACTGAGATTTATGCAAACAGTTATAAATAATTAATAAGGCAGAGTGTCAGCCGGCAGTCCAGAACAATGTGTGTAGATATTCTCCTTATTTTTTTTAAATTCATCAAACGAACGGCGTTGAAATATTTAATTAATTACCATACACGAATTTGAACAATCAACTACTATTATTATTTTCTGTTGTTGTCACTCACTCACTTGCTATTGTCATCGCAAGACACCAAAATACTTACAGCAAAGAAATAACGAGGGTGGTTTTAAAATTTATGGGAGAATGTAAAAAATATGGGATTGAGAATATAAAAAACGCTTTTTTGACTGGCTTAAGTCATCGGCTGGATTCTTCGTGGAGGAACCAAGCAAAGGCCTAAAATGGTAAAGACTAGACAAAATGCATTTGAGCAAATGGTTTGTGTCTATAATACATAGAGTAACAGCTCATGGCAGAGGCATGTTAATATAAAAACCACAATTACTGAAAGGAATGACAAATAAAAGTTTGAAATATCCAATAATGTGGTTTTAAAATTCTATCCCATAGACCTTTCCAAAAATTTGCGTATTGCCTTAGAGGTTTAAATCAGTTGACATTGGTAACTATGTTGTTATGATGTCGCAACAGCAGAGGTATTTTCACAGGGTTGCCATATTTTGATTTCTATGTCTTTGAACAAAGGAGTTGTAGGTTGACTTAGTTCGATTTTGGCCCAACGCTCCTTTGTTCTTTTCCGAAAAAGCCAGGAAGTACAAAAAAAAAAAAACGTTTTATATATTCTCACCTTAAGTTCCTGATTGCGACTTCTTAACATTTTCTCCAAAATATAAAATTAAAAAAATGAATTTTAAAAAATTATACTCTCCAAAATCTAAATCTTGAGGTTTTTAAAAACATTTTTTTCACCAAAACATCGTGGATTTTTAAAACTTTTTTTTTTCAATATAACCATGCTACAATTGTTTGGTAGGCGATAAGGCTGGGTTTTTAGAAATTCGTGCTAAAGACTAAGAATAGTACTAAGATGTAGTAAAAACGGAATGAGCTAGAATTCTGAAATTTGGAATGAGACTCACTGATGGAGTGCAGGATAGATGTATCAAAGGGTTTGTGGAAATTCGAAGTTTTAGGATATGAAATTTTAAAATGATACCAAGCTTCGAGAAAGGTACCATTTGGTATTATGTGAAACTAGAATCTTGAAATGCGGTATGAGAATCAAGATTGGAAAGTAAATTTGATAATAAAAGTGATTTTGGAATGAATTGTACTAAATTTGGTGCAGCTTGGTTTAAAGTAGACGGATGAAGCTAAAAATGTTGAAATTTGGTTTTGGTGGTCCCGTTTGGTGGTTGATGTGTGATAAAGAGGTGGTTTTGAAAATGTGTACTACAATTGCACGAAATGTTCTAAATAGTACTATATTTGGTAACATTTGGTATTGGGTGAACAGATAGTGCTTGAAAACGAAAATTTGGTATTAAGGCCAACCTGGACATATGGAAGTGGTTTCGGAAAGGTGTCCCATATTTGTACGAAAAGTACTAAATGGTACTAAATTTGGTATTAGGTGAAGAAAGAGGGTTGGAATCCTTAAATTTGACTATAATTGTACGACAAGTACCAAATCGTACTAAATTTGGTTTTAGTTGAAGGAATTAAGATAAAATTCTGAAATTTGATATTTAGGTAACTGTTGGTATCTGTATTTGAGATTTCGAAGTGGGATTGGAAATGCGTCCTATATTTGTACGAAAAATACTAAATGGTACTAAATTTGGTATTGGCTGAAGGAATGGGTCTGGAATCCTCAAATTTGATATTGTTGGTATCTGGAATAGAAATATGGAAGTGGTATGGGAAATGTGTACAATAATTGTACGGTAAGTACTAAATGGTACTAAATTCGGAATTGAGTGAAGGGATAGATCTGGAGTCCTCAAATTTGATATTGAGAAATCTTTTCGTATCTGGAATTGAGATATGGAGATGAATTTAGAAATATGTACAATGACTGAAGGAAAAGTACTAAATGGTACTAAATTTGGTATTGGCTGAAGGGATAGAGATCGAACCCTAAAAACTTGATATGAATGCCACTGTAAGTGTCTGTGGTTGGGATAAGGAGCTGGTATTGGATATGTGTACAAAAATTGTACTAAATGGTACTAAATTTGATATTGGGTGAAGAGATGCTGGAATCCTGAAATTCGGTATTGAGGTGTCTGCTGGTATTTGGGATCCAGATATGGAGTTTTTTTTGGAAATGTGTACTATAATTATTCGAAAAGCACTAAGTGGTACTAAATCGGATATTGGGCGAAGGGATGGGGCTGGAATCCTCAAATTTGAAATTGAGGTCTCTGTTGGAAATATGGAGTTTTTTTGGAAATAAAAGTACAAAGTAGTACTAAATTGGATATTGGGTGAAGGAATAGAGCTGGAATCCTGAAATTCGATATTGAGGGCTCTGGTGGTGTCTGTGGTTTGGAGAAGGAACTGGTTTGGATTTAATACAAAAATATATCTTAAAATCATTTTTTTATAAGAACTTGGATTTTTTAAAATATTTTTTTTTAATCTTAGATTTTTTCAAATATTTTTTTAACAAATCTGTTTTTTTAATATTTGCTTAAAATATTTTTTTTTGTACAAACAATTTTATCTTGGATTTTAAAAAATATATAAATATATATTTTTTCCATCAAAACAACAATTTTCGATTTTTTTTTATAATTTTCCCAACTTTTTCCCCCACCCCTCCTCACAGCGAGTTACATTAATTGTGCAAAATATGTTTACAGTAAATACTATCTCAACTCTTACCACTACTCGATCGATGATAACGCTATGGGATGACAGCTACGTTGTTATGTGCCGGCACTTTATTGAAATTGATAAGCATTTAACGTTCTCGGCATTTTTTCCCTTCGTTTTGGATTCTTGTTCGCTATGCTACTTAACACTGAAGTTCTTTTCGGATTTTTATATGTGCGATTTTTTCTAGTTTCTAAACTGAGAAAGAGGTGTGCGTGTGTCCCAACAAAAGTCACGTCACAATTATAGATTGAAGAATAAAATCTCCAAAAGAATAAAAAAAAAAACAGACAAGTGTGTGGTGGCAGCAGCAGCATAACTACCGGCACTACACAATGAAGACTGATGATTTCGCGCGCTATACAACCCACCAAATTATGTGTGCTGATGGTGTGCATGTGTGCCTGTGTATGTTTGGGGCGAGTGAGTGCCTAGAATAAATGTTGAGATCTATAAAAATAATCTCAGTCAGAATATATTTTCCAGTGTGCTTCTTTTTCAAGCGGAATTGGTTGGGAGGAATATCGGTTGGCGATTCTATGTCAATGCAGTAGTTGGCGAACGTTCAGTCGTTGGTTGTTGGGCGAAGGACGCGTTTGTGCAAAAAAAAATATAATCTCAAAAAGCCAATAAAGGAAAAGATACTCTTTAACTGCGGAATTATTTCAATTGTGTTCTAAAAAATATTCAAAAGTAAATTAAGATAAAAATAAAATATTTTGAAAAAAAAAAAAAATTAATTAAAATTAAAAAAAAAAAATAAAATTTATTTAAAATAAAAAAGTAAGTTTTTTAACATTTCATTTTTGAGACCGAATGATTTCTTTAAAGTGTTATTATTTAATAAGACTATGAATTATTTTTTTTTTAATTATTTTTTTAACCGAAATATAATCCTGAGTATTTAAAAAAATCTCAAGAAAAATATATCGTGAAATTTATTTTTTTTCAACAATAGAGACTGTTGTAGATTATTTATAAATATTTTTTATTAAATTAAATCGCGAAATTTTATTAAATTTTTTTTTTCATTAAAATAAAATCGTGAACTTTGTAAAAATATTTTTTTTGCCACAACTACAATCGTGAATTTTAAAAAAAATATTTTCCAATGAAATTGTGGAATTCGTGGATTTTGTAAAAATATTTTATTTTTTCATTAAAAGCAAATAGTGGTTTTTGTAAAAATATTATTCTGAGCTCAAGCTACAAGATTATTAAAATATTTTTTTTATAAAAACTAAAAATGTGGATTTAAAAAGAAATATTTTTTATTAAATAAAATCGTGAATATTTTTAGAATACTTTTTCATAAAAATAAAATCGTGGAATTTTTTAAAATATTTTTTTACACAAATCCACAATGATGGTTTTAAAAAAAATATTTTCCTATGAAAACTAAATTCGTGAATTCTGAAAAAATCCACAAATGGTGGATTTTGTAAAATTATTATTTTGAGCCCAAGCTACAATCGTGGATTTAAAAAAAAATATTATTTTGAACCAAAGCTACAATTGTGTATTTAAAATAAAAATATTTTCTTCTAAAAACTTAAATTGTGGATTTTTTAAAATATTTTTCAAAACCCAAAAAAAAATTTATATAATTTTTTTTATTAAAACTTAAATTCTGGACTTCTTAAAAATATTTTTTCCATTAAAACTAAAATTGTGGACTTTTTAAAAATATTTTTCAACCAAAATAAACGTCCGTGAATTTTTTAAAAATCCTTTTTTTAACTAAAACTGCCATAATTGAAAATTTTTCCAAAAAAAAAAAAATAAATAAATAAAATAAATAAAATGTTGGAATTTTTAAATTTTTTTAAGCAAAGTCACGTCCACGAAAAGGCCACATTAAAAAATATTTTCTTCTAAAAAATTAAAATTGGGGAGTTTTAAAATATTTTTCAAAACCAAAAAATCGTTAAATAATTTTTTAAAGAAAAAATAAAATTGTGTACTTCTTAAAAATATTTTTTCCATTTAAACTAAAATTTTTGTCTCTTTAAAAATATTTTTTTAGCCAAAATCACGTCCGTGATTTTTTTAAAAATATTTTTTTATTATTTAATTTTTTTAATATTTTTTTAAGACCAAAAAATCGTTAAATAATTTTTTAAAGAAAAAATAAAATTGTGTACTTCTTATAAATATTTTTCATTCCATTAAAACTAAAATTATGGTGTTTTTAAAAATATTTTTTTAGCCAAAATCAGGACCGTAATTTTTTTAAAAATTCTTTTTAACTAAAACTGTAATGATTGAAATTTTTTCAAAAAAAAAAAAAAAAATAAATAAATAAAATTTTGGACTTTTTAAATTTTTTTAAGCAAAATCATGTTAAAAAATAATAATATCGTTAAGCCACGTTAAAAAATATTTTCTTCTGAAAATTAAAATTGGGGATTTTTTAAAATATTTTTCAAAACCAAAAAATCTTTAAATAATTTTTTAAAGAAAAAATAAAATTTTGGACTTCTTAAAAATATTTTTTTGCCACTAAAAATAAAATTGAGGACATTCAAAAATATTTTTTTAACTAAAGCCATGTTTGTGAATTTTTTAAAAATCCTTTTTTTAACCAAAGCTGCAGTACTTGAAATTGTTATAAAAAAAAACTTAACAAAATTTAAACTTTGGACTTTTAAAAATATTTTTTAACCAACGCCATGTCCGTGAAAAAGTCAAATAAAAAAAATTTCTTCTAAAAACTTAAATTGGAATTTTTTCAAAATATTTTTCAAACCAATTTTTTTAAATGCATTTTTTATTTAAACTAAAATTGTGGACTTTTTAAAAATATATAGTTTTTTACCACTAAAAAATGTGGACATTTTAAAAATATTTTTTAACCAAAACCACGTCCGTGAATTTTTTAAAAATTCTTTTGCAATCTTCTTCTGCAATAACTAAAATTTAAAAAAAGTAACAAAACTAGAATTTTGGACTTTTTAAAAATATTTTTTAAACAAAACCACATCCGTGAAAAAGTCACGTAAAAAATATTTTCTTCTAAAAACTGAAATTTGGAGATTTTAAAAATATTTTTCAAGAACAGTGTTTGGCTTGCTTGTTTGGGATACCATAGTATTTTGTTGTTGCAAAAATCGTCAGGCAAAATCCCATTATTGTTGTTTTTATAAAAACAACGTTTGTTTATGAGTGGAGAACGATGGTAATGTTTACCAGGGGGTAAGGCAGGGAATACCTAGGTTTCGGAAAGAGCCACCAATCCTCATCAGTTCCCTTGTTTCTTGTCTGGGATATTCTCCCCAGAAGTTATTTAAAAAATAACTTCTATGACAAAAAACATTTTTTACCCAAGTGACGAGATCGTAAGCTCAATAGAAGAGGGACAAAAGAATTACATAAAACTAAAATTCTTTTTCAGGTTGAACGAAAACATAACAAGTGGAGAAAGATGTAAATGTTTATAAGTGCGGTTGTGAGATTTAGAAGATTTTCCAAAAGAATTTTAGTTTTATGTAATTCTTTTGTCCCTCTTCTATTGAGCTTACGATCTCGTCACTTGGGTAAAAAATGTTTTTTGTCATAGAAGTTATTTTTTAAATAACTTCTGGGGAGAATATCCCAGACAAGAAACAAGGGAACTGATGAGGATTGGTGGCTCTTTCCGAAACCTAGGTATTCCCTGCCTTACCCCCTGGTAAACATTACCATCGTTCTCCACTCATAAACAAACGTTGTTTTTATAAAAACAACAATAATGGGATTTTGCCTGACGATTTTTGCAACAACAAAATATTTTTCAATGCAAAATTTTTTTAAATACATTTTTTATTTAAACTAAAATTGTGGACTTCTTAAAAGTATTTTTTTCCATTCAAACTAAAATTGTGGACTTTTTAAAAATATTTTTGAGCCAAAACCACAGCCCTGAATTTTTTTAAATAATTCTTTTTTTACCAAAGCCGCAATAACTAAAAGCCACGAAAAAATTTTTTCTTCTAAAAACTAAAATTTTTAAAATATTTTTCAAAACTAAAAATTTTTTAAATAATTTTTTTTTATCAAAACTAAAATTGTGGCCTTTTTGAAAATATATACTTTTTTGCCACTAAAAAATAAGGACATTTCCTCCGTGAATTTTTTAAAAAACTGCAATAATTGAACTTTTTTAATGTTTTTTACCCGTTTTCCCTACCCTTAATATATTATTAATTTTCTTAAATATATTTTCCAATACAATTGTGTTCATGGATTATTTTAAAAATATTTTTTGTAACAGAACTATTATTATTATTTTTTTTAATAGTTTGTTCAATGAAAACTGCAATCTTAGATTTTTTTAAATTTTTCTCTTTGACAGAACTAAAGATATTTTCAAAATATTTTTTTCCTCAAAAACAAAATTATGGATTTTTTAAAAATATGTTTCCACAAATTTATGGCGGACATTTTAATTAATTCAATTTTCAATTTTTTAAACAATCTTTTTAGGCAAAACATTATTTCCACTTTAAAATTTTGCGATTTTTTGAAATGTCTTTTAACAGCATATCCATATTAATCAACAAAACTTTGATTGGCATATCACAATTTTCGAAAATAAACAAATAAATTCTCAAAAGGTTAAGAACCCAAATATCTGCTTAAATTTCACTTTCAAATGAAGTCAACTGTAAACAACTTTAAGCACACCACGGCTCCTTTCAATTTCGCACAAAACCCGTTTTTTTTCGTTTGTTTAAAGAACTAATTTCTTCCTCCATAAAGCATGATGGCCATGCTATATGGGCAAGAGTTAATATGAATGAAAAAACATATATCAAAACTAATAGTAAACAAAAATAAAACACGAAAAAAATACATATTCGCATATTTACAAACTGCCCAGTTTTAGTTTACACATGTCGTTGTTGTTATTGTTTTTATTAGTTGTTATGTTTACATGTCGTGTTATTTGTTTTGTTCTTGTTGCTATCTATTTATATTGATTTAACATGATAATGTTAATTTTATTAATTTTAACAGAAGCCGCAATTAGCAAATGTGAATGGGCACAGAATTCTAGAAGAAACAAAATAACAAAAAAAGATAGTTTTAATAGTTTTGAAGTTCAAATCGTGTTGAGGCAAAGTTTTGGATCTATTGATTTGGATATATTTTTCGTTTTCATTTTGCTTAAAATCGCGTAAAAATACCGTTTTAAACAAAAAAGACTTAAGAAACAAACACCACTCTAGGTCTCTCTTGAATTGTCATCAAGTTTGTTTCTTAAGTCTTTTGAATAACCGTAGCAGTTATTTCGGAGAGTGAAACAGAGAGAGAGAGAATATTGGAGAAACTAAATTTCCTAGCCTATTGTGAGCAATTAATTACAATTTATTTTATGTAAATATTTTATTTAATTTTTTATCCAAACTCAGTAAATATTTTATCCACTTTATCCACATAATGTAATTTTATTATCCACGTTATCCAAATTCAGTAAATTAGTTATCTTCGTTATTCAATTGATGTAAATTAGTTATCCAAATTATCCAAATGATATAAATAAGTTATCCGGGTTATCTCAATGCAGTCAATGCATTATCCAAGTTATCCAAATGATATAGATGAGATATCCACGTTATCCAAATGAAGTAAATTTTTTTATCCTTGTTATCTAAATGCAGTAAATTAGTTATCCTCGTTATCCAAGTGATGTAAACTAGTTATCCAAGTTATCCATATGATATAAATGAGTTATCCGGGTTATCCTAATGATCATAGTAGTTATCCACGTTATCCAAATGAAGTAAATATGTTATCCGCGTTATCCAAATGCAGTAAATTTGTTATCCATGTTATCCAAATGCAGAAAATTTGTTATCCGTGTTATCCAAATGATGATATTTGTTATCCACGTTATCCAAATGATGTAAATTAGTTATCCATATGATATAAATGAGTTATCCGGGTTATCCTAATGAACATATTAATTATCCACGTTATCCAAATGCAGTAAATATTTTATCCGCGTTATAAAATTACTTATCCAAGTTAACCAAATGATGATATTAGTTATCCGAATGATATAAATGAGTTATCCAAGTTATCTAACTGATGATATTAGTTATCCACGTTATCCAAATGCAGAAAATTTGTTATCCGCGTTATCCAAATTATGATATTTGTTATCCAAGTAACCCAAAGGCAGTAAAATTCTTATACGCGTTATCCAAATGCAGTAATACAGTTATCCACATTATCCAAATGCAGGAATTCAGTTATCCATATTATCCAAATGCAGTAAATTTGTTATCCGCGTTATCAAAATTCAGTAAATTCATTATCCACGTTATCCAAATACAGTAAATTAGTTATCCATTTTATTCAAATGCAGTAAATATATTATCCGCGTCATCCAAATGCAATAATTCAGTTATCCACATTGTCCAAATTCAGAACATTTGTTATCCACATTATCCAAATTCAGAAAATTTGTTATCCGTGTTATTCAAAGACCAAAAATTTGTTATCCACGTTATCCAAATAATGTAAATTAGTTATCCAAATTATCCAAATGATATAAATGAGTTATCCGTGTTATCCAAATGACATGTTATCCAAATGACATGACGCGTTATCCAAATGCAGTAATTCAGTTATCCACATTATCCAAATTCAGAACATTTGTTATCCACATTATCCAAATTCAGAAAATTTGTTATCCGTGTTATTCAAAGACAAAAAAATTGTTATCCACGTTATCCAAATAATGTAAATTAGTTATCCAAATGATATAAATGAGTTATCCGTGTTATCCAAATGACATAAATGAGTTATCCGTGTTATCCAAATAGAGTAAATTAGTTATCCATGTTATCCAAATGCAGTAAATTTCTTATCCGTTTTGTCCATATGCAGTAAATATGTTATCCGCGTTATCCAAATGCAGTAATTCAGTTATCCACATTATCCAAATTTAGAAAATTTGTTATCCGTGTTATCCAAAGACAGAAAAATTGTTATCCGTGTTATCCAAGTGTAGTAAATTAGTTATCCACGTTATCCAAGTGATGTAAATTTGTTATCCGTGTTATCCAAATTCAGTAGTATCCACGTGATTCTAATGATGTAAATTTGTTATCCGTGTTATCCAAAAGTAGTAAATTTTTTATTGTAAATTAGTTATCCACGCTATCCAAATTCAGAAAATTTTTATCCTCATTATCCAAAGACAGAAAAGTTGTTATCCACGTTATCCTAATGATGTAGATTAGTTATCCATATGATATAAATCAGTTATCCGGGTTATCCTAATGATCATATTAGTTATCCACGTTATCCAAATGCAGTAAATATGTTATCCGCGTTATCCAAATGCAGTAAATTTGTTATCCACGTCATCCAAATGCAGTAAATTAGTTATTCGAGTTATTTAAATGCATTAAATTCCTTATCTGCTTTATCCAAATGCAGTAATTTAGTTATCCACTGTATCAAAATGCACTAAATTACTTATCCACGTTATCCAAATAGTGTAAATTAATTATCCACCTTATCCAAATGCAATAAATTTGTTATCCGCGTTATCCAAAATGATGTAAACTTGTTATCCACGCTATTCAAACTCAATAAATTGGATCCCAAACTTAAAAAATTGTCGTAAATTATTTATCACTTTATCCAAATGATGTGACTAGTGAAAATTAGTTATCAAAGTTATCTGAATGATCGAAATTTTTTATCCACGTTATCCAAATGCAGAAATTTTGTTATCCGTTTTATCAAAATGCAGTTAATTATTTCCACGTTATACAAATTATACATATTGTAGAAATTACATTATTCACATTATCCAAAATCCAAAAATTCTTTATCCGCCTTACCCAAAATTATGAAATTATATTATAAATCCGATTTTTTCTTTCTAAACTATTTTAAAACTATGGAAATGACGTAAATACATCATCTACGTTTTTTTTTTCTCATTTATTTCTATCGATAATTGACATATTGCCTGAGTAAATAATTGCATTTGATTATTTAATATTCAAACAAAACAGAAACATGAATACAATTATATTTAAACATCTGTTCTACGATGAACGCGATTTGAGACAAAAAAAAGCTAAAACTACAACAATTTCCTTGTTTCTAAATTTCACGAACATTACTTTTGTATTCATTTTTTTTATATTTATAAATTTGAGACAAAAAACCATTGATGAAATCGTTAGCAGAATCTATACGATATTAATGATATAAGAGAGAATTTTTTGTGGGAAACAAAAGACTTTTTGGAAACAAAACGTCATAATTAAATTCCCACAATAATTGGCAAATGTTTGTGTCTTAAGTCTTTTGTTTTTTCTTAGCTTCCTTAACACAATAATTTGCGTTGAAATCGAATTTTATGCAAATTATAGAATATATTATGTCGATCTTGTAGAAGAAAATCTGCCAATAGAGTTCACTAACCTATGAAGTAAAAATAAACTCAATCTTTTTTCTTTATTTTTATAGTTTTGAAATGCTTTTCCGAAATATTTTCCCGATTTTACTTTACTGCATATTTGCCGATGTCCAAGTTCAAGCCCAAAGAACAGCACTCGATACAAATTTGGGTGGGTTTGTGAGTCTGCTACGTCCACTGATTTTGAACGTAATGGGAAGATCGGGCGATGTTCCCAGCAATGTGGCACTGCATCGTCGCAGAGGGGTAAGTAATTAAATGGCAAGCGTTAAGAATTTTTCATTAGTAAATTATTTCGTAACAGAATTTTCTTTAATACAAAAATTTTCTCCAGAAAAATTGATAGAAAACATATGATCCGTTCCAGAACTACAAAAATGTAAAAGTTTTTACTACGATAACCAATTTTCCTTTATGATATCGAAGAAAATTGTAAAAATAGTAGATTCTTGCAGATACTGGAACAGAGCAATGATTTTTATGAAATTTATTTTTTCGATAAGTACATTTTCAATAGAAAAGTTGTTCGATAAAATTTTTTTCAACTGAAAGGTTTCTCGATAAATTCGATAAGTCCAGCAAAGTTTGTTAGAAAACATGTGTTTTTATTAAATTTTGTTTTTCGATAGAAAAGTTGCTCGATAACAATATTTTCAACGAAAATGTTATTCGATAACAGCATTTTTAATAGAAAAGTTGTTCGATAACATTATTTTCCTCCGGAAGTGGCTTGATGAACGAATTTTCTGTAGCCAAGTTATTCTTTATAAGAAACTTGTTCGATAACACAATTTTCAATAGAAAACCTGTTCGATAATAACATTTTCTATAATAAAGGAGTTCGATAACAATATTTTTAATGAAAAAAAGTTGGTCGATAACAGCATTTTCTATTGATAAGTGATTCGATAGCAACATTTTCTATAGAAAATCGTTCGATAACAATAATTTATGTAAAAAAGTTGTTCTATGAGAAAAATGTTTTTCTTAAAAATATTTTTCTATTCTATTTTTCGATTACAACATTTTTCATAGAAACATTGAAAAATAAACACATTTCCAAAAAAAAAGATATTCGATAACAACATTTTCTGTGGAAAATTTTTCGATAACAATATTTTCTATGGGAAAAATTTTCGATTACAATAATTTTTATGGTACGAAAACAACTTTTTCTAAAGAAATGTTATCCGATAACAATTTTTCCATAGAAAAGTTGGCCGATAACACAGTTTTCTATAGAAAAGTAGTCCGATAACAACTTTTTCTACAAAAAAGTTGTCCCATAACAACTTTTTCTACAGAAAAGTTGTCCGATAACAACTATTTCTAAAGAAAAGTTATCCGATAACAACCTTTTCTGAAGAAAAGTTATCCGACAACAAGTTTTCTATAGAAAAGTTGTCCGATAACACATTTTTCTATAGAAAAAGAGTCCGATAACAACTTTTTCTACAAAAAAGTTGTCCGATAACAACTTTTTCTACAGAAAAGTTATCCGATGACAATTTTTTCTAAAAAGAGTTAATCGATAACAGCATTAGTTATTGAAAATTGATTCGATAGCATCATTTTCTATAGAAAATCCTCCGATAAAAATAATTTATTTAAGAGGAAAACATTCTTTTTAAAAATATTTTTCTATTCAAAAGCTTTTCGATACCAAGAGTTTCCATAGAAAAGTTTTTCGATTACAAAATTTTTCACAGAAAAATTGTTCTATTAACACATTTTCTATAAAAAAAAAACTATTCGATAACAATATTATCTGAGGAAAAGTTTTTCGATAACAATATTTTCTATGAAAAAAAAATTACGATTGCAACAATTTTTATGGTACGATAACAACTTTTACTAAAGAAAAATTATCCGATAACAATTTTTTTTCTAATACATTTACGGACCGATAACATTATTTCCCTCCCTACCCTTCTAGAAAACCCAACACTCCGATAAACGTGCCAGATCGGCTAAAGAGTTTTGTGATGTCAATGGTCCGGGAAAACGTAGTCCTGAACCTCCCACATCGGTACATCGCCTACGGCCGGGAGATATCGATATTATTGCAGCCATGGGAGATTCTCTGACAGCTGGCAATGGTGTTATAGCCACCAATTTGATGCAAGTTATTCACGAAAATAGAGGTGTAGTTTGGTCCATTGGGGGCCAGGGTAATTGGCGACAATATTTAACTATACCTAATTTGCTCAAGGAATATAATCCAAATTTATATGGCTATTCTCTGAAGGATGGTTTGGGACGAGACAGAACATCCAGGTATGTGGAGACAACATTAATCGAATTAATTTAATATTCAATTCTGGATTTTTTTCCGTTTAGATTCAACGTTGCCGAATTGGGCGCCATGTCACGTGACATGCCCTACATGGCCAAGGTATTGGTGGCCCGACTATCGCACGATCCCAATGTCAACATGACCCATCATTGGAAACTGATAACCATGCTGATTGGTAATAATGATTTTTGTTCCGATGTTTGTTATTTAGCCGATCCCATGAAATCGATCGATTATCACGAACAAAATATGTTGAAAACTTATCGTTACCTTAGGGATAATGTTCCGCGTCTCATGTTGAATGTTGTACCAGCACCGAATTTATTGCTGTTGACCAAATTGAAAGGTTTACCGCCGCAATGTCACATCACCTTGCCGTTTGAATGTCCCTGCCTTATTGGCAAGAGTAGGAAGAGGCTGGAGTATATGAATAAGTTGATGGAAAAATGGATACAAAAGGATTACGAAATAGCTAATAGGGCGGAATTTAACTCGGAGGTAAGAAAAACTGTTCGATAATAAATTTTCCTATTGAAAAGTTGGCAAATAACAAATATTTCTATGGAAATGTTGTCCGACAACTTTTTCTATAGAAAAGTTGTCCAATAACAACTTTTTCTTTAGAAAAATTGTCCGATAACAGCATTTTCTATAGAAAAGTTGTACGATAACAAAAGCATTCCGATAACAACATTTTCTATAGAAAAGTTGTCCGATAACAACTTTTTCTGTAGAAAAGTTGTCCGATAACAACATTTTCTATAGAAAAGTTGTCCGATAACAACTTTTTCTGTAGAAAAGTTGTCCGATAACAACTTTTTCTATAGAAAATTTGTCCGATAACAACATTTTCTATAGAAAAGTTGTCCGATAACAACTTTTTCTATAGAAAAGTTGTCCGATAACAACTTTTTCTATAGAAAAGTTGTCCGATAACAACTTTTTCTATTAAAAAGTTGTCCGATAACAACTTTTTCTATAGAAAAGTTTTCCGATAACAACTTTTTCTATAGAAAAGTTGTCCGATAGCAACATTTTCTATAGAAAAGTTGTCCGATAACAACATTTTCTATAGAAAAGTTGTCCGATAACAACATTTTCTATAGAAAAGTTGTCCGATAACAACATTTTCTATAGAAAAGTTGTCCGATAACAACATTTTCTATAGAAAAGTTGTCCGATAACAACATTTTCTATAGAAAAGTTGTCCGATAACAACATTTTCTATAGAAAAGTTGTCCGATAACAAATTTTTCTTTAGAAAAGTTGTCCGATAACATATTTTTTAATAGAAAATTTGTACGATAATAACATTTTCAATAGAGAAGTTGTTCGATAACAAGTTTTTCTATAGAAAAGTTGTCCGTTAACAACTTTTCCTATAGAAAAGTTGTCCGATAAAATCTTTTCTTACAGAAAAGTTGTCCGGTAACAACTTTTCTTTGAAAAAAAATTGTCCGATAACAATATTTTCTACGACATTAAATATTTTACTTTTTTTTTTGCTTCTTTCAGACATTTACGATTAACATAGAACACTTTACCAAAGATTTTGTTTTTCCAAAATTGCCAAATGGCAACACCGATACCTCGTACAGTTCAGAGGACTGTTTTCACATCAGTCAAAAGGGTCATGCAGCAAGTAAGCTAAAATTTTAAGTATTTGAATATTTCACAATCTATTAATTTCTGTTTCTTCCCCAGGTGCCAACTCTTACTGGAACAATCTCTTTGAAATGCCCAATAACAAGTCATCATTTACTAAGGATATCTACGATAATTTTGTGTGTCCCACCGAAGAGCATCCATACATAATAACTCGAGTCAATAGTCGTAAAGATTTTAGAAAATAATTCATTATAATAATTCATTTTATCATTTAAAGTCGAAGGGGTGTTTAATAGTGAACATGGATAGTTAATTAACATTTATTGTGACTAGATTTAACCTGATGAGTTCATTATATCCCTGTTCCACTGTTTATATAGCATTTAGTCAATTTCATGCATTTCGTATTCAAAAACTGTGATAATTCATGTTCATTTTCTTTTATATATTTTTTGAAATAAACGAAACTTTTTCATCGATTTTTTATATAATTAGTTGCTTGTTTTATTATTAGAATGTCTGAAAGCTGCCTTTTTTATAGAAAAGTTGCCCGATAACAACTTTTTCTATGGAAAAGTTGTCCGATAACAAGTTTTTCCATAGAAATATGGCTCGATAACAACTTTTCCCATAGAAAATATGTCCGATAACAAATATTTATATAGAAAAGATGTCCGATAACAAATATTTATATAGAGAAGTTGACCGATAACAACTATTTCTATAGAAAAGTTGTCCGATAACCACTATTTCTATAGAAAAGTTGTTCGATAACAACTATTTCTATAGAAAAGTTGTTCGATAACAACTATTTCTATAGAAAAGTTGTTCGATAACAACTATTTCTATAGAAAAGTTGTTCGATAACAACTATTTCTATAGAAAAGTTGTTCGATAACAACTATTTCTATAGAAAAGTTGTTCGATAACAACTATTTCTATAGAAAAATTGTTCGATAACAACTATTTCTATAGAAAAATTGTTCGATAACAACTATTTCTATCGAACAACTATTTTGTCCGATAACAAATTTTTCTATAGAAAAGTTGTCCGATAACAAATTTTTCTATAGGAAAGTTGTCCGATAATAACTTTTTCTATAGGAAAGTTTTTCGATAATAACTTTTTCTATAGGAAAGTTTTTCGATAATAACTTTTTCTATAGGAAAGTTTTTCGATAACAACTTTTTCTATAGGAAAGTTGTCCGATAACAACTTTTTCTATAGAAAAGTTGTCCGATAACAACTTTTTCTATAGAAAAGTTGTCCGATAACAACTATTTCTATAGAAAAGTTGTCCGATAACAACTATTTCTATAGAAAAGTTGTCCGATAACAACTTTTTCTATAGAAAAGTTGTCCGATAACAACTATTTCTACAGAAAAGTTGTCCGATAACAACTATTTCTACAGAAAAGTTGTCCGATAACAACTATTTCTATAGAAAAGTTGTCCGATAACAACTATTTCTATAGAAAAGTTGTCCCATAGCAACTTTTTATATAGAAAAGTTGTTCGACAACAATTTTTTCTATAGAAAAGTTGTCCGATAACAACTCTTTCTCTAGAAAAGTTTTCCGATAACAACTCTTTCTCTAGAAAAGTTTTCCGATAACAACTTTTTCTCTAGAAAAGTTTTCCGATAACAACTTTTTCTATAGAAAAGTTGTCCGATAACAACTTTTACTATGGAAAAATTGTCCGATAACAACTTTTTCTATAGAAATATTGTCCGATAATACTTCTTCTATAAAAAAAAAATAACAATTGGATAATTTAAATTAATATAATTAATCAATGTCAACTTCAAATGAGTGAATGACAAGCAATAGTTATCCATTAGTTGTTAGATGCACTCGTATATAGTGACGACACTAGCATGAAATGCTGTTATTTAAATCCAATTTGGGTGGGTATCAGCAGACTATTGTTAGATAATTATGGGCAGATAATTCTAAGGTGAGGTGAAAAAATTCTCAGAAATTAAAAAGTCTTTCCCAAAGCTATATAGCTGATGCATTACGATTTAAGACCGTAATAAAAATTCTTATTCAAATTCCATTTTATTCATCTGCAGCTTATCTAGAATATATGTCACGTATTTGTCATGCTTGCTGCAGCTGTCACTATTGTCTAGCCCAGCTTATCATGAAAATGAAATCAGTTCTTGACAATTAATTTCAAATACTGTGCACAAGCTTAGTTCAGGTAATTTCTAAAATGGTATTCTTATTATGTGTTAATTGCAGTTAAGGCATTGTTAACAGTTTCGGAAAACATTGCAAATTAGTAATCATGAATAGGCAAATTTAGGTGGAATAGAATGGGTAGAACAACACAAAAATATATAGGTCAAGGAGACAAAATAAATGTAGGGATATATAATTGCAAATTAACATTAAGCAGGGATCTAAAGGGCATTAAAGTCTTTTTTACAAAAGAAAATTCCGATACTGTTTTGGTCTGTTTCAGAACTGCAAAAATCTAAAAATTTATACTGCAATAACCGATTTTCACTCTATGATATCGAAAAAAAAATGCAAAACTAATAGATTCTCGCAGTTCTCGCAGGAAAAGAGCAATTGTTATCGAATAATTTTTTAGAGACAATTTATTATTTGAAACCATTAAAAAATTATTGTTTTGCAACTTTTCTTTAAAAAATGTAATTATCACACACCTCGAGACAGTTATCGGCAATTTTTTTTTATAAAAATGTGATATCTGCAAAAAATTTGTATCTTGACTTAATCCACCTTAATATCCCGCGTATGACATGTGTATCAGATAACGGATTTTTTTATGGCCTAGACATTAAGACAGATTCTATTTTTAATAGCTTGTAGATTTATATTTAAATTAATTGTCGACGTTTAGACATTACATTCGCATATTAATTTCAAATAAAATACTGCACGATATCTGTGGCAAATCAATAATGCATTTGTTGTAATAAAAAGTGCTGTGGCATCATTAAAAAGTAATAATGAACTACACATTGAGAATAATAAAAGGAGGTTATCGAATTGTTGTTAGATAAAAGTGGATCTCGATAGAAAAACCAAATATTCAACAATGGGTTTTGAATTGAAATCGTTAGACTGTTCCAGAACTGCAAGAATGTAACCTATTTTCCCTTTATGATATCGGAGAAAATTGCAAAACTAGAAGGTTCTTTCAGGTTCCGGAATAGACCACATTAAAGGAAACAAGTAAAAAAGGTGTAAGTTCAGGGCTGAACTTTGAATACCCTCAACCTTTTGGAACGAATTTGACAATTCTCAAAAACAATTAAAACCGTTAAAAATTCTGTTAAAATCTTAAAAATACCGAATGTAGGTGTTATATTAGGGTCTAAACGACGACATGGACCTGCATAGATAACTTTTGTCGTAAGCCATTACAATATTCAAATGCGAAACTTAAAAAAATCGGTGAATAATGTAGCTAATAGTACGTTTATATATATGACGGTTAACCCACTGGATTTGGATTTAAATTGTCATACCCATTACTTTTACTTCAAATAAATCCTCTCAAAGTAGGTTAGCCCTACAAAAATTTCTAACGTAAACATGGCATAAAATCATCAAATACCGAATATCGGGAGCTTCCGTTAAATGAGGGCTATACGAAGACGTGGACCTACACAGACAATTTTCTGTCTTAGGCTGTAGTTTTCATTACGAACTTCCAATACCAAATTTGAAACAATTCCGATGAATAATATCACTAAAATCATCAAAATACCGAATAACGGGAGGTACCGTTATATGGGGCTATACGAAGATGTGGAACTGCATAAAAAATCTTCTGTCTTAGGCTGTGGTATTCATTACGAACTTCAAATACTAAATTTGAAACAATTCTGGTGAAAAATGTCGCTAAAATCATCATAATACCGAATATCGAGAGGTACAATTGTATAGGGGCTATACGAAGATGTGGACCTGCACAGACAATTTTCTGTCTTAGGTTGTAGTATCCATTACGAACTTCAAATACCAAATTTAAAACCATTCCGGAGAATAATGTTGCTAAAATCATCAAAATACCGAGTATCGGGAGGTACCGTTATATGGGGCTATACGAAGATGTGGACCTACATGGCTCATTTTCTGTCTTAGGCTGTGGTATCCATTACGAACTTCAAAACCCAAATTTGAAACAATTCCGGTGAAAAATGTCGCTAAAATCATCAAAATAACGAATATCGGGAAGTACCGTTATATGGGGACTATACGAAGATGTGGAAGTGCATAGAAAATCTTCTGTCTTAGGCTGTAGTATCCATTTCGAACTTCAAAAACCAAATTTGAAACAATTCCGGTGAATAATGTCGCTAAAATCATCAAAATGCCGAATATCGGGAGGTACCGTTATATACGAGCTATACCTACATGACCCATTTTCAATACCAAAAGTCCTGCAGACATAATATACATTTGAGTAAAATTTTATCAATCTACTTCATTTGATTCGGAAGCTAGAGTGATTTCCACAGAGGGACGGACATCGATAAATCGACATAGAATTTTATGCTGATCAAGAATATATATACTTTGTGGGGTCTAAAATGTATATTTCGAGGTGTTACAAACGGAATGACAAACCTTATATACCCTCCATACTATCGTGGAGGGTATAAGAAGTTATTGGCATCATTAAAAACGAAAAACGAAAGTTATCGATTTTTTAGATAAACATGGATCCATGCATGGCAGAAGAATACAGGTAGATGCATCAACGCTTGGGAGCATTGATATGCCAAAAAGATTTAAATGTTTTTTCAAATATAAGTAGATTTTTATATGTTTTTTTTTTTATACGACGTCATTGGGAGGTTATTATAATTCGCGTTTTTTCAAAAATTTTTACAAATTTAAATAATTTTTCATTTAACATTTTCAATTTCAAAATTGGTTTGACAGTTCATTGTCCCAGCAGCTGTGTCGACGCGTCTACCTATATTCTTCTACCATCGATGGATCCATGGTAGAAAAATATTATTCTATTCTATTCTGGATCATTGAAAAAGAAAAATACTTTAATACTTTTCAATTGATTTTTTAAAAAATCATATCGACCTGTTCCTTTTTAGATCCCTGCTTAAATATGTTAATTTGCTAATTATATATCCCTACATTTATTTATGATTTTTTCCCGCCTTTATCTTTTTAATCAGCAACTCTGGAAATAGCCGCGCACATACTGCCGTTCTTTGTTTAGTTTCCAAAGTTCATTGTTTTTTCCTTTTTTTATTTCTTTAGCGGCAGTGACTTCACCACAGAATGGAAACTATGCAGGCAGCAATGCACGCCACACCGTTGTTATCCACTTATTTATGGTTGTAAAACATACCAACATTCCAGCAATGGTCAAAGTCAAGGTTACAGCAAGTTGCCAAGACGATACAGTGGTTATGGATGATGGCGAGGCATTGGAGAATATTAAAAAAAGTTTTTGAAAATTAAATTATTTTAAAATGGAAATTAATAATTGAATGGATTTCCGTCCGATGTCATATTGAAAATCTAATACGCACCAACATTCCAGCAATGGTCAAACTCAAGGCTATTGCAAGTTGCCAAGGCGATACAGTGGTTATGGATAAATGCATTGGAGAATATTAAAAAAAGTATTAAAAATTAAATTATTTTTGAATAGAAATTAATAATTGAATGGATCTCCGTCCAATGTCATTTTGGAAATCTCCTTTTCAGGATTTTGAATATTATACTAAATCTGGATCGGCTGATAAAATCGAAATCAGTGTTTTAAAGCAATGTAACTCTGCAGTTTCCCATGCCAGTTTATTTTTAGTACTGTATGCTATTCCATACCTCTTCATGTGTATGCTGTTTCAACCTGCAGTTTCTTTGTTGTCAATTTCCATTATAATTAAATTTGATATGAAGAGCGAATCACAAACAAAAACCGGTCTGACATTCGCAAAAAAATTATTAATGATTAGACCCAACACGAAGCCGCAATGTCTGCATAAATTCATATGAAACGTATGACTTAGCTTAAGGTTCTAAAGTTAATCAGGAAATCGCATCCGCCTCTGATGACAGTTTCTCTAAGAACATCTGTTGTGACCGCCGAACATATTTTGAAATAGTTCAGTTTCAAACTTAAAGTAGCCGCCTTAGTGCATTATTCATTATGAATCATTAGCATTTAATAAACCTGTTTCATCTAAATGTTTCTATGCATACATGTAGGTATGTATGTATGTATATTTTATCATTTGGTACATAAACACTTATGTAGCCAAATAATAATATGTGCGGCAGGTCAGTGCAAAATGAAATCTGTATGCCATCATTCATTGGTTTAAAACAAAAAGACACAACAGGCACTAAAAATAACTCCAAAAAAAAAAAAAAAAAAAAAAAAATAACTGTAGAAAAAAATAGAATAGAGACAAATTCGAAGCCATTTAATAGGTGTGTACGATAACTTTCCAAGTAAAAAATGCTCAGTAATGTTTATTGACAGCATTATAGGTCCTTTTGGACTTCTTTAATGAACTCGTTCTTAGATTTTCAATATTAAGTTTTTAATACTTTTTCTGTTAAAAAAAGACCACACCATCACCATGGCCGGCGCTTGAGTTCTGGTGGCCAACCGAAGGTGCACATTTTCAGCTCACCTCTTTGGCAAAGTAAACACGATCAATTTGTTTGTTTACAAACTGCTGGACAACGAATGTTTTCTCGACGGAGAAAACCAAATTCGTCAGTTCTCCACAAGCGAAGCAACTCTTTAGCTCTTTTGAATCTATTTTCTTTCTGTTGCGGTGTAAGATCTTGCACTTTTTATACCATCCACCATAGTATGGAGGGTATATTAACTTTGTCATTGCGTTTGTGACACCTTGATATATACATTTTAGACCCCACAAAGTACATATATTCCCGATCAGCATAAAATTCTATGTCGATTTAGCGATGTCCGTCCATCTGTCCCTCTGTGGAAATCACTCTAGCTTCCGAACGAATTGAAGTAGATTGATAAAATTTTATTCAAATATGTATTATGTCTGCAGGACTTTTGGCATTGAAAATGGGCCATGTAGGTCCACGTTTTGGTATAGCCCCCATATAATGGTACCTCATTATATTCCGTATTTTAATGATTTTATCTACATTATTCATCGGAATTGTTTCAAATTTGGTATTTGAAGTTCGAAATCAATACTACAGAAAATACTATGACAGAAAATTGTCTGAGCAGATCCACGTCTTCGTATAGCCCCCATATAACGCTACCTCCCGATATTCGGTATTTTGATGGTTTTAGCGACATTATTCACCGGATTTGTTTCAAATTTGGTATTTGAAGTTCGTAATAGATACTACAGCCTAAGACAGAAAATTGTCTGTGCAGGTCCACGTCTTCGTATAGCCTCCATATAACAATACCTCCCGATATTCGGTATTATGATGATTTTAGCGACAATATTCATCGGAATTCTATCAAATTTGGTATTTGAAGTTCGCAATGGATATTACAGCCTATGACAGGAGATTGTCTGTGCAGGTCCACGTCTTCATGTAGCCCCCATATAAAGGTACCTCCCGATATTCGTTATTTTTATGATTTTAGCTACATTTTTCACTATTTTTTTTAAGTTTTGCATTTGAATATTGTAATGGCTTATGACAAAAGTTACCTATGCAGGTCCATGTCATCGTATAGACCCTACAGCTACATTCGGTATTTTTAAGATTTAAAGGGAATTTTTAACGGATTTTATTGTTTTTGAGAATTGCCAAATTCGTTCAAAATGTTGGAGGGTATTCAAAATTCGGCCCGGCCGAACTTAAATATTAAAAAAACATCCGTTACATAGTTATTTTTCAAATTTTTGATTATTATTTTTTTAGAAAAACTCATGGAATTTATGTTTTTCTTTCGAGTTCCTTTTCGTATTGGCCATACAAAACCAGACCCTAATTATTTTTATAGAATAACAAAAAAATTGCCTCAAGAAAATACCGCATTACAAAAGGACCTGTTATAAATAAAACATTTCAAATTTTATGTAAATATTTTTTTTCAGTAGTTGAATAGTTGATATGATTTGAGTTTTTTATTTCTTGTCTATAGTCTTATTTTTTATTACAATTTGATAGTTATTTTTTGTGAGTATATGTGTGGGCGTGTTTTCTTTTTTCTTATAGGTCATAAGAAAATGTTTGAGATTCATTTTTTATTAATGAAATAAACTTAAGATTTATGGGAACTTGATGTTTTTTTACTTTCTTAAATGTATTTGTAAAGAGAATGTGTGGGTGTATGGGGGGTATGATTTTATGAAATCATGAGTTTCGTTTACTTTTTGATTTCATTGCTACAAATACACATTACAAACTACTAAGGCACATAAAGATCCGTCAAAGATGATCCGTATTACTTAAAAAATAAACTCGTTGTGCGTTTCTTTTCTTAAAAAACTATGACAAAAAAAAGCATGAATAATATTTGGTTTGGATTGTTGCTTGAAATGCTTACGAAAAAAAATGTTTGTAAATTAAAAATGGCAATTAAAATTCATCACGAGATTTAGCATCAGCTGTTATTGTTGTTTGCTCAGATAAATCCACATTTGTGCTATCCAAACGTGGCTCTACCAGAAATGACCTCTCTGGATCACTTTTCAATTGGGCAGCAGAGGGGGACTTATTGGTTTGATGTGATTCAATGACATAGGAATCTTCAGTATCTGAAATATAGCCATAATCACCGGTATAATGGGTGGGATACAACAGCAAAGGTGCAGCACTAAAAGCCAAGAGATCACGTTCGGGGAATGCTTCAGCCCATGTTTTGTTAGGATGTCTGTTGAACATAATGGGTAGGAATTCATCTACCGGCAAGAGTTTTTCCAAGGGTTTGGCCTTTAGTAGTTTTTCAGCTCCCTTTAGAGAGATAACATAACCCAATGTCCAATACGAATAGCCAGCATGCACCAGATTTTCAGTATTATCAACCCAGGGTTCAACCTCATCCTTTAGGCGTTTACGGCCAAAGTACCTGCATCATTGAAAAGAGTTATTAAATTATTATCACCCATTTAAGAATTCAATTTATGCTCTGTTCCAGAAATGCAAGAATGTCCTTTTCTTTGTGATATCGGAAAATATAGCAAAACTAAAAGATTCTTGCAGATTCTGGAACAAACCAATAATTTTTCTACTTACACCAAATCGTAATCAATGACTTTGCGTATTTGTTCCATGACACCCAAGGCCTTCTCCTTGAAATAGGGTTCGAAACGTATATCATCTTCCAATATCAATACCTCCTTTTGTTGTTTCTCCACAATTGTCTGCCAAATGTGATAGTGGCTCAGGAAACAACCAATCTCACCCAAAGTCATGGGACGATGATGATAGGGATCCTCATAGCCTGGCAGGAATTTAATACCGAGCTCCTTGATCATTTCAGGGGTAAGACGTCTGGAGGAGAATAAAACAAAAATTATTTTTAATTTGTTTGTTTCTTGCGAAATAGGTTCCAATAACAACTTACTTTCCATCAACAGCCGGGAAGTACTCAACATCCAAGTTTAGGGCTTCGAAAAGTTTCAACATCTTTTCACGTCTTTCGGGCCGCCGCTCGAGGTTAATCATATAGATGTGATCCAAGCTAAGCTTGTCTCTGCAAAGAGAATTAAAAACAAAATTAGACAAAATGTAAAAGATTTTTTTATTTAAATTTAAGGAAAAGATAAAAATATTCAATTTTTAATCATTATTTTTATACCCTCCACCATAGTATGGAGGGTATATTAAGTTTGTCATTCCGTTTGTAACACCTCGAAATATACATTTTAGACCCCACGAAGTATATATATTCTTGATCAGCATATAATTTTATGTCGATTTAGCGATGTCTGTCCGTCTGTGAAAATCACTCTAGCTTCCGAACGAATTGAAGTAGATTGATAAAATGATACTCAAATGTATATTATGTCTGCAGGACTTTTGGTATTGAAAATGGGCCATGTAGGGCCACGTTTTGGTATAGCCCCCATATAACGGTACCTCCCGATATTCGGTATTTTGATGAATTTAGCGGGATTATTAACCGGAATTGTTTCAAATTTGGTATTTGAAGTTCGTTATGGATACCACAACCTAAGACAGAAAATCGGCCATGTAGGTCCACGTTTTGGTATAGCTCCCATATAACGGTACCTCCCAATATTTGGTATTTTGATAATTTTAGCGACATTATTCACCGGAATTGATTCAAATTTGATATTTGATGTTCGTAATAGATGCTACAGCCTATGACAGAAAATTGTCTGTACAGGTCCACGTCTTCATATAGCTACCCATATAACAGTACCTCCCGATATTCGGTATTTTGTTGATTTTAGCGACATTATTCACCGGAATTGTTTCAAATTTGGTATTTGAAGTTCGTAATGAATACTACAGCCTAAGACAGAAAATTGTCTGTGCAGGTCATCGTCTTCGTATAGCCCTCATACAACGGCACCTCCCGATATTCGGTATTTGGACGGCTTTAGCTACATTTTTCACCGAAATTGTTTAAAATTTGGTATGAGAAGTTCGTAATGAATACTACAGCCTACGGCCGAAAATTATCTGTGCAAGTCCACGTCTTCGTATAGCCCCCATATAACGGTACCTCCCGATATTCGGTATTTTGATTGATTTTTCACCGGAATTGTTTCAAATTTGGTATTTGAAGTTCGTAATGGATTCTATAGCCTATGACAAGAGATTGTTTGTGCAGGTCCACGTCTTCGTATAGCCCCCATATAACGGTACCTCCCGATATTCGGAATTTTAATGATTTTATCTACATTATTCACCGGAATTCTTTCAAATTTCGCATTTGAAGTTCGTAATGTATACCACAGCCTACGATAGAAAATTGTCTGTGCAAGTCCACGTCTTCGTATAGCCCCCATATAACGGTAACTCCCGATATTCGGTATTTTGATTGATTATTCACCGGAATTGTTTCAAATTTGGTATTTGATGTTCGTAATGGATGCTACAGCCTAAGACAGAAAATGGGCCATGTAGGTCCACGTCATCGTATAGCCCCCATATAACCGTACCTCCCGAAATTTGGTATTTTGATGATTTTTGCGACATTATTCACCGGAATTGTTTCAAATTAGGTATTTGAAGTTCGTAATGAATACTACGGCCTAAGACTGAAAATTGTCTGTGCAGGTCCACGTCTTCGTGTAGCCCCCATATAGCGGTACCTCCCGATATTCGGTATTTTGATAATTTTAGCGACATTATTCACCGGAATTCTTTCAAATTTGACATTTGAAGTTCGTAAACGATACTATAGCCTAAGATAGAAAATGGGCCACGTAGGTCCAAGTCTTCGTATAGCCCCCATATAACGTTACCTCCCTATATTCGGTATTTTGACGATTTTAGGTACAATACCCACCGAAATTGTTTGAGATGTGGTATTTGAAGTTCGTAATGGATGCTACAGTCTGTGACAGAAAATTGTCTATGCTGGTCCAGGTCTTCCCACAGCTCCAATTTAACGGCACCTCCTTATATACGATATTTTGATGATATTAGCTACATTATTCACCGTTTATTTCAAGTTTCGAATTTGAATATGGTAATGGCTTATGACAAACAATGCCTATGTATGTTCACGTCGTATAGACCCCAATATAACGGCTATATTCGGTATTTTTAAAATTTTAACAGAATTTTTTAAGGATTTTATTTTTTGAAAATTTCCAAATTCGTTGCAAATGGTGGAGGGTATTAAAAGTTCGGCCCGGCTGAACTTACAGCTTTTTTAACTTGTTTATTTTATCTATTTTTTTATTTTTTTTTTTATTAAAAAAATATTTTTTTTCGGTTGCAAAAAATTTTTTTTTTTTTATCGAGGAAGACCAGATTATAAAATAATTTTATATCACTAAAGACCCTAGGCTAATAAAAATATTTAAATTATTTTGAAAAAATAATTAAATTATTTAAAAAAATAATTAAATTATTTTGAAAAAATAATGAAATTACTTTGAAAAAAATAATTAAATTATTTTGAAATAATTTTTTTTTTTAATTTTCACACAGAAATGGTGTACATGGCTTTGATTAAAAATATAAAGAGAGAAGATCAAAGAGAACTTGCAATGTTTGTTTATATTATCTTCTCTGCCGGTCTCTTTGCCTTTTGATTTGCAAAATCTTTCAGAAAATTGGATGAATGGATACACAAAATGCAAAACAATTCCAGCACATTGCATGTGCATATGAAACCACACACACACAGATGTTCTAAATAGTTTGTAATTAAATACAATTTATGTGTTATGCTTTGGCATGTGTACATTTTTGTATATTTTTCCATTTATTTTTTTCATATATGTATTGCATTATGTACTAGTGTAGTCCGATTACTAAAAGAATCTGCTTTCCAAGAACAATAAAAAAATGGAAATTAACTTTAAATTTTGATTTCATTGTCTCGCTCCTCCAAAATTCATGGTGGACATCTCGACATGGCAGCATGTACATATGGTGCATATGCTTGTGTGTGTTTATATTTTGAAATTGTATCATCACATCCATGTATTGGTAAAAGTCAAAACAACATCATTTAAGTATTCACGAAATGTGTGAAGAAAATTTGATCTGATAAAAAGAAATATGATCTCAATGTCTATGTTTTTTTTTTCATTTTTTTAATTGAAATAAAAAATTGGGGTATATACTGATAATATGGCAAAGTAAGGGGGTTAAGGGGTTATCAATGTGAACACAAGTTGTGTTTGTGTTTTTCAGAAAATTTGAATTAGTTTTATCAGTAAACCAAAATTTTGAAAATATTTAAGTAATTCTTTTCACACAAAGTCTATATTCCAAATAGCCTACCAACTTTTTTAGCCTTTATAGGTATATTCCAAAAATTCATCTACTTACTTTTCTTCTTTCCTTTCGAAGGGTTTCAGATATTCCTTAACCTCAGCCACCTGACCCAAATCGTGTATGATATTTGTCTTGATATTCTGCAATTGTTTGTAGTCCTGTTCAAGTTGATCGGTATTTTCCAGAGGTTGTAAAATATAACCAAACGGCACTTCATTGGTGATAAATAATGGAATCTTTGAACAATTAGCCGATATGGCAAACACAATAATATCATCTACGGGGCCATCATACATGCGACATTGTTCACCCAAACTGGCAGCATATTCCAGGCCATTTTGCAATTGTGTTCTTAGATTTTCCCGATCAAAAGTCAAATACGATGAACCATTATAGTTGACATTTATCAAAACGGCACTATGAATCATGGGTACCTGGAAGACACCTTCCTGCTGAACATTATAGATTTCCCGATACATATCGGTACGCAAGTAATAATAGTCTGGGGTCATGCCACACCAGAAATTCGAATATAATCCCTCTGACAGCAACATGGGTGCCACAATTGGCAAACCCAAATTTGTTAAATGTTTAAGGGTACGTGGTTCGGTCAGCAAGACATCAGCATCCAAGTACTACAAAAAAAAAAAAAAAAAAAACAAGTAAGAGATTAGGGAAATGAATAAAAATCAAAACATAAAATGCATAAGTGGCACAAGTGACTTAAGAGATAAGAGAATTGAGTTACTTACAAATATATAGTCAGCCCAGATTTTTTGTGCGTATACGAATGCTTCTTCTTTCAGGCTGATAAGATGATGGAAACGTGCTTGTGGCCAATCCAAGAGGGATTTTTCATCTTCATGACGTTGATCGGTATCGTTGAAGAGTTTGTCAACGCTGTGATAAAGGGGTTCCACATGTTTTAACCATTCGCTTAGGATTGCCACGCTGGCATCCGAATTGTGATCGGAACGAATCCTGGAATTTGAGGAAGAGATAAGAATATTATAAATATGTGATTTTTCGAATGGAAAATATGCTTTTTTGGGGGGGAATCTTAAATTTTGGTAAGGCAGTCTTTTTAAAGAAAATAGAGTCTTTACCAGAGAGAGTAGCCGAAAAAGGAAATATATGAGTTTTTAATAAAACTTCCTGTTTGACCTTTGAGATTGGAAAGGTAATTGCTACACAGAAGGTTTCTTGAAGTACACTTAAGAGAGTACTGGAAGCTATAAAGAACCCATCATTTTCATCCATGACCTTTTTTTACCGATAAACTTATTTTTTTCGATTTTGTTTCCTATTTGATGCCTGAGACTGAAAGGATAGTTGCTATGGAATATTTTCTAAGCGAAAAAATTAGTTTTCTGCAAAGGGATAAATTTTTCCGATTTTGATTCATTTTTATGTTCCGTTTTTTCCCCTATGTCTTTCCTGGACTATTAAAAATTGAAACTTTGGATATTTCTTAAGTTTTCAAAAAACCAACATAAGCATGTTAAGTCCATCACAAAGTCTGTATATGCTTATGATCCTTATTCCGTTCCACAAACTATAATTCCCCATCAAAATTCTTCATTTTCAATATTTTTTGGACCTTGACGACGTGGTTTAATAGCTATCCTTATGGCAGTTAGCTTAGATTTACTTGTGGAAACCATAAAAATACTTCTAAAATGGACTTGAAGACCCTGGGATGATGCACTAAAACTTCAGAATATAAATTTCCAAGAACCCATCCTGAGCCTTATATACCGGTCAACCCATAAAATCTTAAATAATACCAAAAAAGGATCATCAATATTCAAAATCAAGAACCTTAAGAATTTTTCCACTTACCACAGCGCAATCCTATCCTTGGGATAATCCAATTGATCCAAATAGGTTAAAGCCAATGGCAGGACATGAGCCTTGTTTCTTACCAAAAGAGCAATGACAACTTTCGGTGGCAAATCACCCAAATCCTCGGGCAGCAAATGGGCAATACGTTCCACCGATGGGGGTGGAGTTTTTCCATATGTACCCGTCCACAGGCTACATCCGGTTAAAAGTAAAAATATCCATAGAATTCTCATTTCAATACACTTTTGTTTAGATTAGACTGCCGCAATGTGTGTATGAGTGACGGTGAATGTGTGCGGGTGAACGTTCGTCTGGTTCTGCTGCTGGTTAATGAATGACTCGGAATGTTATCCGTGCGCTACATACGATTTTGAGTTTTTCTTTTCTAAACTATCTTTTATGGTTTTGTTTTTGTTGTTGTTGCATTTTCATTCTTTATATAGACGTGTTTACACGGTGCAGTTGTCATTTGTAGTTGCAGCAAGGAGAGAGAGAAAGAGAGGGAGAGCGTTAAAACTCACAGTCATACGTCGTCAAACAAACGCCGGGTAAATTGTTTGAAGGAATGAAAAAAGAAAACAAGTGCATTTTTCTTATGCATCACCCATCTTATTTCTTCTTTCCTGTAGAAAAATGTTTTATTATTTCTTTTGTTTCTGTCAGAAAACTCCGTATCTCAGCATTTTCTCACCGCTTCATTGCCGACTCTTAGCATCCATACGCCGTCATTAATATTTTTGCCGGCGTTGAGATTTGGTTAAGTTTATTGTTTAATTGAAAAAAAAAACAAGTTTTTGGTTTAAATTTGGGCAATCTAGTATTAATTTTTTGAATTTTCTTAAATACTTCGCCCGTTAACACAATTTTTTATTAAAAAAAAACAAGTATTTTAGAACACTAAACTTTTTTAATCAAGTGATTATTAAATATAGACGGAGATATATGTCAACTGACTGGATTCTTTGGGGCAGGACTCTAAAATAATTCCATAGTACCATGGATAATTCCATCTAATTTAAAACTACCAAAAACTTTTTTATTCGCGGATAAAAACATTTCTACATGTTCTATTTAAACTGCTAAGATTAATGCCCTAATCATTTAGGAGACTGTCATATCAAGGAACACAAGCAAATCCGTATGCGTCTTAGGCTGAGAATATAGGTGTTACGATTTCCAGTTCAGACGAATGGTACTTATAGAACCCGGCAGTTAAAAAAATGTTTTTATAGCCAAAGTAGATCATTTCTATTATAATTTTCCGCCATTAAACAAAATAACCATTTTCAAGAAACATATTTTTTCAATTTAACTAATTTCTTTTGTCCAAAAATTCATTTTATTTACAACAATATCAAATAACAACATTACGCTACCGCTGTATGGGGTTTCGCATAGGCGGGGAAATTTAATTTCAAACCTTCTCTTGCCTCAAAAAATGTATACGACAATGTAATGCTATCGACATTTTCCAATTTGGGATCCTTGACATATTCCGGGTCAATGTAGAAAAACACAGGCATGTCGACCTAAATTAGAAAAGAAATGTTAAACTCGAAAACTTTTAAAATTATCTTTTGGAACCTACCTCCTCGTGTGGATTTAATTGTTGTTCCTCGAAACAAAAACATTGTATCTTATTGAAATAGGCTCCCGCCTCAAAGGGCACCACATTATAGGTACTTATACCTATTACCGGATGATCTGTGGGATTTTTGGCAGTATAAAAAGCTAAAGCAGTCTCCCCAGGTGCCACTTTAATTTCATACTGTTGTGGTCGGAAATTCCAACGCATTGAGGAGGCAACGTCAGCATTGAAGCGTACCTTTATTATGCGATCTTTCACCTTTTCCATTGTTTCCACCTTTTCGGCATCGTGACCCTGACTTGTAGTGCCTCCGTAACTGTATGCCTGGCAAGAACAAATTATTTAAAATGTATTCTCAAGTCAGTGCTTCTTTGATCTTACCTGACAAAACATTCGGTATAGCGGAACGGCTGCATAGCTCAAACCGACAATCAATACCCCACCGGCTGTGACATAGTATAGCGTAGATCTTACTTTCATTTTCCTAATGGATTCAGGACCACTTCCTCCAGCCGGCCTTTGTGCGGAGAATAACCGTTGTGTTGTTGATTGTATATTGTGGCGCAGACATTTTGTACTTAACTGTCGTATAAAGCGAAACATTTTATTTGTTATTTAAAATTGGTTGATTTTTTATTTATTAACTCCTCTCCTCCGTTGGCTCACGTTCTTTTTGCATCGGTTTGTTACGTATGTCTCACATGTAACACCAAAATAAAAAACGTCCCCAACGAAACAAATGTGAAGGCAAAACATAATGCGACGATAAAAAATAAACGGAAAACAAAATCTCCCAGAACCGGTGTTGTTACGAATGGGTGTAATGCATAATACCGAGAGACTTTGTTGTTTACGAATGAGACACGGAGGCAATGCAATCATGGTATGCCCACACAGAAAGCGAAGGCGAACGAAGTTTTTGACGGCGATGGCATGGTAGTATGTCGGCTGTGACTCTGGAGTAAACATTTGGCCGTGTTAAAGAGAAAAGACAAGGAAGGATAAGTGGCATTATCTTTTGAAAAACATACCAAATACACATTCTTTAACTGTAAATAGAAAAAAATTAAAACCGCCGAATTCTGATAAGAATAAATAGAACAGTGTTATCATCAATTACCATTTGAATACCATGATTGGTTCTGTCACCAATTGTGATGTTCAAACTGTGAAAAATTATAACGGTTGCTAGGAAACGGTAACATAGTAACCACCCTGTTAAAAAGAATTAAAATCAAGTAAAAACGGATTTGTTGACAAAAGAAACCACTTAATAATTGAAATATTAAACATTTAATAAAACAAAATACAGTTGAAATATGAAATAATATTACTAAAATGGACATACGCTTGCAGATGAAGTGTAAATGAATAAAAAGAGTTACGTTGACTTTAAGGTTAAGAAATGTTGCTACATTTATTAACAAAAAAAGGGATATTTAGTTCATATACAACGTTTTTGATCAGCAATTTAATTTTACAAGACACAGTAAGTAAATGAATTATCATTTTTTTTGTATTTTCATTTATTTTTGTTTCCCATTTTCGTAAATTAGTAAAAGCGTAAAGGCACTTCCGAAGTCATTAGGATTTTATGGGGAACGAAAGGACTGTCATTGGACGATTGAAGCAAACGTTTATTTTTATTGAAATTTCCTAATATTTCCGATTGTCCATAAAGAGAAGGGTATGACAATTATGAGCCACTAAAACTTTTTAGTTCTAATTTTCTCTTGTTTTCTTCTAGGAAGACCTTAGAAATCCTCCACCACCAACATGGATCTTAGTGACAATGGTTTGGATGATTTTGATAATTTCTTTGGAGCTAAGAAAACGAAACAGCCCACATCCAAAATTTCTGATCCAATGGAAGATTTGTTTGGCATAGATGATGGAAAAGATTCCCGTGTGCCGGCGCCACGTAAGACCGTAACAAAATCACTGGGTGTGAAATCTCTACTTGCCGATAAAAAAGATGGCGACAATGACGACGATGATGATGACTTGGGATTTGATCCGAAAAAGCCAAAAGGAGGCCTTAATAAATCGCAAAACCTGTTTGATGATCTCCTCACCCCACTGGAGACCAAAAGACCACAGACAGCGGGTCCATCATCGAAACCACCAACCATTTCAAGACAATCCACCGATACCACAACAGATACTTCAAATATTTTGCAAACCCAAACAAGGCCGAAAACATCGGCCGGTCGTAGAAGTTCAAATTTACAAAACCCCGACCCTTTGGGTCTTTTTAGCAAGGACAGGGAGACGAATGTGCCCAGTTCTTCGGGCCGATCAACTCCAAAAGCAAAGAAAAAAGGCAATACAGCGGATTGGTTGGGCTTAAATGTGGAAACGGAACCAGAGTCAACACAAAAAACTGCCATTCGCCCAGAAACTCCAAAATCGAATATTCCGCCAGCCAGTAGAACCCAAGATACTGCAGAAATTCTGCAAGTACCTGATGTTCGAGAGGAACACTATGAAGACCCGCCGGAAGAAACTTTAAACACCCAAAGGCATTCAGCACCTGCTCCAAAGGACGATGCAAATAACCAAGAACCACAAGATATTATGATTCTCGACTCCACGGCTCATAATATCCGCCTGATGAATACCATGAATCTGGAGGCCAAGCAAAGTTTCACTGCCCTTAAATATCAAGAACAACAACTGCTAATGGCTGCCCAAATGAAACAGCAAGAAAAAGTGCTCATGGAAATGCAACAGCGCCAGAATACACTACTGCATCAACAGGAAAAGCAATTCCAGACATTGTTGCAACAGCAAATGCAACGTCACCAGCAATTGGAGGATCTCATCAAGCAGCAACAGAATCGAATTAATACCCATTTGCATTTGTTGATGTCCCAGCCACCGGCTGTGGAGGCTTCAATGGGAGATTGGGATGAAGGAAATCCGAATTCTCAGGAGAGTTATAAGAGGGAACCCAAGGTGAAGGAGTCAGAGGATGGAGATCATAGAGAAAGAGAGAAACAACATGAAATGGATGTAATCCAATTGGAGGCGGATAACAAACGTTTGGAATTAGAAAATTTGCGCCTGGAAGAATTGGTGGCCAATACCAAAAATAATTACGAAAGGGAAATTGAAATACTGGAGAAGACCTACAAGTAAGGAACATAAATCAAATTCAACGAGAAGATCTATTGGACTTTTGGGAGGAGATCTAATTGGTCCTATTGGTATTTTCCTAGAAGACCTATTGACCTATGAGAAGAATTATTGCTCTATGTTGAGTAGACAAATGTGGGTTTTCTGAGAAGACCTACTGGACTTCTATGAGAAGACTTATTTGAGGACCTATTAGCCTGAAGATCTATGGTTCTTCCATGAAAATACATATTAGCCTTACCTAGGAAGACCCACAACTCTTTTCTGATTTTTAATTTTTCCTTTCCACCTCTTGTTTCAGAAAACAAATCGAAGTCCTGGAAGAACATCTCTCGAATCTGGAGAAACGTTTAAAATCTGAAATTGAAGAGCTACAGAAACATTTCCAAAAAAAGATCGACACCTTGGAGGAGGAGAAAACTCAACTCAAAACCAACTACACCGAAGAAATACAAAATCTCAAACAGGATCATGAAGACGAATTGCGAAAGTTGAAGAAGAACCAAGAAGAGGACTTGGAAATGTTAAAAGAAGAACATCGACGAATGCTGGACAACATTAGACAGGCAAAAATGTTGGAATTTGCAGCGGTTCAAGAAAACGTCTCCTATTTGGAATGTCTGCGGGTGGCATCTTCGAATCTCAGCGATTTGACGGGCGGTCTCAGTGAACTCAAAGAAAATATGCAAAATAAAATTGATCAGCTGCATTTGGAGAGGGAAAAGAAACTGGAATTGCGTGAACGCAAACTCGAAGATGCCGAGAAAAGACTTAAAATCCACGAAGAATCCAATGAGGCCGAGAAAAATAGGCTAATGGAGTTGGTCAGCACTTTGGAGTTACAAATGACAAAAATGTCCAAAGAATCGGCCGAAGAAAATTGGCAGTTACGGCAAAAATTGGCCAGCTTGGATGCGGAGAAGGCAGCATTTGCCAAGGAGCGGGAATTCTTTCGGGAGCAAATGCTGCGAGATGAAGAGCGCATTAAAGATTTGAAGGAATTCCAACTGCTGGAGACCCAACGTTTGCAGAGTCAAATTCAAGAGGAGCGTGCCCAGTTACAGGTGGAAAAATCTAAATTTGATTTGGAAAAGCGGCTGCATGCCAATACCAATACGCAAAAGGAACGCCAGGAAATTGAAGCTGCCATGCAGGTGACCCAGGATGCCTCACGCAAAGCTGATGTGGAACGTGAGCGTTACTACAAAATGCAACGTCACTTGGAACAACAAAAACGTGATTTGGCGGACAAGGAACATGCTCTCAGCGTCAAGGAGGAAGAACTGCAACAGGAGCTAATGTCCTTTCGCATGGCTGAGCGTGTGGCCCAAGAGACCCAACAAAAGGCCAAAATGGCCGAACAATTCTATCACAATAAAATACAAATGTTGCAACAGCGAACCCAAGAAATTGCCGAAAAAGAATCGAATCTGTCACAGGAACGTTTGCTCTTGGCTCAGGATCGCATTGCCTTGCATGCTCTGAAGACGAAATTGTCACAACAAACGAAATGTTCACTCTGTCAATTGTCGCAACAAAATAAAGATATAACGGAGAATTTAAATCGGAACATATCTTTGGTCTATGACAAACCCCTGGAAGAGTTCCAATTGCCCATGAATCGCCAAAACCATTCCGTAAATATGGATTTTATGGGCCAGAGTAATGCTGTGGAACGTCTGCTGGATGCAAATATTGCGGACTCGTTGCGTAAAATGACATCATCTGGAAATATGGCCGGATGGGAGATGCTACTGCTCGATGATGATCACAAGAAAATGGTACAATCTTCGAATCAAGTGGGAAATTCGAATCGAAATGAAGATGAATATGGTGGGAAGAGAAATTGAAATAAATGAGAGATTTTTCAACAGAGGAGATTTTGAAAGAAGAATTTAATTGTTTTGGAAATATCGAGGGACCAACTGACCAATAATTATTGATTTGGAAGAAAAAATATTTTGGAGACCCAAAGAATATTCTTTGGAGAGAACCAGAAAGGTGAAGATTTTCGTTTTTTTAAAGAGTTTTTTTGGAGGACTAAGAAGTTAATAATTGTAGATTTTTGGAGGACCAAGAGATAGTTTTGAAAAACCGATTGCCTAATAACCTTGGATTTTTAAACAATATTTTTTCAAGGACCAAGGGCCAACATTTTTCGATTTTTCAAAGAATATTTTTTGGAGGACTAATCAGCTAATAATTTTGGATTTTTGGAGAACCAACAGACCAATAACCGTGGAGTTTAAAGAGTAGTTCTTAAAGAACCGAATGCATAAAAATCGTGGATTTTAAAAGAATATTTTTTCAAGGATCAAAGGAAAAATTTTTCGTATTTTTAAGACTTTTTTTGGAGGAACTACAAGCCAATATGGATGACCAATGGGCCAAGAACTGTGGAATTTTAAAGAGTAGTTTTTGAAGAACAATATGCCTAATTACCTTGGGTTTTAAAAGATCACTTTTTTTAAAGACCAAAGGCCAACATTTTTGGTTTTTTTTTTTTAACGAATATTTTTTTGTGGACTTAGCAGCTAATAATTGTGGATTTTTGGAGGACCAACAGACAAATAACCATGAAATTTTAAAGATAGGATTTGAAGAAGTTTTTGAAGAACCGAGAGCCTAAAATCTTAAATTTTTAAAAAATATATATTTTTTTTTCAAGGGCCAAAGGCCAACGATTTTTTAAAGAATATTTTTTGGAGGACTAACAAGCTAATAATTGTGGTTTTTTGGAGGACCAACAGACCAATAACCATTGAATTTTGAAGAGTAGTTTTTTGAAGAACCGAATTCTTAATAATCGTGGATTTCTAAAGAATATATTTTCAAGGATCAAGACCAAAATTTTTCGCTTTTTAAAAACTATTTTCTGGAGGATCTTCAAGCCAATAATTGTAGATTTTTGGAGGACCCATCGACAAATAACCGTTGAATTTTAAAGATATGTTTTGAATAAGTTTTTGAAGAACCGAATGCCTAAAACCTTGGATTAAAAAAAAAAAAATTTCAAGGACCAAAGGCCAACGATTTTTTAAAGAATATTTTTTGGAGGACTAATAAGCTAATAATTGTGGATTTTTGGAGGACCAACACACCAATAACTACAATTTTAAAGAATATTTTTTCCAGGACCAAAGGCCAACATTTTTCGTTTTTTAAAGAATATTTTTTGGAGGACTATCAAGCAAATAATTATGGATTTTTGGAGGGCTAACAGACGAATAACTGTGGAATTTTAAAGAGTGGTTTTTGAAGAACCGGATGGCTAATTACCGTAGGTTTTTTAAAAAAAAATTTAAGGATCAAAGGCCAACATTTTTCGATTTTTTAAAGGATATTTTTTGGTGGACTAACCAGCTAATAATTGTGGATTTTTGGAGGACCAACAGACCAATAACCAATAACAATTAAAGATATGTTTTGAAGATGTATTTGAAGAACCAAATGCCTAAAACTTTGGATTTTTAAAAAATATTTTTTCAAGGGCCAAACGACAACCTTTTCGTTTTTTAAAGAATATTTTTCGGAGGACCAACAATCCAATAATTGTGAATTTTTGGAGGACCAACAGAACAATAACTTTGGAATTTTAAAGAGTAGTTTTTTAAAGAATATTTTTTCAAGGACCAGACCAATAACCGTTTGGAGGACTATCAAGCAAATAATTGTGGATTTTTTTGAGGATCAAAAGACCAATAACCGTGGAATTTTAATGAGTAGTTTTTGAATAACCGAATGCCTAATAAACTTGGATTTTTAAAATATATTTTTTCAAGGACCAAAGGCCAACATTTTTCGTTTTTTAAAGAATATTTATTGGCCAATAATTGTGGATTTTTGGAGGACCAACGGACCAATAACCGTGGAATTTTAAATATAGGTTTTGAAGAACCGAATGCCTAATAACCGTGGATTGTGAAAGAATATTTTTCAAGGACCAAAGAAAAATGTTTTTCTTTTTTTTTAAGAGACTATTTTTTTGGAGGAACTACAAGCCAATAATTGTGAATGTTTGGATGACCAACGGACCAATAACCGTTGAATTTTAAAGATTAGTTTTTTGAAGAACCGAATGCTTAATAATCGTGGATTTCTAAAGAATATATTTTCAAGGATCAAGGCCAAAATTTTTCGTTTTTTAAAAACTATTTTCTGGAGGATCTTCAAGCCAATAATTGTAGATTTTTGGAGGACCAAACGACAAATAACCGTTGAATTTTAAAGATATGTTTGCTTGGATTAAAAAAAATATATATATTTTTTTCAAGGACCAAACTAACGATTTTTTAAAGAATATTTTTTGGAGGACTAATAAGCTAATAATTGTGGATTTTTGGAGGACCAACAAACCAATAATCGTGCAATTTTAAAGACTATTTTTTGGAGGACTAACAAAATAATAATTGTGAATTTTTGAAGGACCAACAGACCAATAACCGCGAAAATTTTAAAGATAGATTTTGAAGAAGTTTTTAAAGAACCGAATCCGCAATAACCGAGGATTTTTAAAGAATATTTTTTAGGGACCAAAGGACAATTTTTTTCTTTTTTTTTAAGAGACTATTTTTTGGAAGATCTTCAAGCCAATAATTGTGGGTATTATTGGATGACCAACGGACAAATAATCCAACAATTTTCCCTTTTTTTAGGGACGTTTTTATACCCTCAGCCATATGGCTAGAGAGGGATATCATTTGATAAGGCCAAAATGTGCCTCATCGAAATAATGGTTTGTAGACCCTAGGTCTTTTTGGATCAAATCCGTTTCAGGACATTTGGAATCGATCTAGAGATGTCTGTCCGTCCGTCTGTCTCTCTGGCTGGCTGGTGCGCACGATAACTCTCGAAGGGAGTATCCGATAAGGTCCAAACTCGGTACAACGTAATATTATTGTCAAACTTAGATCAAATTCAGAGATGGGCAATATCCCCCACCCCACAAAATGTCAACATTTTCAAAGAAAATAATTTACTGCACCGAAAGTGAAAGGATAATCCGATTTGGCTTCAACTTTGCAAAACCTAATATTTGCATCAGTGCTAGATCAGGTGCGAAAATGGACAATATCGGTCCACTCCATCAAGGACCTCCCCCAGAAAGCGTCAAAATTTTGAATAATTATAACTCATAAGACGTGAAATTATTATTCGATTCAATTCAGACTTGGCACATCTCAAAATATCCATCAACACAAGATCTGTTCTAAAGATGGTATAGATCGGACCATTTCTTCTGGTACCTCTCCCACAAAGGTTAAATTTTTTGAATAATCAAATCGATCATAAAATCCGAAATAAGCATCCGGCTCTCTTCAAATTTCACACATGCCATTATCTCTACTAACACAAGGACTGCTGTGAAGATGGAATATGTCGGACAACTGCTTCTGGTACCTCCCCCACAAAGGGTCAACACTTTGGGTATCCATGAAGCTCATAAAACGCCAAAATAACATCCGATTCCATTCAGACTTTGGAGATCTTAATATTTCTATCAACACATTATCTGTTATAAAGATGTTAGAGATCGGACCATTTCTTCAAATACCTCCCCCACAAAGTGTTCAAAATTTTGAATAATCAAAACGATTATAAAATCCGAAATAAGCATCCGGTTTTCTCCATATTTCACACATCCCATTCTCTCTACTAACACAAGATCTGCTGTGAAGATGGGATATATTGGGCCACTCCTTCTGGTACCTCCCCCACAAAGGGTTAAAATTTTGAATATTTATGAAGCTCATAAAAAGCGAAATTAACATCCGATTCCATTCAGACTTGGCACATCTCAATATTTCCATCGACACAAGATTTGTTATAAAGATGGTAGAGATCGGAACATCCCTTTTGGTACCTCCCCCACAAAGGGTTCAAAATTTTGAATAATCAAAATGATTATAAAATCCGAAATAAGCATCGGGTTTTCTCCATATTTCACACATCCCATTCTCTCTACTAACACAAGATCTGCTGTGAAGATGGGATATATTGGGCCACTCCTTCTGGTACCTCCCCCACAAAGGGTTAAAATTTTGAATATTCATGAAGCTCATAAAACGCGAAATTAACATCCGATTCCATTCCGACTTGGCACATCTCAATATTTCTATCAACACAAGATCTGTTATAAGGATGGTACAGATCGAACCATTCCTTCTGGTACCTCTCACACAAAGGGTCAAAGTTTTGAATAATCAAATCGATCATAAAATCCGAAATAAGCCTCTTGTTCTCTTCAAATTACAGATATCCCATTATTTCTACTAACAAAAGATCTGCTGTGAAGATGCGATATATTGGGCCACTCCTTCTGGTACCTCCTCCACATTTTGGGTGCCCATGAAGCTCAAAAACGCGAAAATAAAATCAGATTCCATTCAGACTTGGCACATCTCAATATTTCCATCAACACAAGATCTATTATAAAGATGGTAGAGATCGGAGTATATCTCCTGGTATCTCCCCCACAAGGGGTCAAATTTTTGAATAATCAAAACGATCATAAAATCCGAAATAAGCATCCGGTTTTCTTCAAATTACACACATGCCATTATTTTTGCTAACACAATATCCGCTGTGAAAAAGGGATATAACGGCTCTCCTTCTGGTATCTCCTCTCTGGCCAAAGTTTTGAAAAACAAAACAAAAAAATCAAACTCTCTTCAAATTTCCCATATCCAGATACGAATTGGACAACTGCTTCGGAATCTCCCCCATAAAGGGTCAACAGTTAGAATAATCATAACTCAAGGCTGGGGGTATGGATCTGTCGACAAAACCGACTGATACTATTTAACTTGTTTGAGTATCAAAAGACCAATAATTTTCGCTTGAAAGGCCATTAATTTGAGAGTTAGGCTTGGATTTGT